GTGCAGAAGCTGGGATACTAATTTGTGACTAATTTATTTTCCAACAAATCATGTTCTGTTTCTGATAAACCTAGTTTTTAAAAAATGCACGTTTGATTTTTTTTGATTTTTTTTTTATTTTGTGTGTGTGTCAATTAAAGATAGACGTTGACATGGTACCGTTTGTAGATGGAATATCTTGACCCTCAAAATGTAGGTTTAGATACTGAGATATAGGTTTTTACATAGCTAAATTCTTGAAGATCCAAGATGGCCGCCATACCATATTTGGAGAAGGCTGTGCCTATCACAAATGAGAAGCTAGTGTTAAATTTGTGGATTATTTGGCGCTTTTTTCCGCGACCTTCACATCTATCTCAATTCCTCTCACAGTCTCGCATAACAACTTTTGGTCTTAGAAGGAATCATTAGTGAGCAGAAATTCGCCCGTGTATCTGTTATCTTTTTCGACGTCCCAAAGTAAACGTACGGTGCTAAGACCACCTAAAGATAAATTTTAAATGTGCCTATTATTAATTAGAACAGGTTTCGGTTTAGATTTTATATTTTACACTGACATTTATTGCTTTAAAGCTTCCTAGTGAAAAAACGGAAAATCTGACCGTTTAACCCCCGGGCTCACAAAGAACAATGGTGAATTTAGCAAGTTTACATTTTTATTGAAAAAGTGATTAGTTTCAATCACTTTCAGCATGTTTTCATGATACAAGAATGGCTGCGCATTCACTTTCAGTGTAAATGACACCATTTGACCTTTGATCCCGAATATCTCTTAAACGACACAACAGCGGACTTATTACCACCCGGCAACGCATACTACGCAAAATTTTATTACCGAAAAGTTTGGTCTGGTTTTGTGCCCATTTGATGGATACCTCCCCGCACTGAGCCTCGCCGGTCTATTATATTATTTTATTAAATAATGTGCAGAAATAGGAGAGAGAGAGAGAGAAATGGGGTTTAACGTCCACTCGACACAAACTAGGTCATTTCGGGACTAACATATGGTTTAATTTTATTTCAATAATTCGCTTGCGCGTAGGGGTCTTTAGCAGTGGGAGGAAACCGGAGGACCCGGAGAAAACCCACGAGGTTCGACATGCAGAAATAGGGACGATCCTATTGCTTGTATAAATAAAATAAAACCAAGTACGAACAATCCAAACCATAAGACAGAATTCGAAGTCCTAAAAAACGTTATAGGCAAAATAGTGTATTCAAGCAAAATAGTGTAATCATGACTTACTCTCATTCAACAAACACTATTTTATAATGCACGCTTGAAAGGTTTGAATAAATGGATGTTGTGTTTATATTATCAATGTAAGGTGTGGTGAACATCTAAAATTAGAAACAACAGTTTCACAACTTTATATACCTAATGTTACTGATTTATACAGAAATTGGCATATTTATAACAATTAAAAATCTTTGGTTCAGGTCAAATAACGATTATTGATTATTAATGAGGTTGGCTTTATACGATTAAATTTGCCAAAAATAAAATCTTAGTCTTAGTTTAAAAGTTTGTCTTACGGTGTCAACAGTGAAACACAAAAAGGTTAAATCCCCAGGCTAGTTTTTTTTCTATGGGTGTAAAATTTCTCGAAGAAAACAGATTTTCCTCACATACAAACAGAAAATCAAGGTACAAATCCCGTGGTTCTTCATTCTCAAAAAATCAAATGCCTTAAAAGTCGTAAATGAAACACCATATCTACCCTATCATTTGAGGGACGACGGCTTTACTGTGGTTTGTTAACTGCAAAATGTTTATAAATCTCGGTAGTTTTAATCTATGTCACCAAGTTAGAACCAAGTTAACTCTGTAATCACATGTGCATACCTGTGAGTTGAATCGATATGGATATATATCTGATAGGAGAATGGTGGATTCTGTATTTCTATCTTCTTTACTTCTAGGTTAATATTACTAAATAAAAATATATCATGGAAAAACCCATAGACGTCAGATTAATAAACTGATGCGCAGTAAATATTACTCGCATCGCCACTGTCAATGAGAGGAACGAAATAAGGAGGCGCCAGTACAGCACTATGTTCGCATGTACCCGTATACATATCATGCACTTTTACAATAGGTGTCTGCTAATTACACTAAAATTTGAAAATAGTGCTATGACAACGCAGTATGATGTGTGTGCACATTTGCACACACGTAGTATATTTACATCATGTAATGCGGTAGTACAAATGTATAATTACACTTGTTCATATCAGCATAATATAAGCACAAGACCTCACATTTTTCATCGGTGCTGTCAATCACTGTGGTCTTACAGATCATGTTATATTATCACCACGCTAGTTCTCTGATCGATCATAGAATTTCTACCGGAGGGGGGGGGGGGATTTATCGTGACCGCTTACAAGATGTCACTGAATAGGAGTTGCTGCTCATAGAGATTCTACTGTATATTCACCATATTGCTGCCATAGCGGGGGTTGTGTGGCTGAATTATGATTAGGTGTGTCATTTAACAAATGGTGTGGTCTGTGTCCCTAACTTTAAAATGACGAAATGTCTTCTCACTGCTAACGACCAATTGGAATACAATTGACTGTTTAATGGCACGACAGCACCAGGTTTTCTTGTACAATGCCAAGTTCAAGGCCAACCAACCGATACATTTCGAAACCAATAATACGCAATAAACCCATTTTTTTCACCTCTCTACGACTGTCTGGCCATGTGCAAACATTGCTGCAACTTATGAAAGTATGTCCATTGATATTGTAACCGCTAGTTCATCCTGTCAACAGTGTTCAGTTTCAAAGCGTATATGCTTACACCCTAAGGGCCCACATCGGAAATGTGCACTGCGCGGGCGCAGTACTAAAATTTATTAAAATTGCATTTTAAGTTACAATCGATCTTCGTGAAACACGTAAAATTTAAAATTTAATTTTGATTTTAGTGATTTTACCTAAAGTTTTGTGAAACAGGGCCCAGATCTATATTTCATTTTGAACACGTCAATGATAACAACTCTTCCAGATCCTAGTGTAGTAGACAAGTAAAACGAAATTTTGAACTATAAAAAACGAAACGAAATAGGATCTGGGTTTTAATCAGATTGATTATTAAGGTATAGCATGTTTGATTAATGGGGAAATGAATCTGATAAACAATTTTGCGTTCCCCATTTTTTCTTGAATTTGTTTACCTATTGCTAGAAAATTTCCCCTTGGCAGTGATGCAGGACAGAGGGCTTGGAAAAGACAGTGAGTTGTCGATTGGATGAGCGGCACAGTGAGGTCCCTTGTACACATTGACGTGCACGTTAAAGAACGCTTGACAGTTGGAATTCGGAATAAGAGTAGACCATAGTGACGTTCTCCGGGCAAAATATCTCCCAAACCACCCGCAGGTTTGCCTGGTGTGTAATTGTTTATCTGTTGTGAAGACCTCCTGCACTTACTGTTGTACTATAGAATATTGAAATAACAATCAATCAAATCTTTTAAAAATTTTGGGAAATTTTATGGAATTAATACTTTCAAAATTGTCGTTATTTTTATCGGAAATTGATACGAACATTCATAGCGTTATATTATAGTCATATTCCTGAAGCAATGGCCCGAATAACCCCTATCTGGCCATTGCTGGATTGGCTTCTGATACTTGAGCTTTTGAGGGAGTGTGTCTATTCTTCCCGTTCAATCAAATCTGTCCCACGTACAGTCCTTCGTTTAATCTGTGTCTTCCCTAAAACTTTGGACAGTGATTTAAGGTATTAAAAACGGTGAAAGTATTGTTCGTTTCCAAACATTATTATTTACATGGTATCCGTGTTGATAGCTTCGTTTGTCACGCAAATATTTTTTTTGCAATATTCTGCTATGCACTGGTTAATTGGGCATAATAAAATAAAATCTTGAGTCATGACGTAATGTTAAGTAAACATATTTGATCCGATTTGGAGCTCTGTTTAAAGCGTAATGGTATTGTTACACAGTTAGCAATTAGTTGTTAATCGGACTATTGAACAGGAATCTGCTTCCTTTACAGCAGTGTTAAGTGGGATTAGCTCTAAACACTGCGAGGAGTATGTATTATAGTGGGACATTGGTTCTACAGAAAGATACCGAGTTTGTAAAAATCGTCTTGGATTTGTTAAAAAAATAATTCAAAATCGAAATTGTTAACTTTATTCGAAATATTTTTGATTTTCCGATTGCTAAAGCGCCCCAAATTTACAAACCAACAGCTAAGATAGTCTTTATAAACCAAGTTAAAGCTGGGAGATAATTCTACCAAATCTCCTCTTCGTAAAAGTCTTTCACGAGTAAAATCGCCATTTATGCCTTCAAGGTGTAGGAGCCACGGTTGCTAAGTGGGTGGAACGTGGGCTCGCTAGCCTGGAGTTCGCGTGTTCGATCCCGGCATTGGTCGAGAAAGTTCATCGTAATTTTCCGACGTGGCTGCCCCTTGTCAGTGGTGTAGGACGCAGGACCTGACAAAGGCAGCTGTCTAGTCCTTCGGATGGAACAAAAACCGAGGTCTCATTTATGCATTGGTGTGTATGTAAAGGATCCCTTGCCAGTTAGAATTCAATATAAGAGTAGACCATAGTGCCTCTGTCCGGGTAAAATTTCTCGCATAGCACACTGTGCAGCGTATGCCCGTCTTCATTAGCCAAGTCGGAGCAGAACAGTAGGCCATTTAAACTCCATTTCATTTCTTCAAGGTCTATTTATACTAATCTTACATCCACGTTTACCCATTCAAATTGTATATCTCCAATCATCACATAAACAATATTATCAGCAACATGTATTAGTGGTATCAGATGTTCTTACAAGAGTAAACTTATCGTCAAGTATCTTAGACAATCCCCCCATAGAATTTTTTATTAACGAGTTGTGCATGCGTCGCAAATAAATATAATAACAACGTATAATGATTTATTCATATAACTTGGCGTTTATTGTGTGGACGTCTATGTTATTAGCTATATTTTCACATAGGTGTTTATGTGTAACACAGGGACTGACCGTAATTTAAAACAAGAAAGTTTTTACCTGGTAGCCAACATGGTAGATGTTATATCCACCAGTCTACTATATATTAACCAGTTTTATGATTATTGACAATTTTCGAAGGGGCAGCACACAGGTCAGTAAACATAACGCACCAACTTTATATGGCTTCTTTCACTGTTAAACTGATACCGTTATGAACCCAGGTCTTTCGCTGTTAAACTGATACCGGTATGAACCAAGGTCTTTTACTGTTAAACTGATTACATTATGAACATAAGTCTTTCACTGTTAAACCAATGAACCTAGGTCTTTCAATGTTAAACTGATTCCATTATGAACCTGAGAGAGAGAGAGAAATGGGGTTTAACGTCCACTCGACTAACATATGGATTTATTTCAATAATTCGCTTGCGCATAGGGGTCTTTAGCAGTGGGAGGAAACCGGAGGACCCGGAGAAAACCCACGAGGTTCGACAGGCGCCCCTACTCCTTGTCACGTACAACCGGGGATTCGAAACCACGCCAGTCGACTCAATGACAGACTTTATGATACACCGCGCGCACGCTAACCATTCAGCCATCCAACCCCTCCCCCCCCCATTATGAACCTAGGTTTTTACTGTTAAACTGATTCCATTATGAACCTAGGTCTTTAACTGTTAAACTGATTCCATTATGAACCAAGGTCTTTACTGTTAAATTGATACCGATATGAACCAAGGTCTTTACTGTTAAATTGATACCGGTATGAACCAAGGTCTTTCACTGTTAAATTGATACCGGTATGAACCTAAGTCATTCACTGTTAAACTGATACCGGTATGAACCTAGGCCGTTCACATGCTGTTAAACTGATACCGTTATGAACCCATGTCTTTCGCTGTTAAACAGATACCGGTATGAACCCATGTCTTTCGCTGTTAAACTGATACCGGTATGAACCCATGTCTATCGCTGTTAAACTGATACCGGTATGAACCCATGTCTTTCGCTGTTAAACTGATACCGGTATGAACCTAAGTCTTTCACTGTAAAACTGATACCGTTATGAACCTCTGTCTTTCACTGTTAAACTGATTCCGTTATGAACCTATGTCCATAACTATTGAATACACAAACCTGACCATTGGTACTCTCCCATTTCGACTACATCCCATTTCGACTACGGCTTATAACAACAGATTATACAGTATTGTGGTTTTATTATCCCTACTTATATACCCTCTCTATAGCTAAAATAGATTCTTCCATAAAAACACCCCATTTCGACTACAGCTTATAACCAGTCTCAAAACCACCGAAATATTGTGTTGACGAGACGTTATTCTTAATTCATCACTCTGCTAATCTTGGCGAATTTGATCTTCAATAGTTGCTTTATTTCATTACATGTTAAATACACTGATGTATCAAAAACTCGGTGGTTTGCTTCAAATGTATTATTATCACCAATTCTAAGTCTTTTTACAAGGAATTCTACAGATTTTATTTATTTTACTGCTACTCTTACTTGAAATTTACTTCCGGTTCCACCTAGTTGGAGACAAGACCAAAGCTATAGCCCACTACAATCTGATCTGACATAGGATTTCGAACACTTTACTTGGCCTACGAGAATGAAAAATGAATTTTCTTCCACTAAAAAATATTTTGATTCATGTGTTCACTGTATCTGTCTACCGAACAATCGGAAAAGGAATAAAAACAATTTCTTTAGAGATCTTTTCATTCTAAATGCGCTTCTAAAGGTGGAACACAAATACGTTTTTAAAAGAAATTTCGAAACTTCCATTGTTCCAACACACCAACTTTGACATTTCTTAAAAGCATATAGCTATTACATTGAGAGTAGAATTATACAACGTTTGGTCTCTTTTTCTTGAGTTGCTTCCTTTTTTTAGTGAGTTTTTCATTATGACATAAGTCTCACTTCAGGCCCGGGACTCTACAGTGCAGTAAAAAAAACAAATCCAGAATCAACTCTCTAGAACCTCGGGGTTTTGATTTTCAACAGATTTAAATACCAGTGTTAGTTAATGATTTAATTCAAAAATGAATAATCGAGATTTTGTTTATTATCATAACAACGGTAGCGATGACAATAGAGACAACACTGTTCTTCATCAGAATGAAGTTATTTTTCTGATATTTTCAACATATATACCCCTTTCATCATCTATTTTTAACTATTATAGCAAGAACCGTCAGCTCTAAATCTTATATAATGCATTTTTTAATAGGTTATTTATCTATGGCGCTGTTATATTTACATTTAGCTTTAAAGAAATAGTCAAAAGTTTTTATGTTTAGTTACTTCTTTTATTCTTATTAAGTTTATTAACAGGGGTGGATTTTCAACATTCTGTTCAAGTGTCGGGTTGATACAACTTTTCTTGCTGTGGCGTGTGTTTCGAATTCGAATAGTAATAACGCCCTTTAAGTAAACCTTAAATTTCTAAATTTATTTGCCTTGATCCGACGACTCAATGTTTAATAACACAATAATAATGTCAATTTGATTGCCAATCCTTTCACAATTTTTGAAAGAAATATCCCACACAGAGAGTTAATCTGTTTTCAGTTTCTATATATTCATTAGTTTATTACGTTATTCGTGTATTATAAATACTACAGTTTAAGAGATCAAAACATTTCGCTTTTACACACCAAACAATACACGTAGACCTAAATACGCGTATAAGAGAGAGAGAGAGGGAGAGAGAGAGGTTGATGGGGGGGGGGGTGCATTACTATCTCAGAGTCAAGTTATGTTGCGTCATGTCAACATGTTATTATTATCATGTTTTTGTTACAATGTTATAATGATATTGTTACCATGTCACCATGTTATTGTGATCATGTTATTGTAACCATTTTATTGCACCAGGTCGAATCCCCGGTTGTACGTGACAAGGAGCAGGGTCGCCTGTCCAACCTCGTGGGTTTTCTCCGGGTCCTCCCATTTCCTCCCACTGCTAAAGACCCCTACGCGCAAGCGATTTATTGAAATGAAATTAAACCATATGTTAGTCCCGAAATGACCTGGTTTGTGTCCAGTGGACGTTAACCCCCCCCCCTCTCTCTCTCTCGCACCAGGTCAACCTGTTATTATTACCAGGTTACCATATTATTGTTATCATGCTACCATGATATTGCCACCATGTTATTATTATCAGGTCATCAGGTTATTGTTACCATGCTATTATTACCATGTCACCATGTCACATTTTACCATGTCATATGTTACCATGCTATTGTTACCATGTTAAAATTGTATTACCACCATGTCCATGTTAGTAGATAATCTCACTGCTTGGATTCTATCAGAATTCTGTGAAAATCAGGAGGCACAGGCTTGTACTGACTTATATCCTGGTGGATATTTATATTCATCATTTCGATGGAACTGAACTATTTTGAACTGATATTGTTTTGTAGATTTAACTTTCACAGTATTGTAGTTAGAGACGAATTTGTCAACCACTCATATAGTTAGAGACTTTAATATCTAAACAATACTATTTATATTTGTAGATTTGATATGGTATGATTTGATTTGATATGGTATGAAATTCCAGGCTGGTCTGTGCTAATTTTTTTCAGAATACTAAACCCGGATTTCGTCAACTTGCAATCAACGAAACCATCATGGAGGCGACTAGTTTTACTGTTCGAAAAAATAAAAAAACTTTACCTTTTTCATATAACATTGTCCATGCTTGTACTTGTTATTTCCTGTGTTGTCTTAATTTCGAATTACTTAACACGGTTATAACTACTCGTATTATTAACATCGATACTTTTAATCTTGAAAATAGTTTTCACCGGAAATATGGCGTTATTACTACATCTTCTTGGTTCAACAATGGTGGTCACCCTATCAAGGAAGATAATGAAACTGTTACAGCTGTGGTGCCTGTAGGCGAAATTCTAACCATTTACCTAAATGTTGCTGCGGTCGAAGAGATGGACATTTATTATACTGTAAATGATGCACCACCATTAAAAACACCTTCTAGATTCAGATGTTCAAGGCTCAAGTTATTTCAAAGGTCATGGGCATACATTTACCTCGAACCGTTCAACAAAATAATCAAAATTAAGAAAGATCATTTCAAAATGAAACTTTGTCCAAGTCCAGATGGATACGGAACTTACAAGTTTTTTATACGTCGACAAGTTTTTAACAAGGCGTTGAATAAATCAGAGACAAATGAGTTTCAATATTCTACAGTGTTCGACGTCTTGGCTGATAAATCACAAATATTTGATAACATGTTCTTTACTGTTTCGACAATTAATAATGGACCCCTGAAATTGAATGAATCTACTGCTGGGCATATTCTAGCAGAGACCAGATTTTTGTGGATTATTGATCTTATCGTTACTGTAGCTATCGGATTTGTGGCTTTCGTCATGGCATTATTGAAGTCAAATATAATTTCTTTGTTGTTATTCGCTTATTATCAGTTGCCTGAACCCCGAAATACTCATTTCTCAAGTGTAATAGTATACCATACGGGTGTTGTATACTGTGAATACAAAATAACAAAATTTCAGATTTTAATTATTGCAGTTTTCCCCAACTTATTAAGGCAGTATGTGACGAACATTACATTACGGGAATGTCTTTTATATATTGGTATAGCATATGTCTTTTACTTTATATTTCTGAACCATGTATTGACTTTTATGTGTTATGAACTAGTTCCATGTGACAATCGTGAATCGGAAGCATTGGGTGGAATTCCTCCCTCGGATCAGATTGTTAAAGTTTATGATATTTATATATCTTATTCTGATCGCGATATTTTATTCGTTAAAGAAGAAATTCTACCAGTTTTACAGAAAATTGGGTTGCGGGTATTTTTTCGACATCACGATGTATTGCCCGGAAAGTTAATTTTAACTGAATGTGAAAATGCGATTTGTTCGAGCAAGGCTTTTATCGCAGTTGTTACTGACAGATATCTGAAAGACTACAGTCGAAATAACTTCGAATTATCGCTTTTAAAAAATGTCTTGAACAAATCTGATATTCCAGATAGCAATCTGCTAATTATGATTTTCCCGACTTGTGCTTGGAATGAGCATATATTTGATAAACATACAATAATTGCTATTGCCAGTGATACCGTTTTACACGATGACGAGAAATATGAAATTGGTTTATGGCTAAAACAAATTGATGATGACTTTAATGTCCTCGCTATAGAACATGGTTAAAGATGTACTACGGGGGATTTAGATAAAGAGCTGGCCGTACTTGTCATAATAGATCCAAATTAGATCACGAAAAATTAATATATTGAAAATTTCTGTCAAATTACTGATTATCTGTGACGTTACCTGTCTTTTAAGTCTTGACAAAAAAATAGACATTGACATTGCTGATTGTGAAGTACCATTGCCTCGATAACAAATGAAGTCTGGAGTTTTATTCCTTTGGTCGGTATAGTTTCCATGAGTGCCCGTCACCTTCTCGATTAACGCAGACATGTCGAACATAATCTAATCTAAGCCATGATTTCACATTGGAAGCTTCCTGAATAAGGAATATTGGTAAAGGGCCTGCAACGGAGAATCAACACCAGCAGTAGATTCATTCTGATTGACATACAAGACCATAGAAAATAACCCGTTTTCTATGATTCACTTACTATTTTGCAGTCTGCGCACCCCCAAACCCTCACCTACCGCCATTTATTTTAATGCTAATTCTTCTTGATATTTATATAACAGCCTGAGACCAGGACTCAAGGGGAGATAATGAAGTGTTTTGTTTTCTCTGTTCAGTTTAAGATTGTGAGTGTAGCTGTTCCTGGTTTAAATAAACACTAAATAATATTTATGTTGTCATTACCCCAAACAACACAATATTTATACCCGAGATTTTCATTTTTCCTATAGTTTCAATACCAGTCTAGATTTAAGTAAAAATTACAAGAAACAATTAATTGATTGCATTGTATTGTATATTTCCATCTCTACATGGTCCATAATAAATTTGTTTATTGGATATAAAATATTCGTCTTGTAATATCTTCTTCGTATTAAGCATAGTCTGTCTCGTGTAAAACACCGGAAATTTGGAGTGATTGCTTATGGATTCCATTGACGTTCCGCATAAAAATCTTTACTTTCTAAAACAAAATGTATCATGTTTATGGCATTAGATATTATGATCCTCGAAAGGTTCAAAAAGATATGCCAAAAATGCCATGGTATTAATTCGAGAACATAATTTCTGGATAACTAATTGAAAAGTTTCAGGTATGTGTGTAGGGGGGGGGGGGTCTTACCCTCCATCCTGTCTGGACAATCGTGACTCTGCCAGGATAGTCTTACATTATGGGTTTTCAAATAGCAGAAGTTTTCGGCTTTTGTCGTTTAGTGTATAAAACGTGTTATTGATTCGGCTGGTTTCATTGCCCAAACAATGATTTTGTAATCAGAGGAATTTTAATCTCATTCCCTCTTGTGATATCTGAATATACATCAGACTAACGCAGTATTTGATACAAGAAATAGTTTGTGGGGAAATTAAATGGGGTTTAACGTCCTACTATTTTGCATCGACTGGGCTAATGAAGACGATTATACGACATACAGTGTGCTATGAGGGATATTTTGCCCAGACAGCGGCACTACGACCGACTCTTATTTCGAATTCAGGCTATTACGGTTTGCATGTCAATGAGTATACGGGCCTTCGGCTGTTCGTCCCATCCAAACGACTATACGTTTTCTCTTTCCATGCCATTCATCCTGCACCACTGGCAAGGAGGAACCACGAGCCCGATGACCTTTCTCGGTCAACACCGGGATTGCACTCGGGGGTTGGATGGCTGAATGGTTAGCGCGTGTGAGTTTTATTGTAAGGTTTGTCATCGAGTCAACTCGCGTGGTTTCGATTCCCCGGTTGTGCGTGACAAGGAGTAGGGTCGCCTGTCCAACCTCATGGGTTTTCATCAGGTCCTCCTGGTTTCCTCCCACTGCGAAAAGACCCCTACGCGCAAGCGAATTATTGAAATAAAATTGAATCATATGTTTGTACCCAAATGGGGGGTGGGGGTGGATGGCTGAATGGTAAGCGTGCGCGCGCTGTATCATAAAGTCTGTCATTGAGTCGACTGGCGTGGTTTCGAATCCCCGGTTGTACGTGGCAAGGAGTAGGGTCGCCTGTCCAACCTCGTAGGTTTTCTCCGCGTCCTCCGGTTTCCTCCCACCTCTAAAGACCCCTACGCGCAAGCGAATTATGTAAATAAAATTAAACCATATGTTAGTCCCGAAATGACCTAGTTTGTGTCGAGTGGACGTTAAACCCCATTTCTCTCTCTCTCTCTCTGTACCGAAATGACCTAGTGTGCGTGACAAAGAGTAGGAGTGGACGTTAAACCCATCTATCTATCTCTCTGTCTCTCTCCCCCATGTCTTGTACACGGGGTTTCCAGGTTAGCGAGCCAGCGTCTTACTCACCGAAACTTTGGCCAATATCAATATAGACCCTACTGGTCGGGCGTGCTTGTTCACTTTAAACAGTATTATAACAGTATAAAACGGACATTTTATTTGATCAATGTAAGAGATACAACCATTTGTTGTAAGGGAAATAACTCCTCTCAAACTAATCTGGCGTGGGACTACGAATTATTTTAAGTAATTCATGATTAATAAATTAAGTGCACATGATTAATAAATGTTTTGGGAAGAGGAGGTACGGATTGGAGAAATCTCATCGAACATTTCCACTATGGGTTCATCTCGTTTATTAGTGAACAATTGATCGCGTCAGTCCGTTTGATATTTTAATAGATTTTGTGCTCTTGGTTGATACAAAGATTACTAAACACCGCGGAATCCGCTTCAAAACAGTCATATCACCTGGTAGTGCATGAACGTAAACGATTTCACAGGGCATCGGTTCACAAAGATCGGCTTAGGTATGCAAACTCAAATCTGCCATCATTCCCAATTCTGGAAATATGGCCTTGATGATTTCATGAGTTCAACCATGATTTTACATTCAAGATTGATTGATTTAGGTCAAGAAGGAGTAGTGCTTTATGGAGGGAGGGGGGGGGCGAAAATGTCCAATCTGTTTTCGGTGCATGGTACAGAACCTTTAACATTGTAACACCGACTCAGTCGAGGATACTGAATTGTCCACAGTGCTTTTGGTTCCTTGTAATCAGTATATATGTAATTGGAACCACTTAAAGTAAGTACCGGTTATATTGTTGCTCTGTTGACACATGTGATAATTGACAAGATAATTCAAGACTCTCTGTTCCATGTTTATATCCGAATGCAGAGATTAATTTTACTGCTTCGTCCAGAAATTTAGAAAGAAGGATCAAATTCAACACAGATCGATAGTTTTGAGAATATTTCTGTCTAATATCGGATTTTCGCTCAAGGGGTTTTAAACCGGGTCACAGAAATATGACGGAAACATGCCAGCTACAATTAATTATAGGTTTTATAAAGGGGGAAGAACTTTAATGAGTGTCATTGATTTAAGTTGTACTTTCTTTAAAGGGCTAATCCCGATATTTTTTGAAGAATAAGACTGCTTAATTTTGTGTTAAAATCCCTTAAAATCCTCTAGCTAAGGGTCGAGCAACTAACTCAATATTTGTGATAAGTTTTTAAACAACTCAAACCCGTCAGTCTTCATCTGGAAATGTAGACCGGTGTCCCAAGCTGTATTATGCGGTGTCTTGATAAAACCAGAATTTTATTTTATGAAAATAATGTGTAGGTGAAAATTACCTTTCGTTATCAAGTATAGAGCACATGGGTCATTCACTATACAGACCTCTCAAGGAACGGGAATCGATTAACAGGTCATCCAACGAAAAAACTGACCCGAAATCTTAAAAGGGTTATGTATCCGGATAAGCAGTTTTGACGTTCACATCCAAACAACTCAATATTTTGAGCTAGAATTTTGAGAGAAGGTAAATACACCATTCCACTATATTTTGGCGCTTAAATTTTATACGTACTCCGACTTTTATTTTTGAGACTCTCTTGAAATCGGCATAGTCCCTTTAAGCATTGTTAACCTTTTATTCTACATCAAAACGACTACGGTAGTGCCGAAACCGTAGTATATATATATACTCTTCTTTTTTGAATTCTACTGTCACGGGATCTTTTACGTACACGCCAATGTGTACACGAACCCTCGGTCTTTCGTCACATCAGAACGACTATACATAGTCTCTTGCCATGCCCTCCGTCCTGCACGGCTGACAAGGGGGGACCACGCGGTATAATACCTTCTAAAATCTATTAACTTACAAATTGGAAAACCCTCTGTTACCAATGCTGGGCCATTTCTGTGGAATAAACTACCACAGTTAATGAAACAGGGTCTTCCAAAGTAAACGTATGGTGCTATGACCACCTAAAGATACATTTTAAATGTTCCTATTATTAATTAGAACAGGGTTCTCTTTAGTTTTTATATTTTACGCTGACATTTTATTGCTTGAAATCTTCCTAGTAAAACGCAAAATTTCACCTTTTTACCTCCGGGGTCACAAAGAACAAAGTTGAATTTAGCAAGTTTACATTTTTATTGAAAGGGTGATTACTTTCGATCATTTTCAGCTTATTTTCATGATACAAGAATGGCTGCGCATTCACTTTCAGTGCAAATGAACTCATTTGACCTTTGACCCCGAATATCTCGAAAACGCCCCGACGGCGGACTGATTACCACTCGGCATCGTATTCTACGCGAAAGTTTACTATACAAAAGTTGGGTCTGGTTTTGTGCCCATTTGATGGACACCCCTCCGCACTGAGCCTCTAGACTATAAGGATGATCAATATTTAGATGAATGATTGATGGTTTCTACATCAGTGATTAATGAGCCGATGAAAACAAGAAATTCTACTTAATGGTTGATTTACCACAATGTGAAAAGCGTTTTGTTTTCAACTCCCAGCTCTGTGCTCGTTTTAAAACACTGATACCCAGCTCTATTTCTCATCTTCTTTCGTGATACACAGTTCACTTAATTCATTTAAAGTTACAATTTCATATTTTCTAAGACAGTCAAAACACAATTATTTCTATGTCTTTTGCTCAATAGGTTGTCAACTCACTATTATACGATCATAGGTGTCATTCTCACACTTAAAACTCATTTACACCGGAAATAATAACACAATTACCTCCCAATTACCTCCCTTGTTTTCTATTCTCCACCATGGAGTGGCTAACTGCAAACGTTTGAATTTGAAGAGGAAAATGATATTTTTGCCAATTTCTCAACTGGCAATAGTGAATTATAGGATTAATAGGATTATTCTTTAACAAGGTAGGACTGTTCATAGATACCATCTATTTTAAGGCTTTATTTTAATAAATTTTAAAAATATAACGTAAAAATATGAAATTGCAACTTTAATACCTGGATAACTATCTGGTCAAATGGAAAGCGGGAGTAATACAAACGACGAGCCTACTTGTTCAGGATGACGATATTTGAAATAAATAAAAGTAACAAATGAGAGATGTAATAACTGTTATATAAATTAGTCCCTGTCTTATTAAGGAAATTAATGTGTTTATAACCGAGCTCTACGCAATGGCCAAATTTAGAGAGACCGTGGGCTATTACTCTCATAAAAGTTCAATAGTACGCAGCTTCTAGCAGTGTAATAGTACGCGGCTTCTAGCAGTGTAATAGTACGTGACCCCTAGCTTTGTGTCTTGTTGTTGTAATTTCCACACTTTCCAGTTCCAGTCACATGATTTAACATGAATAGCATAACCAATGTAACATTAAATATCCAATATTATTTCTATATAATGCCAAACAATACCAATAACTCCCGGGACCAAAATCATAAATAACCTCCACTGTTCTTGATGATCTCGAGACACTTTAAGGCTTAATTGTGAACATTATCGCCTGAAATAAATATAAGCATATTAAGTGCAAACACGTGTTAATTCAAATGATAAATGTTTCAAGGACAAGACTGTAGAATTTCTCTAGTATATTTGGTCCTGTTCATAATTCTAAGATAATCCCCTGCAAGAAGTCAATTTATGATAATTTGTCGCCATTTTTAGATATTACCAAGTAGGAAGTCAATTTACTGTAAATTGTCTCGATTTTCAGATAATCCCATTTCGGAAGTCATTTTTTGATAAATTTTCTCCATTTTTAGACATTACCTTGTAGGAAATCAATTTACTGTAATGTTGTCTCGATTGTTAGAAATTACTATGTAGGCGATGAATTTACTATCCATTGTCTCTATTTTGGGATATTCCCCTGTAAGAGGTCAATTTTGAGACATTACCTTGTGGGAGGTCAATTTACCATAATTTGTCTCGATTGTTAGAAATTACCATGTAGGAAATTAATTTACCATAATGTGTCTCGATTTTGAGACATTATTACCATGTAGGAAATCAATTACCTGTAATTTGTCTCGATTGTTAGAAATGACCATGTAGGAAATAAATTTACTATCAAATGCCTTCATTTTGAGATATTCCCCTGTAAGAGGTCAATTTACCATAATTTGTCTAGTTGTTGAGATATTACCATGTATGAGGTCAATTTACCATAATTTGTCTAGTTTTTAAGATATTACCATGTGGGTGGCTAATTTACCATAATTTGTATAGATTTTGAGATATTGCCATGTGGGAGGCAAATTTACCATAATTTGTCTAGTTTTTTAGATATTACCATGTGGAAGGTCAATTTACCATAATTTGTCTAGATTTTGAGATATTACTATGTAGGAAATAAATTTTCTGTAATTTGTCTCGATTGTTAAAAAATACCAGGTAGGAAATCAATTTACTATAAATTGTCTTGATTTTGAGATATTCCCCTGTAAGAGGCCAATTTACTATGTTTTGTCTAGATTTTGATACATTGCCTTGTGGGGGGTCAATGTATTATAATTTGTCTTGCTTTTTAGAAATTACCATGTAGGAAATCAATTTACCATAATGTGTCTCCTCGATTTTGAGATATTACCATATAGGAAATAGTCCAGTTACTATAATTTTACCTTTACGTTAATGGATTGATGTCACACCTGAATTGGTTTGAACTTAAAGAATGTTAGTGCCTGATTCTGAAATTCCAATCTCTGTTATGTTTTATCTTAGAGACGCCAGGTATATATTTGTCACGTGTTCATCTTATACCTGTATAATTTCTAACTTGCCCTTGATAATTAAAATAGTTTCGCTTCATTTAATCTTAATTATAAAAATTTATTGTTTAACGAGCAGTAGAAATATTATGGCGTCCATAGCATCATCTGGCATTTACGCTTAAAGTTGCATTATGTAAGAGCTAATTCTACCTATTGCAGGTGGGGGCGACGAAAGTTTATCGGGATATTCCGGCGTGGTTCCCTTTGGCTTTTCCCCATCCGAACGACTATACAGCTGTACTTATCAGGTCCTGCATCCGGCACCACTGACAAGGGAAACCCAAATCCCGATGAACTTCTCGGGGTAGGGGTCTTTAGCAGTGGGAGGAAACCGGAGGACCCGGAGAAAACCAACGAGGTTGGATAGGCGAGCCTACTCCTTGTCACGTGACAACAGTTGAGACATGCTATCCGGACAAAATGTTCCTCACAGCACACTGTATGTCCATCTTCATTAACCCGATCGGTTTTTCGTCCCATCCGAACGACTAGACATCTGTCCTTGTCAGGCCCTCCGTCCTGCATCACTGACAAGGGGAAACCACGCTGGAAAATCGGGATGAACTTTCTCGGCCAATGCAGGGATCGAACACCCGACCTCCAGGCTAGCGAGCCAGCGTCTTACCAACTTAGCCACCGTGCCCCCCGCCTGTCCAACATCGCGGGTTTTCTCCGGGTTCTCCGGTTTCCTCCCACTGCTATGACCCCTACGTGCAAGCGAATTATTGAAATAAAATTTAACCATATGTTCGCCCCGAAATGACCTAGTCTGTGTCGAGTGAACGTTAAACCCCATTTCTCTCTCTCTCCGGCAATATGTACACGGGACTTTGATTTTCTTTAGATTGGATAGTAATATATTTCATTACATTTTATCTGAAATGAGTTGATTCTGTTTATTTGGTGAATGCCGCGGTGGCTCAGCGAGAGTGGCATTGGCTAACCAGGAATCCGGGGTTCAATCCAGATGTTGGGCGAGAACGCTCCCCAGGTTCCCCTGACAACAGTTGAGATTCGCTGTCCGGGCAAAGTTTTCCTCATAACACACTGTATGTCCATCTTCATTATCCAAGTTGGCGCAGAACGGTGGGACGTTAAACCCAATTTCATTTCCATTATATGACGACTGGACAAACATAAGGGGTTGAAGAAAAAACAACGGACGATCTGACCCATTTTACATAAATAAATATTTTATATTGGTTTCCCAACAGATCAACCAATCAAATGTGCAGAATATTGGAATCCCACATATCAACCAATCAAATGTGGAAAACATTGGAATCCGCACCGATCAACCAATCAAATGTGGAGGATTCGTTTCTTTGGTGGACACGATAAAATTCTTGAAATAGATACTCGAGTCACCAGTAGGCGCCCATATTTCTTTACTTCCACCAAAAAATACCGAGAAAAATAGCCCCTTTAACTGGATGTTGTCATGGTTTCGGAAATTGACATTATGAATCTCGTAGACCTTTTTACCATTGTACCATATTTTAGCGTAACCGTCCAATTTACCCGGCGTGTTGAGGTGAACATGTTGTGCTATGTTCTCCCATCGTCCAGTCTTAAACGACCAAGTTCCGTTTCCAAGTGAAATACCATAAGTAGGGTCGCAAATAATGTAAGGCTGATCACAGAAATGCGCCTTCTGTTGCGTAGGAGCTGGCATATATGTGTAAATCTCGCCCTCGCCGTTGAAACGCCACATGAATCGTGACGTCAAACAAGCATCAGAATGACGTCCACCGGTACAGTTGGTAGCGCCACCATAAAGACCCGGAAGTTTACCACCGAGTACGAAATCCATTCCTTTGTTGAAGTATACGTCATAACTGAGTGTCATGGATTCATGTGGATACACCGATTGTGTATAGAACTGGGCTCCCCGTTTTCCTCTAATCTTCACATAGTGTCCTTTCTGGATAAAAACTTTCATTACTTTACCAGAACCACCCGCGGGATCATTCACCACGGACAGAGAATCCTCGTCAAAATGACCTTTAGAGAGTTTAGAGAATCCATCAGTAGGATCGTTCGTGCTAAAATCATTCTTGTGCCACAAGATACCTGAAAATAATTGTGTTAAAATCAATTAATCTTGTAATTAATATAGATGTGATGGTGGTGATGGTGTTGGTGATGGTGGTGGGTGATTGGGTGGTGGCTAATGACGAAGCGTGGTTTGGTTTTCTAATACACCATTTAAATAATCTGCTTCATGTCTTTTTGTCAAACATTTCTTCCATAGCAGGTCAACTTGAGACAAATACTGGGTTTTGTAAACGGTTCAAGTCTCTTTTTAGCGTAAAAGTAATCTCTTGCCAACAACACTATTTTGGAAAATGAATCTTTAAGATTGTCAAAGTTGGATCTCTAAAAGGAATATCAATCCAATGATGCTTCCATTCCGTTCAATATTTACAAAGATATGTTGAATTGAAATTTCGTCAATGTATGCTTATTTTGTAGGGCGGATCGGCTTATCCGATGGGACGAATCGGCTTATCCTGTGACATAGTTCGGCCTATCCTGTCGGACAGGTCGACTTATCTGATGGGACGGTCGAACTATCCTGTAACATGGTCAGTTCTATTGAAGGGCATTATCATACCGTACCCGAAGGGTCGACTTATCCTGTTCTACTATAACAATATCATACCGTACCTGTTGGGTCGACGTATCGTGTAACATGTTCTATTGATTTCTGTGTTATACCGTACCTGAGAGGGATACTTATCCATTAATAACAGAACAGCAGTACACCTTACCTGTTGTGTCGACGTATCATGTAACATGTTCTATTGATACCTGTGTTATATAGTACCTGGCGGGTGACTTATCCCGTAACATGTTTCATTAATAACAGAAGTACATCTTACCTGATGGGTCGGGTTTACTTGTAACAATAGTATGAATATTGTTACCATCCATTCCTTCTATATAGAACTGTACCCGAGCTAGAACATCGCCTTGAACATGGGCAATGAAATGAAGGCAAACCTTTTCACCGGTATGAACTTCAAAATGTCCTTTAGTTGGTGTCAAGATAAATTCTGTTCCTCCGCCTAAAGTTTGAGCCACTTCAGCTTTATAAACCTATGATATAAATGAAGAAGAGGACAAACTGAGATCAAAATATGGTTTGATATAATTCAGCTTTATACACCTATAATATAAATAAAGAATAGAACTAGGTTTTAACGTCTCCTTAACATTCCGAGACTAACAAACAGACAGACGAGAAAGATAAGTGCTTTTTTAGAGTTGCCCTGACAGCATTCTAACGGTTTAGCTTAAAGGAACTAAATCGGTAATATTTGGAACCTAGCAATTGACACAAATGGGTCCCAACGCATATAATAATATAATATGAATGTGTATATACACTGATTTACATTCAATCGTTTCCGTTTTTACTCTAATTTCAAATCAGTTATGTTCGGCGAAATACGTCAGAAGTCTCAATCGAATGGCAACCTCTAGCGTCTGGTTATTCTCTACACCGACAGTATTTATTGCGCATGCTCTCCAGAATAAGAATATAGTGTCATCACTTGTGGAATATGTCTAGCCTCGTCTCGTTCTTCGAGCCCCTTTTTACCAATGGCGCTGAAATGCATTATATGGTAAAATGTTTATTTTGTCTTAAATATTGGATATCAGAAGCCCATATTTTCCCGGTAAGATCACAACATCAATGTTGATTTAAATTGACAAATAATCCGTGTTTTCAATTTCGAAGACTTTGGATGATATTGAGTTAGAGACTGAGCTACTTTAAGTTATCATAGATAATGCATCAGAGACACTACCTCGCATCAAAAACAAGCTCGGGGATGGATAACTTGCGCTCGTTTTGAACGATTGCCTAAAATGTCTGTTATATGTAGTATGATTTGTTTATACCACAATCACCCCTGACAATAATAATACATGTTGAGTACTGTTGATCACTTACGTCCAGTGAATCAATATGGCGATCGAAAATAAGATGTCCCCTCCACGTTTTTAAATCTTTGGTGATTGGTTCGCAGAATTCCGCTTTAAATCCACCTTTGTAATGTTTGGTTATTGGTACGTCCATACCTCGTACAGACAAACATCCCAGTAGTATCAACAGCAACATAATGTCACCCTTCCTGAAACATTGCACGAATATACTAACTATCGCGTCCTGAAACATTGCATAAACATACAAACAAATACTGGCGATAAGACAAGCATTACATAAACATACAATAATTGGCGTACAGACAGACTTCTCCGGTACGAACATCATGATTCCCTTCCTGGAATATTACATAAACAAATAATCATTGGCGTACAGACAAGTAATACATAAACAAACAGAGAGAGAGAGAGAGAGAGAGAGAAATGGGGTTTAACGTCCACTCGACACAAACTAGGTCATTTCGGGACTAACATATGGTTTAATTTTATTTCAATAATTCGCTTGCGCGTAGGGGTCTTTAGCAGTGGTAGGAAACCGGAGGACCCGGAGAAAACCCACGAGGTTGGACAGGCGACCCTACTCCTTGCCACGTATAACCGGGGATTCGAAACCACGCCAGTCGACTCAATGACAGACTTTATGATACAGCGCGCGCACGCTAACCATTCAGCCATCCACCCCCCCCCCCCCATAAACAAACAATCATTGGCGTACAGACCGACATCCCAACACGAACATCACGATTCCCTTCTTGAAATAATACCTTATTTATTGGCGTACAGATATCCCAGCACTGACAATAACAACAACGCTTCCTGAAACATTACACAAACGTAGTAACTAATGGTTACAAGCCAGCATTAACAACAACAACAACAACATCATGACGCCCTTTCTGTAACAGATCAGCTCTGTATTTGGGTCGACGCCAACTTGCCATAAAACTAGGGGACCGAAAATAGGATTTGGTATCTGTCCCAGTACAATTTGGTAATTCTGGGATTAACGTTTCGCTTAGACTGGTGAGCAACACATAATCAAACAGGCAGTACTACTTGTTACGTACCATCGTGGAATGAACATCGCGACCACATTGATGAACGGCGGAAAATCTACAGTTAACAATAAAGATTCCATCGATACATTGGTGATATGAAATTTGACGCTAAGGTCTGACACCGGCGGTGACTCTTTGATACTTCCAGACAGGCGGCTTGAATATAATTATCATCAAACACTTCAATTTTTAGATTTATTCAGTACTTTTAATCAATCGCAGTAGAATAGTTGGACATTAAACCCCGTTTCATTCCATTTCACTATTGTTTAACAGATGATTCTGATAGATAAACAATTTCATCAACCAGTTTCGGTGTCAAGCTAAAGCATCAGGGTCTTCTCAAATCACACCAAACTCACCTGAGTCTGGGAGGAGTAAATGAATGTACTGGATAAAGCACGAGGAAAGGAATACCCAAATGCTTTATCTAACTTATAAGTCGTTTGAGACACGAAATTGAACTTTGATAAAAGGAAAATAATGAATTTTGCAAGTGATTCCGGGCACAGAAAACTCAGATTTTTACAATTACAGGTTTATAAATATATATAATTGTTACCTTCTTATGTCGACCTGTAATCTGAAAATAAACTTTACAATGCACGCTCCTTTTATCAGTTTTAAAAATCGGTTCAATAAACTCGTAAATTTTACAGCATATGACTTAGTTCTCATGGAAATCTTTGTTTAGCTTTCAAGGCTTACCGAACTGGAAAAAACTGGTTTTAAATTTCATAACGCGCAAACGAATTATAGAATATATTAGTCAAAGAAAAAACCTAGTTTGTGTCGAGTGGACGTTAACACCCCCCCCCCCCCCCGCTCCCTCTCTCTCTCTCTCTCTTCCCCCCTCTCTCTCTCTCTCTCTCTCTCTCTCTTTCTCTTGTACCGTGAATTGTATGCACCAGGGGTCAGATCTAAAGTTAGTAACGATTCTGTTCTCCTCGAGGGTCCACAGACGCCTTAGCAACGACATCGCATGGCGGTGACACGCCTCTGAATGAGTGCTTTTGGGTCTGTGACGCTTCCCCCGCGTTTCAATGATGCTTCCAATAGTCATGGTATCTATATATACCTTCATTAATTAACGCATCGGTACATTGCCGGTGTTCGTGTCATATCACTGTCTCTTCGGCATTCCATGGTCTTGCCATCATAACCCGGTTGGTGCACAAAAGTAGGACGTTAAATCTCATTTCAGTTTCGTATTCCACAGAACTGTAGGGTTTTTTAAAACAAATTATTTATTTCATGTTTGGAGATTCGAGAATAGATCCGTGATGCGTTTAGGCAACCATGCAACATGATTTCCACACAGTACCATTAGGCGATAAACACTTCCTGTTTCGTATTTAGAGGGGGTTTATTGTCCATTTAACCATGCTTGAATCATCGCCGAGTTGTCGTTGTAATGGATAATTCAAGCATGCTTAAAAGTAAAATAAACCCCCGATAAAAAAGAAACAGAAACGTATGTACGACCTCAAAAATATCCTATAAAACTATGACAGTGATGTCTACCCTAAGATTGTAGTGGTTGCTACATAGGCCTACCGTCCTGACGTGTTGTCAACAATTGGCATAATGAATAGGCCTATATTTCAGCAGCTATTTTCGACTCCCTCGTTGTATTTTCAAGCGATTTCTTGTGACTAATGACTTATTATTAGTTAGATCATGCCAGTCAGACTTTGATCAAAGCGTGATTTAGTCATTTCGGGACTAACATATGGTTTAATTTTATTTAATAATTCGCTTGCGCTTAGGGATCTTTAGCAGTGGGAGGAAACCGGAGGACCCGGGGAAAACCCACGAGGTTGGACAGGCGACCCTACTCCTTGTCACGTACAACCGGGGATTCGAAACCACGCCAGTTGACTCAATGACAGGCTTAATTATAAAGCGCGCAGGTGCTAACCATTCGGCCATCAAACACACCTTGAATTGAGGAAGATCATGAAGTACAAAAATGAAAAATAATAGACACTGTAATATTTATACACCTTGATAGTTTAGAGGGGGCTTATTGTCCATTCGACGACACTTTTCGACTAATCAGAATGGAGGAAATTTCTAATATGAGCTACAATAATAATTTGATGCTGTTACATTTAGAATTACAAAATTAAAGTGTATCTTTCAAACAAGGTGTTGTGCAGATTCATTGGGTTGAGTTTCTATATTAATGGATAATATACTGAGCGCCATGGAAAACGCATCACTTAGTTTTTCGTATAAAAAAATGATCCTGTAAACATATCTTATTTATTTTGCTTCTTATTGTGAACAATATTCAAATGGGAACACATCAATAACAACACATTTGTACACTTATGGATGTTTAATCTGTAAACAACGGTACAAAGATAGAGGGGTCAAAATTACGCACGCTGTGCAGCGACGTCGCATGGAATTAACCAATGTTTGAAAGAAGGCCTGGGGGAAATTGTTCCATTCTTGGACAAGAGCAGATTCTAAAGCAGCAATGGTGTGCATCTGTGGTCTCCGATATAGACGGCGTCCAATCTCATCCCAGACATGTTCTATCGGTGCCATGTCCGGATAAAGATGAAAGCGACTCTCATCACTGAAGAGGACACTTTGCCAGTCTACTCTTCTCCATGTCTGGTGTCCTTGAGCCCATATCAAACGCCGCTGACGGTGATGATCTCTGAGGATAGCTCCAACATAAGGTCGTCGTGCACGGAGTCCTACTCCTCTTAGACGACGTCTTACGGTGTTGGCACTTACTGGTCCTTGTCTTCCGACGACTGCTGCACCTGTTCGAGTCGCTGGACGGAATCTGTCACGCAGATGAGTAACCTGGATGTAGCGGTCTTGAGCCTGGGTTGTAACGCGTTGTGGACCAGGACGTTGACGGTCACGTGTTGATCCAGTAACTCGAACACGTTCCACCAACCTTACAATAGTGGACTGATGACAATTGAAGTGTCTGGCAATAGCACGTGTAGACATGCCAGCCCTGGACATTCCCATGGCTTCATTCCGTTGATTTTCAGTAAGTCTCGGCATCTCTAGCTCGATTCATTCACACGTCCAACAACAAATTACGGCAGATTGACGTTTCACAGTTCATGTACTGCACATTAAGTTGAAAACATGCTTTTAAAGGGCTCACACACAATACTGCACGTGAATATTGGGTTTTTCATGTGCATCCGGTGCAATTTTTTTTTGTGCACACGGGCCGATATTTTTTGCGTTTGGGAGCATTGTGTGAAACAATAGTTCATAGTATTGCATAATATTATACATACAAAACCACCTAGTAATAAAATATTTGGGAAAAAAAAGTGATGCATTTTCCATGGCGCTCAGTATATTTGCATGTTATACACAGCATACCTGATTATGAAGCAGATAATTGGTAGCTATAACATGACATAAAAAGACGCCGTACAACTCTCATGGGGAGTAATCTGATAATTGATTGCTTAAACATGCATTATGCAAGAGCAAAATCTGCTTATTACAAGTCTTTCTTTAGGCCTGAAATGTTATCTAAATCATCAATTAGACATTAATTGACTTATCCAGACCATAATAAACTCTCGATGTTGGCTGGATTAGATTCCTATATGCCGCTAACGGCCATTGATAATTAAATTAAAAAAGTGGATAATCGAGACTATGCTGTTTATATTAATGATTTTAGTAATGATACCCGCTTCTTTCTCGGCTCATAGTGGATCAATTTGACTGAAATTTTCAGCAAATTACCTTTACACTATCTAGTTTTTAACTATTATAGCGAGAACTGCCATCTCTTTATCTTATCTCCCATAATGTATCTTTAAATGGCTGTTTACCCTAAATATTTTAATTCTATATTTCTGTAGGGTTAACCTCATATATATTGGTGGTGTATTCTTGTTAATAGTCGCTTACGTAAGTAAAAATAGAACAAATTTTAAAATGATATTAATTTTGTTTATTTCAACCAAGAAGAGGGGGTGCGTCTCCCATGGATAAAATGAAATCTTTAAAATAGGAATAACAATCTTTTGTAGCTGCCCATTCTTTGCTGCCTCCACCAAAAAATGTTGAGAAGAAGATCGAGTTGATTTTCAGACTGTCCTTGACTCTCCATTTGATATTTTTGCCTGTATAGACCAGCTTACCATTAAAATACAACTTGACGTAACCATCACTTTTACCAACCGTATTCAAGTGAACGTATTCCGTTATCCGATTCCATTGGCCCGTCTTAAATCGGAACGTTCCGCGTCCTAGCGATATTCCTTTATCATTCGAGCATTCGACATCCTTCCTATCGCAGAATCCGTGAGCTTGATCCGGAAAGTAAGAGTAAACTTCCCCGTCGCCGTTAGCACGCCACATGAGTCGGGCTGAGAAACACGTATCATGATTATTGCCACCTGAACAATCAGCTTCATCACCTCCTGCTAGACCAGGCAGTTTACCTCCTTTGACGAAATCAAACCCATGACTGAAATAGACTTGATATGATAGTCCCATGGCGGTATGGGAGGTTGGGTGACTGTAGAATTGGGCGCCTTTGTAACCTTTGGTTCCCGAATAGGTTCCATGTTTGTAGTAGACCTTGATGACGTTATGGCTCCCACCTGCGGGATCCTTGGCAGCCGTTAGAGAACCATAGTTAAAGAAACCGTGCTCCACTGGTTTGAAGTTATGTAGAGGATCGTGGTCGGGAAAATCGTTATTATGCCATATTGTTTTAGCTGAAATAAACAAGAAAGAGAAAGGTTGCATTAATCACGTTACAAAGAGAGAGAGAGAGAGAGAGAGAGAGAGAGAGAGGGAGAGAGAGAGGATTGCACGTAAGGAAACCAGGTGCGACAAGGCGAAACCCCACGACGTTGGACAAACGACCTTACTCATTGTCACGTACACGTGGGGAATCGAATCCACGTCACTTGCCCTTAATGACAGACCTTTATATGTAAAGCACTCGCGGTAAACAATTCGAACACCCAACCCCCAAGTTTGATATAAAATAAGATTTTTGATTGGTTAAAATTATGTTGCTCTGAAGAGGTATTTAGTTTAGCGATTTAGTAGATCACATAGGATAATTATTTCATAATCGGTGCCACGGTGAATAAGGCGTTGGGTCGCTAACCTAGAGGTCTTGTGTTCTATCCATGCGTTGGTTACGAAAGTTCATCGGGATTTTCCGGCGTGGTCCCCCTTGGGACACATAACCATGCAAGGAAGAGCGTACCGTCGTTAGGGTGGCCGAAAAACCAAGGGAGAGAGAGAGAGAGAGAGAGAGAGAGAGAGAAATGGGGTTTAACGTCCACTCGACACAAACTCGGTCATTTCGGGACAAACATATGTTTTTTTTAAATTTTATTTCAATAATTCGCTTGCGCATGAAAAACCAAGGTCTCGTGTACACATTCACTTGCACCAACAATACACCTTGGTAGTTGAATTCGATATAAGAGTAGTACACTGTATATCTGTCTTATTATATAGCTCGACATGTGTTGGGTGATCTGTATGTACAATTCATGACAGGACTAAAAGTTCTCGCATTAAGACCAAACCATATTCCTGAAGGAATGGCCCGAGAACTCCATCTGTAGCCATTACTGTGCTGATTTGAGACATAAATTAGATGTAGGTCCAGCAGTGTTTGATTGGGGTTAGAATTAATCAAACAAAACACTGTGAGGAGTATGAGACCCAACTTACCTGCTCGTTTATTAATATCGGTGTTGTTTGTCGAGTTAGCAAGGTGTATACACCCAACAATCAACAGGCACCAGAGGTAATACATCTACAAAATATAGAAACCAGTAGCATATATGACAATCATGAACATGGTCCGTCATTATTAAAATATGGGGATGCGAGTTCAGTTGTAGGAAAATGCCCTGTCGACCAAAATGGCCCAAGTTCGAATCCTGGCGTGAGCTGAGAAAAACATTTCGACATTTTGAAGCCCGGTTCTCCCTTATCAGATGTGGTACATCTGGGACAGACAAGGAAAGGGTACATAGTCGTTCAGACAGGACAAACAACCCAGATCCACAAGTGTATACGGTGTCACCCTAACCCTAACCCTAACCCTTGGCAATTCAAAAAAAGAATCCGACGGAAACGTCGATGCCCGGGCAAAATTCTAGTGTCGCATTGCCAACGTAACCTTTGAAATGGGAATTAAAGTATGCTAGTCTTCAAGTAACCTAAGTATTGCGTTGACGAGACGTTCACCCCATTCCATTCTTAAAAAATAAGGTTTGTATTAACCTTGAGGCTGTGTATCACTAAAGGGTGGCTTATTCTACGCTAACGGTAGAGATTCGTAATCATCATTTGTACAAAAACAGATCAAGGTCCATGGCCGAATTACAGTTGGCTACACGTGCCGATTGGCTGGGTGGTTTTTTTTATCTTCGAAACGCTTCAGTTACCAGCCGTCAACACGACGGTTGGTGACTGATGTTTATCCGTAAATTTTGTTTATAATAGAGGAAATTACGTCACAGAGAGACTATAACGTTATAATGTTAAGAATTAGACGATGTTGTCGCCATTAACGTTTCAGGGAGTCAAATTATACCTCTCTAACGTTAAGACTTCGACAAGGCTGCCACCAACAACGTTTATGGGGGAACTAAATTAAAGCGTTATAAGACGTAGACGATGTTGTCAAAAATAACGTTATACGGAGGACAAATTATAATGTTCTAACGTTAAGACTTAGTCGAAGCTGTTACCAACAACGCTATAGGGACTAAACTACAGTGTTATAGCATTAAGACCTAGAAGAGGCTGTCACTAACAACGTTATAGGGAAACTAAATTATAAGATTATAGAGAGACTAAATTATAACGTTAGGACTTAACGTTATAGGGATACTAAATCATAAAAATAAGACTTAGAAGATAGTATAACCGACAGCGTTATAGAGGGACTAAATTATAAAACTATAACGTTACGACTGTCACGGTACCGTTACCATTAACCATAGGAGACTTATTAATAACGATAAGACTATACAGATGTATTTGATTTAAAGAAGATACAAGAATATTACCCACCTCTGTATGACTGTGTATAAATATACTGGATAGGTTTACTCGAGTTTTATACCACAGGACAGATTAATTCACGGGATAGATTTCAACTGATAAGACATTAATAATGTTTAAAACACACGTAGTATGAGATTTGCTAAATGTCCGTTCATTCTATCAAACATAACAAAACCTGGTCCCCTTTTTTAAACACTAGATGATACGTGAATGATCTTTGAGAGGCATTTAGAAACTGGATTGAGCAATAAACTATAACACATACTTATGGAAGAACAATTACTGATTTATTTAGGCTACGTTTCGAAGAGTATTCTCTCAACGTTTTCAAGGTACTTGCTTTAAAACTTTGAGAGAATACTCTTCGAATCGTCGCCTAAATAAATCAGTATTTGTTCTTCCATAAGTATGTGTTATGGTTTAATGATAACGTGAACTTAACCTCTTTTAGGATTAGTAGGTATCTCTTTTAAACATTTACACGTTGGAAATCAAAAGTAGAAAAAAACTATGTGAAGTACCGAATAAAACTCTTTCAAAAGGCCTGGGTTAGACGCTTTCTATTTACTTTCGTGACTGATGATACGCGCACCAGATTAGAAATAATAGGTGAATTTGAGTTATGTTATAGTTGTTAGATCGATTAGTATTGGTCTATGCTGTTCGGGTTAACGCCTACTCCCATCACATACAGATGTTTTGTAGTTTGGAAGTGGAAATTTATTTTAAATTCGAATTTTATCAAGTGCATTGTCATCATCTAAAGCAACCCCCCTTCATCTCAAAATCTGCTGTAAGCCGCATTTCCTAACACATTGTACTCTAGCCATTTTGTCTGGATACGACCATTGCACATCATCCAATCACTCCATTTAAAATACAGATGTGACGTAATCCTTTGATGTTGGCGTACCATTATGTCCAATAATGTACGGGCAACTTGTCAATCGTACATTATCTATACTAGATGAAATATTGGACTCGCGTGAAGTATTTCATTGAAAAGAACGTGTGGGATGGTGTCTGTAGATTAAGTTGTTTCATGGTTTCGAGTTAAAGACATTGCGTAATATATTGAAACTACACTCGGTTTACGCCTCGTGCAGTATCAATATATTACTTAATGTCTCGCTCCCGATCATTAAACCATACATAAATGTCGGTCGTAGCGTTGACTTGGAAATCTATAGAAACATTTGTGACCATCGTTAGTGAAACCGGATCAACATATTTACAGATTCTCGATTGGATTTGTAGAGTTCAACGAAATATTTGTGAATTAACTCATTTATTCCTTACAGTCGCCTTCAAACATCTGTTTTATCCATGGGCTTGTAATCTGTGGGGTTTTTTTGTTGGTTTTTTTTAGGGTTTTTTTTTGCTGTGCGGTTCCAGGGTCGCAACTAGCTCAGAGCAATGAGCGAGGAGGATAGTATTCTCAGGGGTGCTGTAAAATTGACGGACAATGTATATCTATTGTTTTTATAGTCGACAATTTTTTCACAGTTGGGTGCGAAATGGCTTGCAGGGGGGGGGGGGGGGGGGGCGCAGGACTAGTTATGGGCCTGTGCGGTTCCCCTGCCCTTAATGTAGCGTTTTTAAAACAATTATAGTACAGTCAACATTACCATGTGAATTATTACATATGCTTGAAATAGAATGTCATATTACAAGAAAGAAACCTTGAAATGATAAGAACCGATTGAAGATTCCTGATATACCGATCCCAGATAAAGAGATAATTATTAGACCCATACACTCGTTGATGATATTCGATAGTGTGACCGGATTAGTGATAATTACAATCGGGTGCCTTGGAAATCAGGCCATGTACAATTCTAGCTATCAGTCACGATAACTAGGGTAGTGTGAATAGAATAATGACGTAATTAAACACAGTGAGCATGTTTCAGTTGTGGTGAAACTCAATGAAAACATGTCACTGATTGGACCGGAAGTGCTGGTGAGACATAATGTGATTTTGGTAAAGTGTGTGTCCACCTCTAGCAGCATCAGACGCCATGCAAAGTCACCACATGTAGGCCGAATGACCGTTTACCATGGCAGTACTGCTTCAAGTTACTCCGGTAACACAGCGAAACTTTCTCGGTGTTCACGTGGCAACCTCAATCTGATTACAATACAGATCTATATTTCGTTTCGTTTTTTTTATACTTTCTATGGCCTAAACTGCATGAAGATCTCACAATTTGTAGTGGGGGGTCACGTCAGGGGTCACACGAGCGGCTTTTGAACCTATGACGTCAGACATTTGATTAACCAATCAGCGTTGATGTTTCTGGTGGGTTACCCACAGTTACGTGCACCTCACGCCAAAAACTCGCCGTAATAGACCGTTTCATTGGCTAATGCCTCACATCATCCAGAACGCCTTATAAACATATTTAGAGATTTGCAGCGGAATTAAAAAGTAATGTTTTTGCCAAGCTCTAAGAAAATCATCATTTGAATGGACGTGAACTCATTTCCCGCCCCCCCCCCCCCCCCAACACACATACGCACACCAGCAACCACTCACCCCACCTCGCCACTGGGGCATCATAAACACTTATTTAGGGATGGGCATTCATAGAAGTTTATGTTTTATAAATATACATGATCATCTTTTATGTCAACATAATCACATTCTCCCCCAATTGTAGACATAGGACCCCCATATCTCAAAAACGCCCCTTCAAACGCCTGATCACCACCCAGATTCGGAATCTAAGCAAAAAACTGGTCTAGACAAACTTGGTCTCATAAATTCACAGCTCGGGTGGCGACTCCCCCCCCCCATCCCCCATCACCCATCACCCCTTCAGCCACCGGACTATAGATCGTTCGATTAGTATTATACATCCCTGGACTGGTAAACCGAGGTGTTCAGTTTACTGTCTTGGTAACCTAGACTGCGTTATGTAAAAATTCCTTACGGAGATTCCAATTGTTAATGCTCGATTTGGTCTGTAGATATAGTCAATAATAGTTCCCTATAGAAGCTACATTAAGCATAGCTCCCTATAGACGCCAAAACATCTACTCAAATATGTAATATTTATATCTGCACGTAATACGAACAAAAATTCTACTATGCCCAAGAAACATCAGATATCACCGGGGTCCCAAAAGATACCAGGAAAAGTCTTTATTATTTTGTACATAAAAAACATATTCCTTCAATGCATTTAAAAATAGATATTTTTTATGTTCACGGTGGTTGAGTTAATTCATTAACCCATTGGGAAGGTTAATTTTACCCAACTAGAAGGGAAACAATACAACTGCACCAGGATTTGATATTAATGGGGTTTTTCTACATAATTCCAATATAGAACAATTTATAGAGTATGCTTTGGTTATACAAAATTGAAGAAAAGGGATTATAGAGCAAATTATCTAAAAACCTTTGTTGCTTCTGGTTTTGGGGGGGGGGGGTGGATGGCTGAATGGTTAGCGCTTGCGCGCTGTATCTTAAAGTCTGTCATTGAGTTAACTTGCGGTTTCGATTCCCCGGTTGTACGTGACAAAGAGTAGGGTCTCCTGTCCAAACTCGTGGGTTTTCTCCGGGTCCTCCGGTTTCCTCCCACTGCTAAAGACCCCTACGCGCTACCGAATTACCGGGAAAACATTTTATCATTGGTACACAGATCGTGTATCATAATGCGAGGCTAGACATATTCCACAAGTCATGTCAAACGCCAACGCCATATTCTTATCTGGAGAGCATGCGCAATAAATGCTATCAGTGTAGACTGGAATAAACAGACGCTAGAGATCGCCATTCGATTGAGACTTCTGACGTATTCCGCAGAATATAACTGATTAGAAATTACAGTAAAACCGGAAACGATTGAATGTAAATCAATTTATATACATTCATGTTACATTATTATATGCGTTGCGATTAACGTGACTCATTGTCTGGAGAGTTCAGTTACCATAGTTACGACACTGTTGATTATTGTTTCATCGTATTACTTGTTTATAGAACAGTGATATAGGTATTTTAAATTTCATTATTTCTTTAGCAGCTCTTTAGTATTGAATTGTAGTAATTGCCACACCTAGTGCATTGGAAGTTCAAGTCGAATAATGCGGATGCTGTATTCTCTTCCATTGGGAGTTTTCGTTCGTTCGTTTCTAGAGTTTTACGTCCACTTCCACTTAGGATGATGTCGTAGACAATCCATTGGGATTGAATATTTGTTTATATTTAAATCGTGATAGGCTACAAAGCGTGAATTAAACTGAGGTATAGTAACACTGACACCTCCGCGATCGATACAAAGAAAACCTAACTGGAAGTTATTTTCTGGATCAAAAGAATTCTCTGTTGTTTTTCTAGAAATTATTTCGTGGCATGAGGTGTTCAGAGAAGAGCTAGCATAGCCTACTTAGATACGACTATTGTAAAACTTAGTTCTTTTCTGGATTAAAAGAATTCACTGAGGGTTTTTTTCGTGGCATGAGGTGTTCAGAGAAGCGTTAGCATAGCCTACTTAGATACGACTATTGTTAAACTTAGTAACTACTTATGCATATAATATAGTGGTGATGGTTGGGAATCCGGTTTTCAAAAGCCGAAGCTAGTTCGTAGATGGGAGCAAGATAGAAGTCCTAAGATCACAAGTGGGCTATACGCAAGTGTAATTACACAAATTGTTAACGGTGTGAACGTCCCGGAAATATTGGAACTTGTATCCCGCTTTTGCGATATCCTTGTTTTGAAGCGACATTTAAATCTCAACGCAAGTTCATAGGGATAATTTTGTACTAATGTAACTTAACGTCAGAGAAATGAAAGTACGAAACCTGTTGATGACGCTTATCTTGATATCTGCCTCGGAATTTATTGTCAAAACAAATGCACAGTGTCCGAAAACCACACATATGAATTTCACCGGTAGTGTATACCGAGAAGGTTTGGTTTTTAGAGAATTAAGTTTGAATTCAACTTTATCATGCTGTAAAGAATGTTTAAAACGATCTTTATGCCATTCTTTTAACTATAATAAAATTGAGAAGATTTGTCAGTTAAATATAGCGCCAACAGAAGAGGAGATGAACCAGACGTTATCTACAGATCCAAATTATGTTTACGGTGAAGCCAGTGCTATTTATAAGGTAATACAGTTATTAGTAATAAAGAAAAATATTGAGAATAGATGCTTTGTAGCCTCACCCCCCCCCCCACACACACACACAGAAACACACCCTCCACACACACCGACCCATACACACCTTCTGTCTAATACTTCAAGACCGAAACATTCACCATAGAAAGCTGTCCAATACATCAAGACCGAAACATTCCCCGGAGAAAGCTGTCCAATACATCAAGACCGAAACATTCCCCAGAGAAAGGTGTCCAATACATCAATTTTTTTATTTCGTCTACTTGGCAAAATAAAGTATCCGAAATCTAATAAACCACTAATTTTACTTTTATTTTAACTGAATACCACGAATTTGTACTGAATTGACTATGGATTAAAACATTTTGCCTGGAGCCACTCTACTTTGTGCGACATTTTTCGGGCATCTATTATTATTTGTGAAAGCAGTTGCAACAGTCTAATTGAATGGTTGGAATTCAGGGCGGCATAGAGTGGGATTTCGGTTACAAAACCATTGGACAACTTTGGAGCTGCTCAACTCACGGGCTAGAATAGCAGGAAAACGCATTTGCGGCGGTTAAATTTTCAAAATTTTCTCCAGCGGGGGCGAGGCCCCCATAACCCGCGATGATTGATTGGTTGTTTGGGATTTAGGTCAGCCAGGTAGGCTATATTGGACCACATTGAAGTTGCTGTATTCAAGGGCTGAAATAGCAGGAAAATGCGTTTGCGGCAGTTAAATTTTAAAAATTACCCCCCAACGGTTAGTTTTGTAATCGGAGTTCAGCTTTAATTAGGCTGTACTAAACTACTTTGAAGTTGCTTTGTTCACGGGCTGGAATAGCAGGAAAACGCATTTCAAAAATTTCAAACTTTTCTTGGGGTCCATACACGGTAAACCCCGCTCTCGCAGAAGACCGGCACCGATGTCTGCAAACCCGAAATTTATTCGGGCATTACGGGTGGTCAGGATTTAAAAGGATTCTGACAACCGTGAGATTTACAAATTTAACGATAAAATGGATAATCGAGAATTAGACTCGATTGTCATGTACCGTTGCTACGACCGATAATAAGCAATCTACGGTATATAAAACTCATAGCCTCGCTCAAAATAAAGTAATTTAAATGAAATTTTCAATGTATTCTTTTTCATTATCTATTTTGGAACTATTATAACAAGAACTGCCAGCTCTTTATCTAAATCTCAAAGAATGCATCTTAAAGATACATTATGGGAGATTCGATAACGAGTTGGCAGTTCTCACTATAATAGTTAAACACTAGATAATGTAAAGACAATTTGTTGAAAAGTTCATTCAAATTGATTCACTATGAACCGAGAACTAAGCGATTGAAATTTCCGCCTAGCCTCGATCATCATTACTAAAGTCAGTACGATAAACAGCATAGTCTCGATTATCCAATTAATCGTTAAATCGTGAAGGAAAGTTATGCAGTAAATCGGCTCATAATCTACTCACGATCGCAGGCTAGCGATGCCATCTAAAGTTGATTATGGTCTAGATAAGTTAATTAATGTCTAATTAATAATTTAGGTAATTCAGGCCTAAAGAAAGACCTGCAATAGACAGATTTAGCTCTTGCATAATGTATGTTTAAATAGAAATTTGTTTTTAACACTGGTCGATGATTTCACATGTAATTTCGTTGGTTGAACTTGACATAGGTGAACTGGATAAAAGTATACTAAATCACACAGTCTGTATGAATCGTGTGTATCTTTTGCAATCTGTTTCACAGAGGATTACGAAAGTCTTCTAATATCTCTGTAAAAGATGACTGCCTTCGACACGTGACGTCATATCACGCGGCGTCAATCATTGCCTCAGTGGCGCGTGCATTGTTTACATAAGACGTTACTGCTTCGGGCAGAATGGTGCCTCTACTCATTTTAATACCCATTTACACTAAAAAGGAAATATTTTTTACGTACAAATACTTCAAACGTCCTTCTTTTTTTCTAATACATAGACAAAATGTTTATTTAAATTATCGGAGGAAAAAAAGTTAATATTTAGGGCCCATTAAAGATACATTAGTTAAGAGTTAAATAAAGAATTAACCATTCTTGCTATAATAATTTAAAAATAGATGATAAGAAAGAAAATATTGAAAATTTCATTCAAATTACTTTATTCTCAGCCAAGTTATCATTGTTTGTAGTTTTGACAAGATGTGTGCACAGTGATAGCCAGGGCACTGGTATAATCGGGACTTAGCCTCGCTTTCCCATTTTTAAATTAAATTTTTTAATGGCGAACCGTTTTAATCTAGTTAAAATCTCGAGTATCCGGTGCCATCGAGGGTAGGTTATGGTCTTGTTTTGTTAATAAATGTCTAATCAATAGTTTATATAACATTTCAGGCCTAAAGAAAGACCTACAATAGGTAGATTTAGCTCTTGCATAGTGTATGTTTAAGTCGCATCCATGTCATCCTTATCAGTGATTGTGACCGGCCTAGCGAATATTCATTGCTGATCAGTGTGTATATTTTGTTTTCAGGGTTTACACCGGAATTGTATTAACCACACGTGTCCTGATTGGTCAGTTTGTGTTTCCGATGGAACAACGACATCGTGTGATACTTCCAGTAAGCTTCTTTAACTCTAATCGGCATGACCACGAAAATAAGTCTAATTAATTTCAAATAAGGTCATATTTATTATGGGAGCTCAGTGAGTAAGACACTGGTTCGCTAACTAGCTTTGTATCGGGTTCGCTCCCTCGCAATCTGATTAAAATACAGATCTATATTTCGTTTCGGTTTTTTTTATACTTTCGATGGCCTTCATGACCAGTTGTAGTGGAAGGTCGCGTCAGGTGTCATACGAGCTTTAGAAATTTATTAATCAATCAGCGTTGACGTTTTAGTGGTTTACCCAAAGTTCCCTGCACCTCACGCCAAAAACTTGCCGTAACAGACCGTTTCAGTGGGTAATCCCTCAAATCATCCAGAACGCGGGTTATATAACAACCCTTCCAGATCCTAGTGTAGTAAAGACAGGTAAAACGAAATTTTGAACTATAAAAAAACGAAACGAAATAGGATCTGTGTATTAATGAGATTGGCTCCCTTGAAATTTGCCCGGTATTTTCCGGCATGGTTTCCACGTGTCAGTGGTGCAGGACGGAGAACCCTTACAAGGAACAGCGAGTAGTCGTTCGAATGGGACAAAAATCCAAGAACTAGTTTACACATTGGTGTGTACGCAGCAGAACCCCTGACAGAATTCGAAAGAGAGAGAGAGAGAGAGAGAGAGAGAGAGAGAGAGAGAGATGGGGTTCAACGTCTACTCGACACAAACTAGGTCATTTTGGGACTAACACATGGTTCAATTTTATTTCAATAATTCGCTTTCGCGTAGGGGTCTTTAGCAGTGGGAGGAAACCGGAATTCGAAATAAGGGCAGATAGCTATGCCACTGTCCAGGCAAAATTTCCCTCATAGCACATCGTCGTTATACCAGTCGGAGCAGAAAAGTAGGACGTTAAACCCCATTTCATTTTATTACATATTTATCATGCCTTCAAAGTATGTTACTCTACAAACTGAAATCCAGCTTGGAAAATCCCAGTGGAATATTTTACACTTGTTGCCATTGTCGTAGTTAATTTTACGTGCAATCGAATGTATACACGGGACCTCGATGTTTGGTGCCATCCGAACTACTATTACGCTGTCCCTTACCAAGTCCTTTGTCCTGTATCACTGACAAGGTGAGTGAAACCACGCCGGAAAATCCAAATGAACTTTGTCGGTTAAAACAGGGATCGAACATGGGACCTTCAGGATAGCGAGCCAACGTCTTACTCACTGGGTCACCGCGGGGCCCATTGTAGTTAAAATTGTCGTACACTGGTATCGTTAAGCCTCCCAAGTCCCAACACATCGGCTTTATACACATATTACTCCGCAGGCGCTTCATACACATATTGTACCATAGGAGCTTCATACACACGTTATACCACAGGAGATTAAGAGAAAGAGAGAGAGAGAGAGAGAGATAGAGAGATGGGGTAAGATCATTTCGTGACTAAAATATGGTTCAATTTTACTTCAATTTTAGAAAACCTACTCCTTGTCACGTACAACCGACAACCGGGGAATCGAAACCACGCCAGTTGACTCAATAATACACCTTATGATACAACGCGCACTTCCTAACCACTCGGCCATCCCCTAGGAGATTAAGACTTCCGGATTCAATTCATTGTTCTGTGTAATAATTGTAATAGTATATGTTGTACAATAGTTTCAATAACTATTTTAAATTTGTATAATTACAGTAGATGTACCTAAAGAGTGTGGTATACCGTGGTCACGCCCATACAGCACCTATACATCTAACGGTTCATCACATATGTCTATAACAGACTATACCTGTAACCAATGGTCGGAATATATGCGCGGTACAACTCAGGCTGTTTGTAGAGCCAATGGAGAATGGGAAAACCCCACCATTGTTTGTGGAGGTAGGAGAACACTGTTTGTTACCCCGTGACCACGCTTTTGTTACCCCCCCCCCCCGTCACACCCTTTTGTTGACCCTAACCACACCACTTTGTTAACCCCGAAACACACCACTTTGATAACCCCTGGCCATACCCATTTGTTACCCCCTGACCACACACGTCTGTTGCCCTCGGTCCACACCCCTTTTTTACTACCTGACCACACTCGTTTTTTACCCCCTAACCACACCACTTTTGTTACCCCCTGACCACACCACACCCTTTTGTTTCCCATGACCACACTGTTTAGTAGCCTCAAGACCACACCACCTTTGTTACCCCTGACCACACCCGTTTGTTACCCCATGAGTGGTATGACCACACCCGTTTTCTATCCCCAGACACCACTACCACACGCTTCCGTTACCCCATGACCACGCTCTTTTGTAACCTCCTGACCACACCCTTTTGTTACCCAGGATGCATCCAACATTTTACAACATTTTCTCCCCGACCACACCCTTTTTTTTTACCCCCTTGCCACACCACTTTTGTTTCTGTTACCCCAACCCCAATATTAAGAAATATATCAGTCTTGTATTTGTTTTTATTGGGTATAGCTCCTCCAGACTGTGGTCAGCCTCCAAGAAGAACTGGAACAACACGTGTCTATAATTCAACCTCTGTTGGTGATGTCGTAACCTACAGCTGTGAAGATTCTTGGACTTATACTTCCGGCTCATATACATCTACCTGTGAAACCAATGCACTATGGACACCGACTCCAAATCTAGTCTGCAATCGTAAGTATGAGTTCGAGAGTAAAGGACTTCCACCTTGCATTCCGTACTTATTACAGTTTCACAGTCTTTTAGCAATTTTGTCACAGCGGTGATGTATGGTGGCTGAAGGGCGACACCACGACATTACGACGTGATACCAATCAGCCACTATAGTAATGCGAATATTTACTGCTGATTAGGTTGATCTTATAGCTGTATAGAACCAGCAATGTTGTAATGTCATTCGAGCACACTTAAGTGGGGTTCAAAATTTCAAAATTTTCTGCGAGAGAACCGATACCCTTTTCTAATGACCTAATATTAAACTTCATCTGTTCGCTTTACTGATGATCTATATAAAATGAAATGAAATGAAATGGGGTTTAACGTCGAACTGTTTTGCTCCGTACTGGGCTAATGAAGACAGGCATACGCCATACAGTGTGCTATGAGGTAAATTTTGTCCGGACAGCGGCACTACGGCCTACTCTTATATCGAATTCCAACTGTCGAGGGATTTTTTACTTGCACAGGACCTCGGCTTTTCGTCTCATCCGAATGACTAGACAGCTGTCCTTGTCAGGCCCTCCGTCCTGCATCACTGACAAGGGGGAACCACGCCAGAAAATCTGGATCAAAATGATCTATATAATATTGTTCCCATTACTATTGACGTAATATTAAACTCCATCTGTTCCTTTTTCTAATGACCTAATATTAAACTATATCCAATACCCTTTGCTATTTGATTTGACTCAAATATGCATTATGTTCGAGCGTTACTAAATATGTCTATTGCCGGTCTTTATTTTGGATTCAAATGTTATATACACCATTATTCAGACGTCTAGTCGTTCGGATGGTACGAGGTCCCGTCTATGCATTGGCATGCACGTAAAAGATCCCTTAACAGTTGGAATTCGATATAAGAGTAGGCCATAGTGCCACTGTCCGGGCAAAACTTCCCCGTCTTCATTAGCCCATTATTCAGACATTTTATGCACATGACAAGCCCATAGTTAACTCTCTAGTCCATCGGATGGCTGAGGACATTTAAATGGATTAGAGCCATTTAAAAAAAACTGAATGATAATCAAGACTTAACCGCAATTGTCAAGTATTGTTTCTACGATATTAAACAATCTACGCTAAATCTTCAAACTATCATTATAAACTAATTTGAGTGAACTTTTGAATATAATCGTTTTGTTATGATCTAGTTTTAACTATTACAACAAGAACGTCAAGAATCTTTATCTAATGCATCCTTAAACTAATACATGTAGGCTTCCATTGCAATCTACCAAACCGTGTGTACGATATTTTACTTGATTAGCTCATTTGGCTTTCAACAAAAACTATTTCCTCTTCTAAATGACTGATTTATTATAGATAGTAAATATTTATTTGCCTTTGTTTCCTCTGGACGTCACACCTTTTAACACCCTTCCATGACCACACCCTTTGTTACCTCAGACCAAATCCCTTTGATAAAGAGAATCTTATCCCTTGCGGGGGGTTGGATGGCCGAATGGTTAACTGTATCACACGGTCTGTCACTGAGTCAACTGGCGGGGTTTCGATTCCCCGGTTGTACGTGACAAGGAGTAGGGTCGCCTGTCCAACCTCGTGGGTTTTCTCCGGGTCCTCCGGTTTCCTCCAACTGCTAAAGACCCCTACGCACAAGCGAATTATTGAAATAAAAATCAAAGCATATGTTTGTCCCGAAATGACCTAGTTTGTGTCGAGTGGACGTTAAACCTCATTTCTCTCTCTCTTATCCCGTGCGTTACCTCTGACCACACCCCTTTTGTTTTTATTACCCCGCGGTCAATGTATCAGTCTTTTATTTGTTTTTATTGCCTATAGCTCCTGTAGATTGCGGTCCGCCCCCTTCAAGGACTGGAACAACGCATGTCTATAATTCAACATCTATTGGTGATGTCGTAACCTACAGCTGTAAAGACACGTGGATTTATTTTTCCGGGTCCTATGCATTCACCTGCGAGGCAAATGAAGAATGGACACCGACCCCAAATCTATTCTGTATTCGTAAGTATTTTTACAACATACATCGGCTTAAGACTTCCCCGAGCACATCATGTTTACGGCTGCGTGTTGTCTTGAAGAACACACTGGCTGACCAGGAGGTACGGGCTTCAATCCTGGTGTCGACCGAGAGCGTGGTACCCCCTGATAAGTGCTGTAGGACAGAGGGTCTGGCATGGGAAATGAAATGATATGAAATGGAGTTTAACGTCCTACTGTTCTGCTCCTAACCTGGGCTACAGGCAGTGTAAAGTCGCTTAAATGGGAGGGAGGAGTGGTATCAATCAACTGTTATAGACGGTTGGGGGATCACTATCTGTTATAGTAGGAGGGGAGGGGGAAGGCAGTCAATCATCTGTTATATGATGGAAGGTAGTTACTTTAGTAACGAAAATAAGAGAGCAGGTAGGGCTCTCATATTTTCGTTACTAAAGTAACTAGATGGAGGGTAGCAATCACCTATTACAGGGTGGGGTTAGGTATCAATCATCTGCTACAGGGTGGGGCATCAATCATTTGTTATAGAGGGGAGGGGGGGGGGGTAGTTCATCTGTTACAGGGTGGGGGCATCGATCATCTGTTACAGGGTGGGAGTATCAACCATCTGTTACAGTGGGGTTGAGGGTTGAGGGTATCAATCATAATTATGTTATAGAGGTGGAATCAATCATCCGTTATAGGTGGTGGGTACCAAGCATCTGTTAACTGAGGGGGGGGGTATCAATCATCTGTTACGGGGGGTGAGTGAGGGGTACGGTATCAAACATATGTTATTGGTTGTGGGTATCAATCATGCATCTTTTACAAAGGGGGAGGGGGGTATCAATCATATGTTATAGGCGGATGGAGCTGGAATCAATCATCATTGGTGGGTACCAATCATCTGTCACAGGTGGGTTATCACCATCTGTAATCAATCATCTGTGATAGGTAAAGAGCGGGTTAGTGGGTTGTATGTTATGGGCTTGGTATCCATCATTTGCTTAAGTGCTAAAGCCACAGCACTTGAAGGGATTAAAATAAAACTTCTTACTACTGCCTGACTATATATTATAAAAGTTCTTACTACTGCTGGACTATATTATATATATATATACTATTCAAAAAAAGTAGGGGATATTTGATTTTGGGGGCATAATACTAAAATATGCAAATGACTACGAAAAAAGTCACTATAGAACCTAACAGAAGAAACATTTCCAGTTACATGTGACGCCCAAACGCACCAATAGCTTCCGCATGGAATGCAGGTGATGCTTGGGATCATCATGGGGGTCCAACCCAAGATTTGCACGACTCTGACTTTGAATGTTACAGTCATTGTGACATTGAATTCCAGGGTGGAAACATCAGTTTAATTGTTTTAGTGACCAGAAAACAAATTTTGATATGCGTCGGCTTACCCAAAATGAAAGGTTACGTGCCCTTGGCATGCTACAGATCGGCACAACACAGGCGGTTGTGGCGCGGACGATGAATGTTTCTCAGTCTGTCATAAGCAGGCTATGGTCCAGATACCGTGATACACAATCTGTACAGGACAGACCACGCTCAGGTCGACCAAGGGCGACAACTCAAGCCCAGGATCGATTTATCCGTACCTTGGCCTTGAGAAATCGTGTCATCACAGCAAATCAGATCAGCGCTCGTCTTCAAACAGACACTGGTGTGAGAGTGAGTGGCCAGACGATTCGGAATCGACTGCATAGGGGTCACCTTCGCGCCCGACGTCCTCGCGTGATCCCTTGTTTGAGAGATCATCACATTCAGGCAAGACGTCGTTGGTGTAGGGATCGCCAACACTGGGATAATCGACGCTGGAGCAATGTGATGTTTTCAGATGAGTCAAGGTTCACTGTTGATTTTTTGGACAGACGTAGGAGGGTGTGGCGTCGTCGAAACGAGCGCTTCCAAGACGTTAACGTCATCAGACATGATCGATTTGGGGGTGGTTCTGTTATGGTGTGGGGAGGCATCACTGTTGCTGGAAGAACGGCTTTACATGTTGTTGCAGGGCGTGTTACAGGCCAGTACTACAGGGACAACATCTTGGCAGTCCATGTTGTGCCGTTCGCATGACGTCATGGCCGCCGTTTCATCTTCCAGGATCGTTACAGGTTACCTCCAACAACAGAACATCACCACATTACCTTGGCCAGCACTGAGTCCCGACCTCTCCCCCATCGAGCATGTCTTGGACATGCTTGGACAGAGGTTACGTCAACGTCAACAACGTCCTGCCAATGTCCAAGAACTTGCTGCTGCGTTGCAACAGGAATGGGACAATCTGGACCAAAATGACCTTAGACGTCTCATTAGGAGTATGCCACGTCGGATCAATGCTTGTTTGGCAAACAGAGGAGGATTTACCCGTTACTGACTTGGTTGTGATGCTGTGGTAACTTTGCTGTTTGACCCCCGGGTATCATTTTACCCTTATAATGGTCAGTCTGTGCCTTACTTAGTCTAACGATCATTTGGAATAAATCGATGAATGTGAACTTCATTTCATTTTGTCATTTGTTTCTTCGTCAGTTTCATTAGGTGACTTTAATAACACTTAAAAATCAAATATCCCCTACTTTTTTTGAATAGTATATATATATATATATATATATATATATATATATACTATAATATATAGTCAAGCAGTAGTAAGAAGTTTTATTTTAATCCCTTCGAGTGCCTGTGGGTAAAGCATACATATTAATAATGTTTTATTGTATTTGATTTTCTTTAGCTACACAGTGTGTTGCTTCGACAAGTGGTGGTGGCTACATTTATGTGGGATCTGTTAACGTCACAGGCACTGGTACACCTTGTTTGCGTTTTGATCATCCTAATTCTGTTTATGACTCTATAGACCTGTTCCCTTATGACACGAGTATGGATCAGATAGGAAACCAATGTCGACCTACTAGTGACCCTAATTATAGACCATGGTGCTACTATAAGTTTACATTCATAATTAGGGATTGGGACTATTGTGATGTACCTTTATGTAATAACTGAACACGACAAGCTTTCAAATTATGTTCTCTTTTCTTCCATTCTCTCATTGTACACTTCGTGGCGTATATCTGTCTCAATTGTACACTGCATTGTGTATAATATACACGGAAACAGATGCGTATATTTGTTCCGGTTCGTAACTCCCCCCAAAAAATTCAATTTTAAGGCCTCAGCAAAATTTGATGATGGCTGAATATGAGTGCGAGACGATTTCCTGAGGCTGGTGTTAAACATTCCTGACATTTTTATTAACTCGTTATTTTCAGAGATGAAATTACAGAATTGGGATGTCGGGAATTGTCTCAAATCTTATTTGACAGAGATTATAATCAGATATGCCACAAAATCGCATTTTTGGGGTTCATTTTTCAAAATTTTCCAGGGGGAGAGCCCCCGGACACCCCGTCCGGACTCCGCGGTCAGTAAAAGGGGCCGCACCGACCCTGGAGCCCGGGCCCAATCCGCCCCTGATGATAATTGGTGTAATTTATTGTATATCATAAATTGATCACATGTTCAGACATTGATCTCTAATTGATTCTACTACTGATCACCAGTTGATCAGTTGCCCAATCTGATTAAAATAAGGATCTATATTTCGTTTCGTTTTTTTATACTTTCGATGGCCTACACTACATAAAGATGTGACAAGTTATATAGGTCACGTCAGGGGTCAAAAGACCGACTTAGAACCCTATGATGTCAGACATTTGATTAACCAAACAGCATTGGTGTTACTAGTGGATTACCCACAGTTCCGTGAAAAATACGTCTAAAGCTCGCCGTAACAGACCGTTTCATTGGCTTATCTCGGACACCATTCGGAACACGAGTTAAATAACAACTCTTCCAGATCCAAGTGTAGTAAAGAAAGTAAAACGAAATTTTGAACTATAAAAACGAAACGAAATAGGATCTGTGTTTTAATCGGATTGCCAGTTGCCATATTAAATAGATTAATCACATGGTTTAAAGGGACATTAACACTCTTGCTGGCTTGACAGCTCCAGAAAATAAAAAATAGCCTTATTCTAAGTACTAGATGTGTTAGTGTCTTACCTGTTGTGTAAATTATCCATTAAATCCTATTTTACTTGTTCAGAGGGTTCAAAAATATTTTTAAATCCAAGGCACATTTGAAAAGCTTTACAACAGGCTTTTCAAATCATTTAGTTGAATTTTTCCAATTTTTTAAATTAGGTGTGTTAAGATGAAATTTGTATCATCAATTAATTGGAATATTGTAAAATAGTACAATTTGTTGACCAGAATAAAAATTGGGACATATTATTCAGTTACAAGAGCGGTATTTAGCCTTTATCTAATTGTAATGTATTTTACTTCTTATTCAAGAATACACACCTTTTTATAACTCTTTTAATAATCATCCTTCGATGGGGAAAAACGACCTTCTGTCATTGGTGTGGGGTGCATCCCTATTGGGCGTGAACAGCCGCCCATTTTCGGGAAAAATAATAACCCATCTGTGGGGAGAATAACCATCCACCTTGCGTGGAGAATAACCCTCTAACTTGGTGGGGGGGGGGGAATAACCATCCATCTAGGGGGTAGAATAACCATCCAACTTAGATGTAGAATAACCATCCATCTAGCGGGTAGAATAACCATTCACCATGGTGGGGGGGGGGGGAGAAAATATCTGTCTTGGGGGGAATAACTGCTAATCTACCATCCGTGAAATTGCAGCATTGTTTTCCCCTTGTTGGTGGTGCAGGGTGGACTGTCTGGCAGGGGGGACAGCTACTGGTCCTGGTCATTTGGATGCTACGAAAACCAAAAGTCCCATGTACACATTGGCATTCACGTAAAAGAAGCCATGATAGTTGTTTTTCGGTGAAGAGCCGACACAGAAACGCAGCTAATCGGGTGCCACTTCCCTCATAGCGCTGCAGGGGCGCCACGGTGGTTCAGTGCGTAAGACGTTTGTCGTTGGCTCGCTATGCTACAGGTTCCGTGTACGATCTCTGTTGGCCAAGAAAGTTCATCAGGATCTTCTGACACGGTTCCTCTTTGTCAGTCGTACAGGATTGAAGGCCTGGCAAGGGGCAAGAGAGAGAGAGAAATGGGGTTTAACGTCCACTCGACACAAACTAGGTCATTTCGGGACTAACATGGTTTAATTTTATTTCAATAATTCACTTGCGCGTAGGGGTCTTTAGCAGTGGGAGGAAACCGGAGGACCCGGAGAAAACCCACGAGGTTGAACAGACGACCCTACTCCTTGTAACATACAACCAGGGATTCGAAACCACGCCAGTTGACTCAATGACAGACTTTATGATACAGCGCGCACGTGCTAACCATTCAGCCATCCAACCCCCCGCCTCGCAAGGGATAACGTATAGTCGTTCAGAGGTCCCGTGTACACATTGGCGTCTACGTAAAAGGTCCCTTGGCAGTTGGAATTCGATACAAGAGTAGTTCATAGCGCCGCTGTCCGGGCAAAATGTCCCATTTCCTTTCATATAGCACTGTATGATGTAAGCTGTCTTCATTAGGCTAGTTAGCCTGAACAGTAGGGCTACAGAAGGGGACTACATAAAACTATTTTATATCAATTTAAATGTTTAATATATGTAAATATAAATATATGTTAAAGCCAATAAGTCATATTACACACCAGTATATTACTGCATCTAACATAGACACACAATTTAATAGAAGTTAAATCTTGAAATGATCAGTATCTGTTTACTGAATGATAATTTGATATATTTATTGTATTACCAGTAAAATATTGTTGTACAGGTTCATTATGTACCGGTAATTTATGTAAATTAGCTATAATAAAAATCTACACACCCTGAATTACAGAGTGTTCCTGTTCTATAACTACAAATCATCCATGATTTAGTCAAACATCAAGCAGATCGACACCAAAATCACAAGCCTAATGTCGTCTTCGTGGAGCGACATGATTTTGATTTTTTATGGTATAATATGCTAATTGAACAGATAGTAAGGTATAAGGAATAATAAAAATGGTGGTTATCACTAGCCCAATTGTAGACAATTGACATATAGCATTATGTTGTTTATTAGTACTGTATATAATAATTTTGGTTGGATTAATAACGTTAAATCGGTCCTAGATATGATGATGGGTTAGTTGTATTTTACGTCCGCTTCCACCGAGGTGATATCGCAGACAACTTCGGGAGAAGGATTGGCTCTGAGGGCCGTGCGACCCGCTGCTAGCTTCGGAAGAGGGAATCCTAGAGCGGGAGCCCGCCAGGTGGCATATTAATTTGGTCCTAGATAATGCTGGTCTTTCTTATATATGGCACCAACAGGGTCAAAATGTTAATCGCAAATGGTTGAAGCAAACGTTATTAAAAAAGTTAAAAGGTGAGTTTGTGCCGAACTGGAATACAAAAATATTAGAAAGTAGTAAATGTTTTAATTACAGAATATTTAAGAAACAATTTGAATTAGAAGACTACATGTTAAATCTACCCACAAAATATCTCAAAATTGCGAAGTAGAAGTCATAGATTGCCTATTGAGATTTTATCCTATACCAATATACCAAGACAGGAAAGAAACACTAGGGACCGGGTATCATTCAGATTTGATGAAAAAAGGAAAGAAACTGAGCTTACCATCTATAATCTAATACACATATTCAGTTAATAGATTGCCATGCAGGAAGTATTAAATACCATCAAGATTCATCAAATAACGCCAGTTTGTGCTACCGTTTAGTTTAAGAAACATTATTTAGTTTTGACACCGGTCATCTAGTTTATGACCATTTAGTTTAGTTTTGATATTGGTCATCCAGTTTATGACCATTTAGTTTCATAAACTAGACAACCGATGTCAAACTAAACAGTAGCACAAACTGGGCGTTTTTTGATGAATCTTGATGGTATTTAATACTTTCTGCATGGCAATCTATTAACTGAATATGTGTATTAGATTATAGATGCGTAAGCTCAGTTTCTTTCCTTTTTTCATCAAATCTGAATGATACCCGGTCCCTAGTGAAAATTTCATCTATGTAGACTAAAAATAGGAGACGAATTCCATTATTTGTTAGAGTGTTCATTTTTTGCTGACTACAGGTCTCATTATGTAAAGAAATATTATTTCCAATTTCATCTACACATAAAATGAATAGGTTATTGCATGTTAAAGGTAACAAACTAATAAAATAATGTAAATTCATTGAAAATATATTGTCATTTTTCTCGGTCTCACAAAAGTAAATACTGTTAAGAAAAAGTCTGATGTTTAATAAAATGTATAGATATTATTTTAAGAGGGTGAGGGTTTAATGTCCAATTGACACAAACTAGGTCATTTTGGGACTAACATATTGTTCAATTTCATTTCAATAATTCGCTTGCGCGTAGGGGTCTTTAGCAGTGGGAGGAAACCGGAGGACCTGGAGAAAACCTACGAGGTTGGACAGGCAACCCTACTCCTTGTCACGTACAACCGGGGAATCGAAACCACGCCAGTTGACTCAATGACAAACCATATGATGCAACACGCACGCGCTAACCAATCTGTCATCCAATACACCGCTTGGATGTCTAATAACTATCACATTAATTTTATTATTATTGGGTAGTCTATAAAATCATCATTTCCTCACATTGTAAATAATCAGTAAGAAATAAAGTTACAATTTCATATTTTTAAGTTATATTTTTAAAATGTATTAAAATAAAGCCCTAAAATAGATGGTATCTATAAACAGTCCTACCTTGTTAAAGAATAATCCTATTAATCCTATAATTCACTATTGCCAGTTGAGAAATTGGCAAAAATATCATTTTCAACTTCAAATTTAAACGTTTGAAGACAGCTATTCCATGGTGGTGAAAGGGGAAAACAAGGGAGGTAATTGTGTTATTATTTCCGGTGTGAAGATTTTTAAGTGTGAGAAAGATAACCTATGATCGTATAATAGTGAGTTGACAACCTATTGAGCAAAATACATAGAAATAATTATGTTTTAAATCCCTTAGAAAATATGAAATTGTAACTTTAAACAAAACATATAGAATAATCAAATATTAAGTATAGATAACAATCTCTGGTAATGATCAAATTAATTATAAATTATTCATATGGAATACAACTCTGTATACACTAATAAATATAACAGTAACAATAATAAAATCTAAATAATTTATAGCAGTGATTAATTTTGTCTCCACTTATGTTATGTTATGTATTGATTGGTTCATTTGTATGAGCATGCCCAGAAAAGTTATTTCTGGTAACTCATCTTTGAGTATATCACTGGTACATCAGCTGTTATGTATTAGAGGTGTTCTCTACTACACTGCCTGGTTTCATTTCTCCAACCAGTCCAACTGATGTATACAACAGCTGTTATGCAATAAATGTGTTCTCTACTACACAGCCTGGTTTCATTTTCCCAACCAGTCAAACTGATGTATACCCAGACTCCTGATTCATGTTTACAAAGGTCACAGACGCTGTCAGCAATTAGAACCTTTCAGTATTGTGATGAATACTTTAGCGCATTATAATACTCACTCCAATCAATATCGTGAAGCTATGATCATTGTCGACGACGACAGACGAACATTACTCTACACCACAGCCACAAACTGTTTTTGATTTACAGAAAATGCCGATATTACTGTTACGATTATTCATGCTGCAACTCGTTTATTTTATATTTCGATGGTTATGATTCGTCGGCTGATACAACATTTAAATAAAGTTTATCTGAGTAAAACGCTTTCACGAGTTGACTAAGTAACGAGACAGCGTGACCGAAACACATCCGCTCATCGTCAATAAAAACACACAACATATTACACTGATCCTTGTACTCGATGTATTCACGATTAGTCTTTAATGTCTGTAATGCCAACATTGTTTGTTTAGCTGCTGGTGTAGTAGATGTTTTCTGTGAAGCTGTCATTCGGATGGTTGTAACGCTGATTATCTGAGAGGCTAAGAAGGCTGCTAATACTCTCACTGTTATACGGAATCTGAAAGCGAAATTATAATAATTTTCAAGAGAGAAAGAGAGAGAAATGGGGTTTAACATCCACTTGACACAGACTAGGTCATTTTGGGACTAATATGGTTCAATTTTATTTCAATAATCTGCTGGTGTGTAGGGGTCTTTAGCAGTGGGAGGAAACCAGAGGACCCGGAGAAACCCACGAGGGTGGACAGGCGACCCTACTCCATGTCAACCGGGGACTCGAAACCCCGCCAATTGACTCAATGACAGACATTATGATATAGCGCACATGCGCTTCCCCCACCCAATCACAGAAAGAGTAATATACCATAATAACCACACTTCCCCGACCCAATCACAGAAAGAGAAATATACCATAATAACCACACTTCCCCGACCCAATCACAGAAAGAGAAATATACCTTTAATAACCACACTTCCCCCACCCAATCACAGAAAGAGACATATACCATAATAACAACTCTGTCATCCTTCCCCGCAGAGGCGTAGCCGTGAAATATATATTGGGGGGGGGGTCCGCAAATGAAATTTTATAAAATGTTGACAATCTGTGACGCCGGAGGCACAAGGCTCCGATATAGCGCGATAGGGAGAGTGTGGGAGGGTCACCCTCTCACTGCAGGGGGGTCGGGGGGGCCACCCCCATAAATTTTTTTAAAAGTTTCAGTTTGGGCATATTTTACGGGGTTAAACTAAAACATCACACCAACATATTGGGATATTTACAGGTTTTATACAGATAGAATCTTAACTAATCCTAATAATTGTTGTAAATAAATAGGAGTTAGGGCCTACTATGTAAATTTTTTGGGGGGTCCAAGAATATTTAGACCACCCCAGAACACCCCCCACCCAATCACAGGAAGAGAAATCTACTATAATAAACACTGAATGTAAACAAAGCTTCATATTCCTTATAATTAAACAATCTCAGGCCTAGATTGAAACTCAAATATTTTAAAGATTCAAAATTTTCATTTGCTGAGAACTAAACTAAAATCCTACCACATATTTTAGTTCTTAGCCAATGAAAATGTTAAATATTTAGAATATTTAGTTTAAATTTAGTGAATAAGAACCTAGATTTTTACATTGCAATATTCATGATTTGGAACTACTTAAAATACAAGAAATAGTGACAACGGTACCTTAAAGAGAGTTGAGACTTTCGTCCGAACCCGATAGCTCCGAGTAGACCACTAGAAGTTCGGTCTTCACCCAGTATCTGTAAAGCTGCTATTAACCTGTATAATAATTTAACACACTCTTGTTTCGAACCATCTCTTTCTATATAATATTTCATTAACTGTAATAACTTCCACCACCATATTAACAATTTACTTTCATTTTCACACCTGAAATATAAACATCAATAATTTACTTTCATTCTCACACCTGATATATAAACATCAACAATTTACTCTCATTATAACACCTGAAATATAAACATTAACAATTTACCCTCATTCTCACACCTGAAATATAATCTTGTTGAAACATCACAGTGAAATAAACCATAGTGATTGTTATCCATAAATAGTGTGTTATTCGATTATGTTCCAATTACTAAATGACATTCAAAGAACAATTTACTCTCTTCACACACCTGAAATATAAACATCAACTATTTACTCTCACACCTGAAATATAAACATCAACAATTTACTCTCACTCTCACACCTGAAATATAAACATCAACAATTTACTCTCATTCTCAAATTTGAAATATCAAGAAATCAAATTTCCCAGTGTTCAATTTTATTTCAATAATTCACTTGCGCGTAGGAATCTTTAGCAGTGGGAGGAAACCGGAGGACACAGAGAAAACCCATGAGGTTGGACGGGCGACCCTACTCCTTGTCACGTTCGTCCAGGGATTCGAAACCACGCCAGTTGACTCAATGACAGGCCTTATGATACAGCACGCACGTGCTAACCATTTGGCCATCCTACCCCCCCCCGCGCAGCATATAACAGTCAGGTTATTTGCAGTTCATATTGACCCGACTATCTGAAGATCGCCATAGTTACTGACTGTATCCTCACAACCCAGCCTGTCAAATAGGAAACAAGTATATTTTACCCTGGTTTAACTCGTTCTGTCCAATCAATCGTCATCTCCATCAATTGGAATTCATCGGCTAGACTCTGACAGAATGGTATCTGTTGTAATAGATATGTCTGTAGTACCAGGTAAGCACCCTGATTAATAGCATCTTTAATAAATCCAGCATGGTTAGTCTCTGGTATCTGAAACGCTGCTAAAATAGGCGTCCATTCCTGTTTGTTTCTTTCTGAAATTTATATAAAAGATTTATTATGGTATACAAAATTAACAGGTTGATAAAATATTAAAAATTCCATAACACCACGATGGAGGTTTGTCAGGCATCTCATAATCCGCCTACCAGCAGCAAAATTGTCTGTGTTATCTCTAAGATCATTGTTACCAAATCCTGCTTTTTACACTTTTCTAAACAATTCCTATATATCATCCGAAATTTGAAAATCAAAAATGTTATAGGAAAGATAACTCTATATTCAATCAAGTTTTTTAAGCTTTAAATACATTATATCAAGCACTCTGTTCACAAGAGTTTAACAAACTGAATGAAATCGAATTGATACAAGAGTTTAAAGTTACAATTTCATATTTTTAAGTTTTATTTTTAAAATGTATTAAAATAAAGCCCTAAAATAAATCGTATCTATAAACAGTCCTATCTTGTTAAAGAATAATCCTATTAATCCTATAATTCACTATTGCCAGTTGAGAAATTGGTAAAAAATCATTTTCATCTTCAAATTCAAACATTTGAAGATAGCTACTCCATGGTGGAGAATAGAAAACAAGGGAGGTAATTGTGTTATTATTTCCGGTGTAAATGAGTTTTAAGTGTGAGAATGATACCTATGATCGTATAATAGTGAGTTGACAACCTATTGAGCAAAAGACATAGAAATAATTATGTTTTGACTTTCTTAGAAAATATGAAATTGTAACTTTAATAAATTGAATGAAATCGAATTGATAACACAGTAATTGGTGCTCAAAGAGTTATGAATATTGATAAGTTTACTCCTGATTAATAATCCCAGCAAATCGTTAAATGCTCCATTGACACTCCTGTGTTTACAGAAGTCAAAATATCACTGGAAAGATAACTCCACAAAAAAACCTTCACAATTTAGATACAGAATGCACAAGCAATTTATCAGTTTCTGACATTTGAGTTGGATAACATCGACTTTAAACCTGACATGAATTACTGATTTTAATTTCGTGGGTGTTTTCAAATGTGGCAGGTATACTTTAATTTCAAATTAGCCTTTTGATAAGACCTTATTTTAATACAGTAATGTACTAAATTGTGAGAGAGCAAGAGAGAGAGAAAGAGAGGGAGAGAGAGAGAGATGGAGTTTAAAGTCCACTCGATACAAACTAGGTCATTTTGGGACTAACATAATTCAATTTTTTATTTTTTTATATTTTTTTAATTTCAATAGTTCCAATGCACTTAGGGGTCTTTAGCTGTGGGAGGGAACTGAAGGACCCAGAGAAACCCCATGAAGTTGGACAGACGACCAACCTCATTGTCACGTACAAGCGGGGAATCGAATCACAGACCTTACGATCCAATATGCATGCATTGACCATCATTCGTCCACCCACCCCCCCCTTGAAAAAGAGCATCTATAAAAATTTCATTTATTTGAGCTATATAAATATAGTAACTTACCACATTTAAAGAGAACATCTATACAAGTTTCTGTTATTTGAGCGATATGAGAATATGATGCTAGATGCCGTGATGAAGCTTTGATAAATGGTAACAATAATAAACTTTGTGGTGAGGATTCTATCCACTGATTAATGGTTGCTATTATTAGATCTTTCCATGGTCCCTGGGGATTTCCGTTATTCAACAGACTTAGAAACACTCTCATTAATTCGACTGCTTCAATATCTTGGTTTCTCCAGTCAACAACTGAAACGAAATGATATAAAAGAATTGATAAAGAAATATACAGGAGACAGTGTGATTGGCTTTTCTAAACTTGGTTTCTCCTATCAACGAATGAAACAAGGTAATGTCAATTGTCTTGATTATCCATTTTTACGTTTAATTATTTTTCAAAAATGTATTCCAATCCGCTAGTGATGACATCGGGAGTTGATTATGGTCTGGATAAGTTAATTAATGTCTAATTAATCATTTAGATAACAGACGGGTATACAACATGCAGTGTGCTATGAAGGTAATTTTGTCTGAGCAACTGCAATACGACCTATTCTTATATGGAATTCCAACTGACAAAGGATCTTTTACGTGCATGCCAATGTATGCACGGGACCTCATTTTTTTGTCTCATCCGAATGACTAGACAGCTGTCATTGCTTGGCCCTCCGTCCTGCACCATTGATAAGGGGAAACCATGTCAGAAAAATTTTCTAAAACAGCTGTGGTTTTGAGATCAATAAGACAGCAGAATGTGGTTGAAGTTAAAGTTGTGTGATTGTTGTTAGAATTTATGAAAAAGAGCAATATCTGCCATCTGATTAATCAACGAGAGTACTATGAAGCAGGAACCAATGGACGAAAGCATCGCAGCCATCTTGGAAATAAGTATAAAAGTACTATGGACAAGGAAAAGATCAAAGTACGTCAATTCATGTACAATTGTCCAAGGAACAAGCATGCCAAGTTTTATGTCAATTGTAGTCAAATTGGGGGAGACTTTGGATTTTTTGAAAGAGCGTCGCACCCCTCCCCCCTACCCAAGAAGAAAAAGAAGAGAGAGAGAGAGAGAAATGGGGTTTAACGTCCACTCAACACAGACTAGGTCATTTCAGGACTAACATGTTTTTTTAAAAATTTTATTTCAATAATTCGCTTGTGCGTAGGGGTCTTTAGCAGTGGGAGGAAAACGGAGGACCCGGGGAAAACCCACGAGGTTGGACAGGCGACCTTACTCCTTGTCACGTACAACTGGGGATTCGAAACCACTCCAGTCGACTCAATGACAGACTTTATGATACAGCGCGCGCACGCTAACCATTCAGCCATCCAACCCCCCTAGAAAAAGAAGAATAAGATGAACAGGGTTTAAGGCATAGTTCCTGGTTCAAAAGGGAATTATTTATAGATTATTATGTTTAAACCATTACCTGAACTTTCAACATGTTCAATATCAGAGAGTAGGTTAACTATAACAGTAGAGAAATTATCAGGGTTAACATCGTCTAGATAGGTACACTGACATAATAATGATGTGACAGTATGTATATACATCTGTCGTTTAGCTTGTAAATCCCCAGACCATGATCCACTTAATTCAGCTGTAAAACATCCAGCTTTCTTCATTAACCTATAAAGATACAATTAAAGAGTGAATAGATGATTGAACAAGAGGTAAATCCGCTTATGGCAGGTCTTTCATTAGGCCTGAAATAGTTTCTAAATTAGAACCTATCTGGTGCTCTACGCTCATTCGTGATTAAATCAAGAAATGGATAATCGAGACAATGTTTTTTATCGTACCGACTTTAGTAATGCTGATCGAAGCTAGGCCCAAAATTCAATCGCTAAATTCTCGGTTCAGAGTGGATCAATTTGAGTCTGTCTGTCATTGACTCAACTGGCGTGATATTGATTCTCCAGTTGTACGTGACAAGGTGTAGGGTCGCCTGTCCAACCTCCTGGGTTTTCTCCGGGTCCTACGGTTTCCTCCCATTGCTAAAGCGAATTATTGAAATAAAATTAAACCATATGTTAGTCCCAAAATGACCTAGTTTGTATCAAGTGGATGTTAGATTCCATTTCTCTCTGGTTGCTAATATATGTGGTTTGTTATTAATTGAAATGTATATTGATTGCTAATACATATTAATTGTGGTTTGTGGTTTTACACAAAATGTAATAGTATCATTGATCAAGTTTGCCCAATAAATGCATGAATATATGTAAGTTGTGGGATTTTTTTTTACACAAAATATAATAACGCCATTGATTAAGTTTGTCTCATAAATACATTAATAAGCTACATTACATCATAGTACTTCTATACATACGCTAAACCACGTGATGAAGGATTGGATCGTTCTGCTAACACACATTTCGGTTCAGCTGTCATGAGAAAGACATTACTAGCATTTCTATAACTTGATAATGTTATAAAATTCCATTGTCTCGATTCCATCTCTGATAAAAGTTGAACTGTTTCTTGTTTCTGTATAAAAACAAATAAATATAAATGATCAAAACAAGTAAAAAAAAAAAACTAATAATTATTTTTCATCTTAATATATACTCTTCAAAAAAAGTAGGGGATATTCAGAAACAATACAAAACTGAGGATATGCACTGCTGTTTTTATTAGAGGTAACCAGTGTATGTTAATAACAGGCCAATTGCCATCAAATGAAAATAAACAGTTCATATGGGCGGCTTATCTGACGGCCCCATTTCACTCTCAAAGAGATACACGGTCAAAAGTGAAAATGGACGTTTTTGATTTTTGTCTTAATAATGAGTAATTGCTCCACCAATCCCCAGACATTCAGCAATTTGTTGTGGTCAATCTGACCCACTCCTCTTGCAGTGCCACGGCCAATTCTTGCAGTGTTGTCGGTTGATGTTGACGTCAACGAACACGTCTCCCGATCAAATTAAACGTAACACACTAAAGCAAAGATACGCTAAACAGTAAATCTTATGCAAGAACCGATAGGAAAGCAAACATGGATAGATAAACCAGCATGCAGCAGTTTTTATCAACCCTTCCTTGAAGTGTCAAATTTGACAATAATGAACCCTTCCCACGTGTATGGCGCTATTGCGTGTCGCATGTGCAGCTCAGTGGTTCTGTTGGGGCGATAAGTTCTTCATCTGTGAACATACTCTCAAAGCATGTCTAGTGTCCATGACTATTTATCATATCACAACCTGCATAGGTATTTGCATCTGAACATCCCTTACTTTTTTTGAAGAGTATATAATTGCCCAAAGGGCCTTAATCACTTATCTTACCTACTGATGGCTCAACACTACACTTATGACTCATTGGGTAGGAACTGGCTCGTTAACCGGGAGATCTGCGGTTCGATCCCGGTGTTGGCGAGAAAGTTTCTCTTGATTTTCCGGTGTCGTTTCCACTTGTCAGTAGTGCAAACTGACAAAGAATAGCATCTAGTTGTTCAGATGAAACAAAAACCGAGGTCTCATGTACACATCGGCATGAACACTTAACAAGTCAAATTCGAAATAAGAGTAGGACGTAGTACCCTGTCAGGGCAAAATTTCCTGCATGGCACACTGTATGGAGTCTTCATTAGCCCAGTAGGAGGAGAATAGTAGGACGCTAATCCGGAATGCATTTTATATTTACCTATTGATGATATCAGACCACACATGCATAACATATAAAGAAAATATGAATTCCCTCATGGCATATAATATTACACTTAGCATTAGCCTTTTTAACACTTTCCCCAGACAGCGTTCAAAAATATTTTATCTACCGGTACTTAAATTTGCTTGATAACGATACCTGTATGTGTATTGAAACGTAGCATGCTAATGAAATTGCAGGCGAGTACATCCATATAAGTGTTTTAATTTTAGTAAAATCTATTTCTATGTCTTATAAGGATTAAATTAAATTTTTATTTAAAATAAACCTACTTGTAATAACGATGCTGTTCCGTTAGTTTGAATCATTAAAACTAATAGAGTTGATTGAAATCTACTGGCGATATCCGGAGGTTGATGGATTATATGATAATCCCAGATCACATTCCAGTCTGCTTGCGTTAATATATAACCAACTAGATGGAAGCATGGCTCAGGACTTACTTCTTTCACCTTGTAAATATATGTAAAGTTTCAAAAATTCTGTAATACTGCAATCTTGACATTCGGGTTCATGTAATAATTATGGAAAGGATATATTGACATAATTACTTGTATTATTTAATAAAAATTTATGAAGCTTTTCCAGTGACCTTTCAATGAACGACATGCATGTATGCCTTATTCAACATTTGTGAAAGTAGGTAATACCTTGATCATTGTTTCTAACAATTGTAGATCAGGTTTGATTGTTTTCCATGGCAACTGTTCCAGTTCTGTTATTATAGTTGATACCACATGTTTTAAAACACCTTGTTTAGCTAATGACGTCATAAAATACATCAACAGCAACGAATATACACTACTACTAAAATTTGGTGCTTTCTCTGAAATACACAAACCAATGAATTAAATTTCATAATATTAAAGGGGCATTATGGAAGATTAGCTAAAGAGCTGGCAGTTCTCGCTATAATAGTTAAAAACTAGATAATGTAAAGGGAATATGCTGAAAATTTCAGTCAAATTGCTCTACTCTGAACTGAGATATTAGCGATTGAATTTTAGGCCTAGCCTTAATCATCATTACTAAGGTACGATAAAAAACATTCTCAATTATCCATTTTTGGATTAAATCATGATCCTTGAACAGCAGATCGGATTCAGATCCAGTAAATATCGCAGGCTAGCGATGACATCGAGATTTGATTATGGTCTGGATAAGTTAAATAATGTCTAATTAATAATTTAGGTAACATTGCAGGTCTAAAGATAGACCTGCATTAGACAGATTTGGCTCTTGCATAATGCATGTTTAAGTTCATTGTATTCAAGGTTGGATGGAGTCATATACATGCTTACAATTTTGGAGTAGAAAAATCTTTTCTAATTTAAAGTTTATTTATCTACAACTAGTGCTCCCTTCATCTAATTAGCAATTTTTGATAGAAAAAGAATCTGCGTTAGGGTTTAGATTTCGCATTTGTTTTGAATATCATGTATGAGGGTACTATGATCTTTTTAGCGCTGAGAGAGAGAGAGAGAGGTAGAGAGGTAGAGAGAGATGGGGTTTAAAATCCACTAGGTCATTTTGGGACTAAGATATGGTTCAATTTTATTTCAATGATTCGCTTGGGCGTAAGGGTCTTTAGCAGTCGGGGGAAACCGGAGGACCCAGAGAAAATCCACAAGGTTGGACAGACGACCCTATCCTTTGTCATGTAAGCAACCGGGGAATTGAAAACACACCAGTTGACTCAATGACAGACCTTATGATACAACGCACACGCGCTAACCTATTCGGCCAGTGCCCCCACCCAGTGCTTAGGGCCTCGAAAGCTGTTATTCCTGCTTTGTTTCTATCAATTATTAATTTGATTACTAAGCAGTCTAAAATAAGACTGGAATATCTACTAATACTTTAAATAGTGCACAGAACAGTACCTTCAAACTCATTGTACAGGAATGTGACCATCTTTCTAAACATAGCAATCATTTCCATAGCAACCAGATCATCTCCTTCATGCCATGGTGATATCAATTGGTTATTATGCCAGACTGGTTCAATCCAGGGAGCGAATACAGTAGTTGTCTGTCGCCAAACTACATCCAGTACTGAAGGCAAAACAATAATAAATATTTATTAAAGATACATTATTGGAGATTAAATAACGAGCTGGCCGTTCTCACTATAATAGTTAAAATCTAGACAAGTTATTCAAGTTATCTGCCCTTAATTATTGTCCTATTTTTATTGACCAATCCTATAAATCGTAAATTGCAAAGGAAGGTGGCCAAGGGACTTAACTGTCATTGTGTTGCAACAAGCCGCCATATTGTTGTGAATGTAAACAAAGAAGCTAAAGAGTCTTAATAAGACTGGTTTGTAAACTGTTTTTCGATTAATTCGCAGACTCAAGCTAAGATCACTGCCAAGCCGTATGTTCGCAAAGCATTCTCAGACTCAAGTTTAGAATTCATTCAACTCACTGAACCAACCTGGTTCCTAAACAGATTATGGATCATTGACTGATACCACCATGCTCTGAATTCAGATGAATTTCAAATGGAGTTCGTCAAAAGGACAATTTTAATATTTTGAATTTTAAATATACTTCTTTTGTATATATCACTTTACCTTGATACGGGTCGATTTCTTTCAAGTTGAACATCATCTTAGTAACCAGACATCTGGTGAGTGTAGCTATAAGTTGTGATATATATGGTATATAACGACCCCATGTAGGATATAAACCATATAATGCCCCAGTATTAGTCTGTGATCTGACTTGCATAAAATAGCTTGATAACCAGTTTAATATCTCATTCACCTGCATAATAAGAATAGTGATTAGTCATGTAAAGGATGATGATGATGATGATGATGATGATGGATAGTGATGATGATAATTGATAATGATGAAGGATAATTATGATGATGGATAATGATGATGATATGCTTTACATACAGTAATGTTAACATATCTGAATGATGATAAATTATATCATATCATAATACTATGCCCATTACTACATCATTTTGTGGTAAATGCCCTAACTTTATAGTCAATATAACTCAATTCTTTTGAACACTTAAAGGACAATATTGGTGTCAGTCATTATCACATATGTGATGGAACTAGTTAAACTTCCCATTTATTAGTGGTAACATTCCAATATCACCAGCTTATGGAGTGTTTGTGTTTCAACTAATTCGTTACGCGAGAGCTTGTTCATTTTATTCTGATTTTTTAAGTAGATCGAGGCATTTGTCATCTAAGCTTCAACTACAGGGATACTTGCGAACTAAACTTATTAAAACCTTTAAAAAGTTTTATGGGCGTCATATTGACTTGATTGGTAAATATAACATGTCTCTCTCAGCTATTATTCTAGATATATTTAATTGACGCGTATACGATCTCCCTGATAATGTCTGTCTACTACATCGTTAACACTGTTCATCACATGCATTTTGCATACCGATAGTCCATTGGCCAATCACGCTATTTTACCGAGATTTCGCCTAATAGTTTGGATGCAGCTATGGCGGGTGTGGCACCAGGCAGGGTAAGCTTACACTTCCGGACACCTGTTACCACTGTTTGTCATGTATTTTGTACACGGTGAACAGTCCATATGCTGATTACACTAATTTGCCCTATTACACTATTTTGCCTATACCGTTTTTTTAGGACTTCGAATTTTGTCTAATGGTTTGGATTGTTCGTACTTGGTTTTATTTTATTTTATTATTAAACATGTTCCAAATATAATTTTCACACAGAGATCATTGCTACGATAGATGCGTAATGAAGGTTTCAACAATCGGAAGTGACGAACGGAAAAGGAAAACACGAGTTATCCTTCTATACAACTGACTGAAGTGACGATTGATAACAGATATACGGTTTAACGTCCTACTGTTTTGCTCCAAACTGGGCTAATGAAGACAGGCATACGCCATACAGCGTGCTATGAGGGAAATTTTCCAACTGTCAAGGGATCTTTTACGTGCATGCCAATGTGTACACGGGACATCGGTTTTTCGTCCCATCCAAACGACTAGACAGCTGTCCTTGTCAGGCCCTCCATCCTGCATCACTGACAAGGGGGAACCACGCTGGAAAATCTGGACGGACTTTCTCGGCCAATGCAGGGATTGAACACCTGACCTAAAGGCTAGCGAACCAGTGTCTTACCCAATTAGCCACCGTGACCCCCCAGATGAATCTGAAAATGCAATTATAAATTACCTGTATGGTACTGAGTTGTGTATCTCTACAAGTTTCAACTTGTTCTATATTAAACACTAATGATGGTTTACGGCCACCTTCCACGGTAGATGTTGGTATATACGTAAAACAGGCCATCAAAAACATCTCCCAACACTGTACATGGATCTTGTCTAATGATGAACCTACAATTTCAACACAATTTAATAAAGGTTTAATTTCCAGTTAATACAAGACATTTCTAAACCAAGAAAATCAAATGTAAAAATAAAACAAAGATGGAAAATTCAGTAACAATCTCTTAAAAATATAATAACTATACTTACACTTGTACTTATTTATTTTACACAGGTATTATGACATATAAAATTAAAATACAGTAAATTTCACATAAGTCGGATCTAAGGAGACTGACCAATTTTATCCGAATTAAGCGAAGATCCGAGTTAGCCAAAGACCGAAATTCAATCTTAGCTCGATTAGAAATAAACTGCAAGAGCCGGATAACTTCCGTTTTGTCGCCATCTTTGTAAAATGTCCTAATTTTTTTCCGGAAAGTGTCTTGTACAGCAGACAGTGAGTTTTGATTTCTCCGGGGAAATTCTATTATTGCGTCGCGTCAAATTGGCTGATTGGAGTCAAAATGATAGGGGAAGTATTTTGGGGCTCTGTGCATGAAATACCTAATCTCGTTTTAGACCATCGGGACGAAACTCACAGTCAAATTCTGAACATAGTAAGGAAAAAAGCCAGAATTAGATCAAATGGACCGAACATTTTGATCTGAGTTGAGCAAAGATCCGACTTAGGAAATCCGACTTACGCACAGAAATTTATTAAGAAAAACATGCAGGATCAAAGGATCCAAACGATTTTATTCGGGTTGAGCAAAGATCTGATGCGAGGTTTACTGTACACTTCTATACAAGCCTTCGAACCCTGCATTGGCCGAGAAAGTTCATCCTGATTTTTCGGGGTGGTTCCCCTTTGTCAATGATGCAGGACGGAGGGCCTGACAACTGGCTAGTCCTGGATGAGACGAAAATCCAAGGTCCCCTGTATACATTGGAATGCACGTAAAAGATCCCTTGGCAGTTGGAATTCGATATAAGAGTAGGCGATAGTGCGGCTGCCCAGGCAAAATTTCCCTCATAGCACATTTTTGGGCGTATGCCGTCTTCATTAGCCCAGCATAGGAGCAGAACAGTAGGACGTTAAAACACATTTCATTTCATTTCATTTTTCTATACAAGCCATCCTACTAGTAATAAAAGAATAACTTATTTATGATGATTAACAACATGATTAGTTGTTTACCTTGTAAGAGTACTGAAAGAACATCTGTCATGTGACATGGATAATTATGTTGTAAAACCAACTGTAAATGACTGCAATACAACTGAAAATTAAACAAAATTTATTATAAACCTGTCCATTCTCATTTTTGATTGGATCCAATCTCATGACAGTTGAAATGAAATGGGGTTTAACACTTCAGCTAAAATCTTCTGACAAAGGGAAAACATGCTGGAAACACCCTGAGGAACTTTCTCAGCTAGCACCACAGACCTTCAGATCAGTAAGCCAGTACCTAACTCACTGAATTACCATCCCCTCGTGACTACCTGAACCACCACCCCTCACGACTACCTGAACCACCATCCCTCATAACTACCTGAAACACCTCCCCCCACATGTGTGACTACCTGAACCACCACCCCTCATGACTACCTGAACCACCCACCTCCTAATAACTACCTGAAACGCCATCCTTCATGACTACCTGCTTTACCACCTTTCATGACTACCTGAACAACCCACCTCCTCATAACTACATGAAACACCATCCACCCCCCTCGTGACTACCTGAAACACCACCCCTCATGACTACCTGCTACACCATCCCTCATGACTACCTGCAACACCATCCCTCATGACTACCTGCTTTACCACCTTTCTTGGCTACCTGAACAACCCACCTCTTCATAACTACATGAAACACCATCCACCCCCCTCGTGACTACCTGAAACACCACCCCTCATGACTACCTGCTACACCACCCCTCATGACTACCTGCTACACCATCCCTCATGACTACCTGCAACACCATCCCTCATGACTACCTGCTTTACCACCCTTCATGACTACCTGAACCACCATCCCTCATGACTATCTGAACAATCCAGGACAATCAATCCTCATGTCTATGACCTAAACCTTGTTTAAAATGTAAAAAAGATAAATTCACAAGTAAAACTTACATCAAAGATAATTTTTGTTTGTTTCTCAGGTTCGGCACCACAGGTCATCAACGCTGATCCTAGTATAGATATAAATTTCTTAACTTCATCTTCTGATGGTCGTCCTTTTTCTAACCACAGCCAGACATCAAACTGTAAAATAAACATGTGATGCAACATAATAGCTTGTAATTTGAAATGTGTGGCTATATCTACTTCTTAAGGCCAACTCAAGATTTTGTCAAGGTCGCTTAGGATGTTTACATGTTTGAACATGCTCAAAACAAATGCCACACCTCGGCGATTGTTGGCAATCATGGACCACAACACGATTTCTGGCGTTTCCACCATGCTTTTACCACGCTTATGGAGATCTTGAGGCCCTTTGAGACCATTTTCCTTCGCCGTAGCAGCGTAGTAAGGATGCCACCCCGGTCTAACGGGGGTATTAGTTAACAAGGTTAAGTTGCAAGTGAGTTTTGAAAGAGAAGCCGAGATGTGATTAGTTTAGTGAGTTAAAAGTGAGTAGAGATTAGAATTGCTATTGTAAAGACAATGTTGACCAGCTTAGAGATGTACTATTAAAGGGACAATACCACAAACACCAAATATACCAAAAATGCCACACCTCGGCGATTGTTGGCAATCATGGACCACAACACGATTTCTGGCGTTTCCACCATGCTTTTACCACGCTTATGGAGATCTTGAGGCCCTTTGAGACCATTTTCCTTCGCCGTAGTAGCGTAGTAAGGACGCCACCCCGGTCTAACGGGGGTATTAGTTAACAAGGTTAAGTTGCAAGTGAGTTTTGAAAGAGAAGCCGAGATGTGATTAGTTTAGTGAGTTAAAAGTGAGTAGAGATTAGAATTGCTATTGTAAAGACAATGTTGACCAGCTTAGAGATGTACTATTAAAGGGACAATACCACAAACACCAAATATACCAAAAATACCCAATACATTAAAGGGACAATAATACAACTAATACTCAAGATCAGTGATGGGATTTCAAAATTTTTCTTGTCAGACATTTTACCGAAAATAAAGGGGCATAACTCTTATGGTTATTTAAGCAGAAGAATACATACAACAATTAAAAATCACACGTCGACAAAATATTCAAATCCCGTACGTAATAAAAATTCATATTTAATTCCCGTACAGTATTCAATTCATACCACAATTAAAAATCACATGTCAACAAAATATTCAAATCCCGTACGTAATAAAAATAGGTGAACCTCGTTATTTTTCATATTTAATACGCATATGGTTATGGTATTCAAATGTGTGTCAGTAATATTCCTACAAAATTACATGCCTTGGTTTATAATACGGCAGCAAATGAAAGAAAGGCGTTCGAAATAATAATACTTGTGGTGATGACAAAACACCATTTCCTTCTTCATAAGTCAGTATTTTAAAATTACATTGATAGTTAAATCACTCGTGAAAAGGCATAGCTAACTTCAGCATATGGCGTACGTGACTCATAGCACATAGCTTCATAGTAAGCACTGCCTTATATGTTAAATACAAATTTACATGAATATAGACTAACACATCATCATTACCTTAGTTAACAGCATAAAGACGAGATCGAGATTCTGTTTCTTCAGAACTGAAATCAATTGTTCATATAATCCAACAAATATCGGTGAACTGTTGTTGGGGTTAAAATGTGGACTGGTTAATCCTGATCGACTTGGATTATCCAGACTAAACTGTAATACATTCTGTGTTTGTCTTGGATCTCGAGAGATAAATTCCTGAAATGGAAATAAAAATTCAAGCTCAGTCCATTCTGAAGGGTGGCCCTCTGTGCTATTTCTGAACAAGGCAACAGATATGGATATTTAATGGAATTAAATGAAATGAAATGAAATGGGGTTTAACGTCCTACTGTTCTGCTCTTATACTGGGCTAATGAAGATGGGCATACGGCCTAGTGTGCTATGATGGAAATTTTGCCCGGGCAGCAGCACTAGGGCCTACTCTTATATCGAATTCCAACTGCCAAGGGATCTTTTACACGCATGCCAATGTATACATGTGTCCTCAGTTTTTCATACCATCCGAACAACTAGATAGCTGTCTTTGTCAGGCCCTCCATCCTGCACCACTGACAAGGGGAAACCACGTCGGAAAATCCTGATGAACTTTCTCGGCCAATGCAGGGATCGAACACACGACCTCCAGGCTAGCGAGCCAGTGTCTTACCCACTAAGCCACCGTGGCTTCCCGATATTTAGACGAAAAAATGGATGTTTACATCTCATCAACACAGTATTTCTGTTATTTTAAACCTAACACGAAGCTACTCTTTGGTCATATGGAAAATGCTAATGCTAGGTTCCCACTATCACGATTCGCGCTACGATTGAAATCGTGGTTTAATTGTGTTGATCCTATTAGGTCTAATCATATTTTGAGCTCAGTCGTGGCAATCGTGTTGATGGTATCGAAACGTATCCGAACATATCTTCAAGTACCAGAGTGTGGACTCAATAAAGGGACAATCCTATCGTAACACATCACATAAGGAAGTAAATTTTGCAGACAGGATCTTTTCTGCCTACTCTTTATCAAATTCTTGCTGTCATAGATGGGTGTAGCTAAGTCATTGCAGGACGGAGGGCCTGACAAGGATAGCTGTCTAGTCCTTCGGATGATACGAAAAACCGAGGTCCCGTGTATACATTGGAATGCACGTAAAAGATCCCTTGGCAGTTGGAATTCGATATAAGAGTAGGCCGTAGTGCCGCTGTCCGGGCAAAATTTCCCTCATAGCACACTGTATGGCGTATGCCCGTCTTCATTAGCCCAGGTTAGGAGCAGAACAGTAGGACGTTAAACTCCATTTCATTTCATTTCATTTCAGCTAAGTCATAATCCCTACTTAGCCCATCAACAAATTGAAACCTGGTCTTTCGAGTAGAAGGGGAGGTTGGATGGTCAAATGGTTAGCGCACTGTATCATACGGTCTGTCATTGAGCCAAATGGTGTGGTTTCCATTCCCCGGTTGTATGTGACAAGGAGTAGGTTGTCTGTCCAACCTCGTTGGTTTTCTACGGGTCCTCTAGTTTCCTCCCATTGCTAAAAGATCCCTATGTGCAAGCAAATTATTGAAATAAAATTGAACATATGTTGGTCCCAAAATGACCTAGCTTGTGTTGAGTAGACAGTTCTGTTCCTTTACTCCTGAACTACCTTAACAACAACAATAATTTTTACCTGTCCAATGATTTCTATACATGATTGAAAGAACTGTTTTGATGGCGGATAAAATTCGGTTTCTTCTGTGATAAATGCAGCTAACTGATAAAATAACGTATTAGCGATATCAAATAAACGTGTCACTTTCTCATCCGTTGTTGTGGCTTGAGCTAATTTGATTAATGCTCTGAAAAGATAAATACAAAAGTGTTTAATACAAATTAATCTGCAATAAAAATAATGGATGCCATCTCATGACAGTTGAAATGAAATGGGGTTTAACATTTCAGCTCAAATCTTCTGACAAAGAGAAAACATGCTGGAACACCTTGAGGAAATTTCTTGGCTGGCACCAGGATCGATCTATCGACTAAGTAGGTACCATGGCTATTGAAAGCAGCTCCATGTGGTGTCATTGCCAAGACATCTGTGGACCCTAAAGGTAAACAGACTCATTCATTACTAACTTTAGATTTGACCCCTGGTGCATACGATTCACTGTAAAGCCATGTTAAATATCCAGCCAAAAATCATGTCGTCATCACCAGAAATTCCAGTTTAACATCCACGACACAAACAAGGTCATTTCGTGACTAACATATAGTTCAATTTTATTTTAATAATTTGCTAGTGTGTAAGGGTCTTTAGCAGTGGGAGGAAACCAGATTACTCGGAAAAAAACCCACACGGTTGGACAGGCGACCCTACTTCTGGTCACATACAACCAGGGAATCGAAACCACACCAGTTAACTCAATGACAGACAATTCGGCCATTCAATCCCCCTATATAACTTATAAAATATAAGGTTATGTTGTTGTATTTTGTCTATATATATTTGCCTCATACCTGTTTTACTGTATTAGCTTGATAACGTTGAGAGAATACTCTACGAAACGTCGCCTTAAATACACTAGTAGCTGTTTTCCATAAGTATGTGTTTTGTTGTTATAAAATATACTTACGTGATGGCATTTTCTACATGTACAGCAGCTATACAAACATTCTGTGGTGGAGGTAGCAAACCTTCTATCATTATTTGTTTATATTCAGCTCGATTCTCATCTATTTGTCTCTGTATTACTTCATTCTTCTCTCGTTCCTCTATCTATAGAAATTATATATATAATAAGACTATCATCTTAATTCGTTCTTCTCTCATACTCTATAGAAATATTATAAATAAGACAACATTTCTATCCATAGAAATATTAAACATACATTATGCAAGAGCTAAATCTGCCTATCGCAGATCTTTTTAGTCCTGAAATGTTATCTAAATTATTAATTAGACATTAATTAATTAACTTATCCAGACTATAATCAACTCTTGATGTCAACTCTAGCCTGCGATATTTACTGGATTAGGATCCCTTTTGCTGCTCAATTTTCATTTATGATTTAATTATGAAATGGATAATCAAGACTATGTCTTTTATCTTACCGACTTTAGTTATGATGATCGAGTCTAGTCCTAAAATTCAATAGCTAAAATCTTGGTTCAGAGTGGATCAATTTGACTGAAATTTTCAGCATATTCCCTTTACATTACCTAATTTTCAATTATTATAGTGAGAACTGCCAGCTCTTTATCTAATCTCCCATAATGTTTCTTTAACAGTTTGAGGATAAGAAAACTCAATAAAATTTCCCCTGTTAACAACTTGAGGATAAGAAAACTCAATTAAATTTCCCCTGTTAACAACTTGAGGATAGGAAATCTCAATAAACTTTGGTCTGTTATCAGAAATTAAAGGCTTGTTTATCTCAACAAATTGCTATTTAAAGCGAATATCAAGGAGTTTATTTAGGGATCAGTAATAGCTTAAATTCGCTCAGAATAACTACAGCTAGCCATGGATTAGAGATAGTTTCAACTTACCCTAAGATTAACAACGGCAGGATTAGAACACCTGTGTAGTGGATTAACTTTACTGGTACATTCTACAGGTATCATCACCTAGTAAAATAATTCGATGTTTATATATTCAGACATACATCCGGTCTACAGATTAAATATCTTGTAATATATTCTATAAATAATATTCATCTAAAAACAAACTATGATCACGTATACTGAGCATGAGTCTATCGCGGTCAATACTGACCATGACAACACCCATCAAGTAGTACTATTTACTCTGAATGGTTCTATTTTGTTAAGGGAGCCACGGTGGCTAAATGAGAAAGACGCTGTCTCGCTAGCCTGGAGTTTGCAGGTTTGATCCCGGTGTTGGCCGAGGAAGTTCATTGTGATTTTACGGTGGATTCCTATTGTCAGGGGGTGCAGGACGGAGGGCATGACAAGAACAGCTGCCTAGTCGTTTCGATGGTACAAAAAAATAGGTCCGGTGTACACATTGGCATAAACGTAAAAGATCCCTTGGCAGTTGGAATTTGATATAAGAATAGTCCAGGCAAAATTACCTAGTAGAACACTGTATAGCATATGCCCGAATTTATTAGCCCAGTCGGAGCAGAACAGTAGGACGTTAAACCCCATTTCATTACATTTCTATTTTGTTTCAGAAAGAAAAAATCTGCTGCTACATGTATTTACCTTGTTTAAGTGGCATTTAGTAACTGGATGAGAATAACACATGACACAATTATATGGAATACAAGTTTTGAAGAGTTTATTCAGCGACGTTTCGACGAGGGTTCTCCCGTCTTTATTTGCTTGATAAAGACCGGAGAACCCTCATCGAAACGTTACTGAAATAAACTCTTCAAGTAACGTGTATTCCATATAATTGTGGCATGTGTTATGTATTTACCTGTTTCCATTGGTTAGAATAAAGTGACGGAAGTAGATCTACGTAACCCATATCAGCTGCACAATGTCTATCAACACGATCAGTAAATATACTGAAAAATAAACAAACACAATATTTTTATTTGTATAAAAAAAACCCAACACAACAACATGATAGTAAACCTACAACAATTCATTGTGTGACTCTATATTAGGACTAGCTTACTAATAAATCAGTTAAAATATCTAATTAAAATACATATCTATATTTCGTTTCATTTTTTTTTTACACTACATGAAGACCTGACCGGTTGTAGTGGAATGTCAAGTCACAGGTCATAAAAGCGGCTTTTGACCCTATGACCTGATTAAAATACAGATCTATATTTCGTTTCATTTTTTTTAATACTTTGATGGCCTACACTACATGAAGACCTGACCGGTTGTAGTGGAAGGTTGTGTCAGAGAGCATACAAGCGACTTTTGACCCTATGACTTCATACATTTGATTAACCAATAAGCACTATGTTTCTATTAGGTTACCCACAGTTCCGTGCACCTCACGCCCAAAACTCGCCCTAACAGACCGTTTCATTGACTAATCCCTCACATCATCCAGAATGCATGTTATATAACAACTCTTCCAGATCCGAGTGTAGTAAACACAAGTAAAATGAAATTTTGAACTATAAAAAATGAAACGAATTAGGATCTGTGTTTTAATCCGATTGCCTTGTTTTGGACTATTTGTTAGAGAACTAATAGTACAGCTATGTTGAGGAATTATATTTACCCAGCATATTGATTAATGATATTAATGTCTGCGTTAATCAGATGTAGCAAGGATGATTTATCTTCTATAATAACCACGGAGATATCGGGAACAGCAGGTTTTAACGTCACTAGGCCTGGTGCCGCCAACAACAAACTATCTCTCTTTAAATAATGTACAATTTTCTCTGTTGCTGGAAAATAGAATAATTTTCTTATAACATACATCTAAAGAAAAACTGAGAGTAGAATAAATTAATCCAGATATTTCTGAAATGAAATGAAATAAAATGGGGTTTGATGTCCAACTGTTCTGCTCTTATACTGGGCTAACGAAGACGGGCATACGCCATACAGAGTGTTATGTGGGAAATTTTGTCAGAGCAGCGGCACTATGGCCTACTCTTATATCAAATTCCAACTACCAAGGGATCTTTTACGAGCACACCAATGCATACATGGGACCTCGGTATTTTGTCCCATACGAATGACTAGACAGCTGTCCTTGTCAGGCCCTGTCATGGGGAAACCACGTCGGAAAATCATGATGAACTTTCTCGGACAATGCAGGGATTGAACACCCGACCACCAGACTAACGAGCCAGCGTCTTACCCACTTAGCCACAGTGGCTTCCCAGAAATTTTTATATCCATGACAATATAACGTCAACACAATCCTTCTTGGATAGAACTACTTTTGTCTGCAACAAATTATGAATTATATTGAATGAGAGTATATATACACACTGTCTTCATTAGCCCAGTCGGAGCAGAACAGTAGGACGTTAAAACCCATTTCATTTTCAGTGAGAGTATAGATCGATAGATGTACTTTTATTTTATTCCTGTTGTGGCTCAGTGAGTAAAACCCACGAAGTTGGACAGGTGATCGAAACCACACAACTTGATTCGAAGAAAGACCTTACGATACAACGCACACCTGTTAACCATTTGGCTACCCAACCCCCACGCCTGGCAAGGAGCAAAGTCTTGTTGTTCAAAGGGGTCAAAAAACTGGAATTTCCCTGATAACACACTACATATAGCGTAAACCTGTCTTCATTAGCCAGGTTGGTGCTGAAAATTAGGACATTAAACCCACGTTTCATTTCATTTATATCTGTCTTAGAACACTTCCGACAGTATCATTACCTGTATGAGACTGATTTTGATTGATAGTTGGTGATCTAGAAGGTCGACATGTGATCAATTTCCTCCAATCAACGCCACTTGATTCAATATCTTCACAAATCTGTTTTAAATCGACAAATTCCATCCATGGATTCTAATAACAAACACAGAAAAAATTAATTAAAGGTTGACACCATTTTAAAAATTTGGCAACAAAATACATGTAAGTCTTAAAATGTGTGGAGATTGGGCAGTCGGCTGTATCCCTTGGAACGTACAAACTTCATTCTGCAATCAAAACCCCTGTCTTAAGGATGATCCAAAGCTCACACTTAACCACGCCCCACGCCCACCCCTTTCTCGCCATGACTACAAGAACACCTGAGAAATGAATCTGAAAACTGGTGCTACCAGTGTGATTGAAATATTCTTATTGAAATATAACACAGTTAATTCTATCTGTGTATTTCTATCTGTGTATTTCTATCTGTGTATTTCTACCTGTATAATTCTACCTGTGTTATTTTACCTGTGTAATTCTATTGAATATAAAAGAGTTATATCTACCTGTATATTTTGAAAGAGAAGTAAAAGTTTTGACGCATCATATTGAGGTGGTAACGAAGGAAGATAGAGGTTAGCATCGTGTAGTCTTGGTTCCTCCAGCCATAATACCATAGTTTGATACAATCTATAATTATAAAACAGACTTCATTACGTATGTACTGGTAAAACAAGTCTACTGTCAAAAGAAATCTGTTATTAAAAATACAACCAAAGCCACAAAACTATGAGAAACTAGATGGCCAGGCAACAAAATATATGCCCACATCAGCTTAATTGTCCGAGTAGTCCATTCATTATATTTTTATTATTAATCTTATCATTATTATCATCATCAGCAGCAGCATCAACATCAGCAGCAGCATCAACATCAGCAGCAGCAGCATCAACAACGTCAGCAGCAGCAGCATCAACATCATAGGCGGCAGCAGCATCAACATCATAGGCGGCAGCAGCATCAACATCATCATCAGCATCAACATCATCAGCAGCAGCAGGATCAACATCAGCAGCAGCAGCAGAAGCAGCATCAACATCATCATCAGCAGCAGCAGCAGCAGCATCAACATCATCACAAACAGTGCTCAAAAACACTTAACAATTTAACCAATGATAAAAACATATGTGAATGCATTAATCAAAAAGATCACAAATGTTAAAAGTAAAAGTAGTATGAGATCTTCCTGGAAGAGAATAAACATACAATAATCTGTTAATAGGAAATTGATTTCACCTACCTCAGTAATCTCTGTTTTAACTGGATATTATTTTGATCTAATGTCGTATTCAATATTTGATTTTCTGTTCGTTCTTCTGTCGCTTCCTGAATATCTTTGTGGAGTTTTTCAATCGTTTCTGACAAATTCTTCTTCATCATTTTCAACATGGATGAATGGCCGAGGCTGGAGAAAAAACGCTCACCAATACTTGCCCGATGTGGAACACTACAACAGATGAAATACAAAACAACCGGTTAGAAATTCAATAATCTTGGTGTCATATGCCAATCTGATTAAAATAAAGATCTATATTTTGTTTCATTTTTTTATACTTTCGATGACCTCTACTACATGAAGATCTGACTGGTTGTTGTGTGAAGGTCGTGACGTCAGAGGTCATACCAGCGGCTTTTGACCTTATGACGTTATCCATTTGATTAACCAATCAGTGTTGATGATTTAGTGGGTTACCCACAATTCCATGCACCTCCTGCCAAAAACTCGCCGTAACAGATCGTTTCATTGACTAATCCCTCACATCATCCAGAACGCGGCTTATATGACAACTCTTCCAGATACTAGTGTAGTAAACAGAATTTTGAACTATAAAAACACGAAACGAAATAGGATCTGTGTTTTAATCAGATTGTCAAAACAAAGAAAAGGAGCACAATTATTTTTTAAATTCTATGGAACTCATGGCAGAAAAAATTATATATTATTATAACCTATTCGTAATCTAATTAATGAATATATATCGATGGGATATTTAGCTCCGAACTGATTAAAAGCCGACAAGATATTGATTCAAACTTGTCAAATCATTGTAATTCTGTTTTGAATTGATTGATTTGAAACATTCATGGGATACAATTAGTTTTTTAAATTCTATGGAGCTCATGGTAGATAAAATTATATATTAAAATATTTATGGTACCTGGTTTCTGTAACACTTCTACCAAGGAAGAGAAGGAAGAACTGTTGCCATAGTAACGGTAATAGTATATGATCGTACGGCGTGTCCATGGCCTGTAACGCCCAGCGATAAATATTTAAACGATGTAAGGCTGGAGCATGTTGTAACTTTAAATTATGTATAACATTCTGAAAAACACACAAACAAAAATATTAGCTAATTATCACGGCAGTTCTATGAAAGACAATTATACTTGGTAACGATAGGGAAACTTTGAAAAACATAGCTCTGGTTAAAAGATAGCTCTGATTATTCTAGGTGTTCGGTTACTAATTTTCACTTAAACTGTACAAAAATACGAGGCCTTCATTCTATTAATGACGTGTAATGATAATCCCTAGATCTGGCTGAAGAAAATGATCATTCTATTGTTCAAACATTTTTCACAGGCGTCAATGAAAATAGGTAGATCATTTAATTTTTCTGGAGTAAAACTTTCTCAAACAAATGTTTCAGCTGAAATATTGAAAATTTCATTACCCTACTCCTTGTCACATACAACTGGGGATTCGAAACCACGTCAGTTGACTCAATGACAGGCTTTATGATACAGCGTGCACATGCTAACCATTCAGCCATCCAACCCCCCTATCCTCTTATCGTTATCAAGCACATATAATCAACTGACTAAGACAAAATACAGCCCATATTTTTGAAAATGTAGAAAATATTACCTTTAAAGCTTGATCAACTGTAATGGTATGATTTCCATACAATTCTTCTTGTAACGATGGCCAGATTCGTGATCCAACTTCGTAATGTTTCTCTAGCATCAATATAATATAGGCTAACCACACAAACTCTTGACTTGATGATTTCTCTAGAAACGAAGGAAGATATACACCGGACGATATCCAGCTTACAACAGAAGACATCACGCCTTGTTGACCCGATTCTTTTATTAAGTTCTGAAATAAAAAGATGACATATTATAGGGGAATTTAGTATTCGTTGGTTTATGTACTCCTTATATCGATTTTCAGCTGCCAAGGGATCTTTTACGTGTACACCAATTTTTTACACAGGAGCTTGGTTTTTTCATCCCATCCGAACGACTAGACAGCTGTCCTGGTCAGGCCCTCAATCCTGCACCACTGACTAGGTGGGACCACACTAGAAAATCCTGATAAATTTGATCGGCCAACGCTGGGAGCAAACCCGCAACCTTCAGGTTGGTGAGCCAGCACCTTACTCACTTAGCCATCGTGGCTCCCCCAACATAAAAACCAAACAATCAAACTGACTAAAGCCATATGAACTTCCATGTATTCAAATTTACGGAAATTCTCGTAACGTATTCATCAATTTCAACAGAGAAATATAATCTGTTTACTTACCATAAAGCAATCTTGAAAGATGGCCTCTACTTGAGGTATTAAACCTTCGAGTGTGAAGGCTACCTCAATCAACTTGTTCAATATATAACAACAATTTCTGGAAACAAAATAAATACAAAAATAATCTCACAACCAGAATATTATTATATTTTAATATAGCAAACATAGTTATAATAGAGGGAAAAACAGGACAGACTGTTGACATTTATCTCAAGTGTCTCCAGAACCGCACTACACACAAAACAAAATCAATACACAACCTAGATAGACATTGCAAGAAATAAACAACCAATATCAAATCAAGTGAATGAATTTGTGGGCAAGGTGTAAGTGTGCTGTCCACTGTACAGGCTTCACTCAAAATGATAAAAAGATTACGATTTATAACAAAGACGTAACAGAAATAACGCAACCATTCTTGACAGTGGTTGCTTCTTGAATGGCGATAGTTGTGCTCCATAACTTTCATCAAGTTTTCTATCTTATATAATACGAACGATTATTTAGATGCATTGAACTCCAGCTGTTGTTGGATGCTATATAACCACGAGTTTACTGACAGTAAAAGAGACGAGAGGAGCAGTGACGAGCAGAGACAAGCAGAGGCAAGCATATGGACTCACCGGAGTTCAGCTGCTGCATTGGCAGAAGAGGGGAATGGTTATAATATAGTCATGTACTGTGTTTATGTGTTTATGTTTTATTGTTTATGTTCCTGGAGTGTTTTAGTTCCTGTTTGATTCATGTTCCTGTTGTATTTATGCAGCTGTTTCATATTCTGTTCCCGATGTAAATAAATCCTATATTTAAGAAACTGATCTCTGTTATCACTAACAGTGTTACATAGTCTGTCAGTTAACATCATGAGTGAGAAGGTCAAACAATAAGGGCGATAATCTGGATAGAATATAGGACATTGATAAAATGTAACATAATTGTTTACCTATATAAAATATAACTCACCTGTCCTGATACCATCTATTGATTCTAGTTACACCTCGAACCCAGAATAATATAACTAGCTGAGATTGAAATAATTCTCTCTTTTTACTTACTTCATTCTATAAATACAGTCAAATATAATCTTATCATACAGTCAAATATAATCATATCATTCTACAGTCAAATATAATCATATTCTACTAATACAGTCAAATATAATCATATCATTCTACAGTCAAATATAATCATATCATTCTACAGTCAAATATAATATCATTCTACAGACAAATATAATCATATCATTCTATTAATACAGTCAAAAATAATCATATTATTCTACTAATATAATAATAATAATGATATGTCTATTTATTCAGAGCCAAATCCACAAAACGTGAAATATAATAATAGTAATAATGCATATTATGTTTAGCACCTAATTTTCACCTGTCCATTCACCCCACACTAAACCTGTGTTCTCTTTGTCCCACCCTTCACTTCAACCTGATTTCTCCCCCACCCCACCCTTCAAACAAGTCTCCTTCCCTCTCCTATCCCATCCAAAAACCTGTTCTCACCCCTTACTCTACCATACAATCTGTGTCCTTGCCACCACCCTCAACCTTCACCCAGCCCTACAACCTGTCTTCTCCCCTCCCCCAACCTACCCTACAACCTAACCCCACCCTAGAATCTGTCCCCAACTCTGTATAACATACAAAATTACCTGTATCATGGTAATAAACTGTATCGTTATGTTGCCAGGGAAATCAGACGTTATCACAGATTTCGCCATTTTATATAACGTTTCATCAGCCCAGATAGTTGACTGTAAAATCTTTATAAATCTGCTCAAATATAAAATAAATATTATATTATGTATCTATATCATATCAATATTTATCAAGCATCATCAATATGAACAAAACTTTTAGGCTTAGCTCCGCAAGACACAATGTTTCACGGCTAACAATCTATCATCACCATTTAAATCAATACAAGCCATAAATGTGAAAATATTTCAAAACTAAAACCTAAAATGTCTTCAGGTTCAAATTAACAACAGCTTCTGACAAACTGTAAAAAGGAGACTCATCCCACTTCCTGATTTATTTCCATGGAAACATAAAAGTTATTAAAGGACAATATTGGTGTCAGCCATTATCAGATAATTTATGTGATAGAACTGTTTAAACACGATCCAAATATAGTTTTAACACAGAAATAATTGGATCTGTTATCGCTCGTTACTATCAGACAGTTATATAGAAGGATAACTTGTGTTTTCCTTTTGCTTTCATCACTTCCGTTTCTTCAAATGTTCATTACGCATCTATTGTAGCAATGATCTCTGTGTTAAAATTATATTTGGAGCATGTGTAACCAGTTCTATCACATATGTGATAATGGCTGACACCAATATTGTCCTTTAAATACGAGACAATTTTATGGATACACAAGTACTGAGTTTAATACTAAGCGACGTTTGACGAGGATACTAATTAGCAAAAGGCACAACTATAGGTTGTTGTGTAGTAGAAAGTTTCATAAAGATAAGTAGAATTTCATTCCAAACCACGACGTACAGAATAAAGCCACTGGTTTTAGCCATTTGTTATTTATTAGCACAAGGTTTGAAATATTATCCTCTGTACAAACCTTTCATTATCTGTTAAATAAGCTGGACTGGATAGAAAATAAGGACAAACACAGTTTAATATGTGTATTACAGCAGTGAACTGGTTAGCAGTGACTAGAGAGCCCAGAATATCAAGTCCCTTTTCAACAAACTCCCTTGCACTAAAATATAAAGAAAAAGCAACAATTACGATGCATATATTTTCAAAAATCAATCAAGATAGATAATTCATAAAAAAAAATTACATATTTTATTTCAATAAATAAAAAAATAAACATTTTCCAATATTTTATGCTAAACTCAAGGATATATTACAATATATGTGACCGCGTATATCAAAGTGAGTCGGAATATGCAAAATCTAATTTTGGACTAGAGACAAAATAAGTGAAAATATTGATTTTGATCGACATTGAGATTTTCACAAAAATGAGTCTATAAATATACTATCTATTGACACAAAAGATCAAAATAGCAATAAAAGATTTTAGAACACCTTTATTTGAACGTTTTGTAAGAGTACCGTATTCTTAAATCTGTCCTATTTGTTAAAACTCTTGGCGAAATTAGTTATTTTTCTTCCAAAATCAGACAAATAATAGATAATGAATAAATTATATATTTCATTTAGTTGACAAATGAAAATAATGATCTGCAAACACCATAACATATTCTGATATCGTACACTAAAAGAATACAAGGTCATATAACAATCACCCTACTAAAGTAGTACACCTTTATTTAATGGGTGGGGTTGGATGGCCGAATGGTTAGCACGTGCTCATTATATCATAAGGTCTGTCATTGAGTCAACTGCCTTGGTTTTCGATTCCCCGGGTGTACATGACGAGAAGTAGTGATGCCTGTCCAACCTTGTGGGTTTCCTTCAGATCTTCCAGTTTCCTTCCACTTCTGTCTCGCTACCTGTATGTATATGTCATCTTGCCTGTGTGGGGAGACACGGTGGCTAAGACGCTAGCTCGCTAGCCTGGGGGCCGGGTGATCAATCCCTGCATTGGCCGAGAAAGTTCATTGTGAATTTCCGACATGGTTTCCCCTTGTCAGTGGTGCAGGATGGGGGGCCTGACAAGGACAGCTGTCTAGTCCTTTTGGATGGGACGGAAAACTGAGGTCCCATGTATACATTGCCATACACATAAAAAATCCCTTGGCGGTTGGAATTCGATATAAGAGTAGGCCATAGTGCTGCTACCCGGGCAAAATTTCTCTTAAAGCACACTGTATGGCATATGCCTGTCTTCATTATCCCAGTCGGAGCAGAATAGTAGTACGGTAAACCCCATTTTATTTCATTTTCATTTCTTACCTGTGTGTTTTACTGGACATGAGTAAACCAAGATAACATGATAATGGATTCTTTTCTTTTATTCCTTTCACGATCGGTAACAGCCAATCATCTTCATCTAAATGACACGGTTGAAAATCACTAGCCAATCCGTGATTATCTACTGTAATACTATGGAAGTGTAATTTGAGTCTGAGTGCCAGATCCCAGGTCCAGTTACTCAACTGTTGTTCAATCGTTACATTCTGTCGAACTACTGATGCTACCTAAAATATCAAAATATTTATACAGATGTATTACAGGGCAATATCAGAGGATCATCCTTATTGCAGGGCAATATCAGCAGGTCGTCCTGATTACAGGGATCTATCAGGCGGTCATCCTTATTATAGGGATCTGTCAGGTGGTCATCCTTATTACAGGTCTCTATCAGAGGGTCGTCCTTATCAGAGGGTCATCTTATTATAGGGCTCTACACTGTAATCCAGGTATCATTTAATCTTGTGTATCTAGCACAAATTTCTTTCACATTCGTTTAATATCCAATCTTTGTTTAAAAAATTTGTAAAAACTGTTTAAAATCACCATAAATCGTTTAATTTGTACTTCTGTCCAGTTTAAAGCTGACAAACGATATAATTCAGTACACGTACCTGTCTGATTCCTTCTGCTATAAGTAAACTATAGTTACGATTACTGATATATTTACGATAAGCTTCGACGATCAGTAGTGCCACCTGTCTGTGTATACGTAGCGGTAATATCATACCATGCTGTAATATAAACAACCTTGACATTAATACATCATTATTCAAACATGGTATGTACCTTCTGTGGAAGGCAATCATACTATAGTGTCAGATAAGAGAGCAACCAGCGTAAGGGTCCTTAGCAGTGGGAGGAAACTGGAGGACCCGGGGAAAACCCATGAGGTCGGACAGGCAAACCTATTCCTTGTCACAAACAACTGCGGAATCCAAACCACGCCAGTTGACTCAATGATTGACAGACCTTATGATACAGCGTGCACGTGCTAACCATTCGGCTTTTCAACCCCCCTGACCACTACCAATCATGGTACAATAATATAATATCTCAAGTCGTCAACCTATTCTGGCAAACTGATGTTAATAATCTAACAGTATTATTCAGACAAACTGTTGATTGGCTTACCAAAGATTTGTTCTCTTTTTGAAGCAAATTTAGAGAATTTTATCCAAGAACTACAACTCTGCTAATAATAAGGTGGATGATCCCTATTTATTGTATGATAAATTTGGTTTAACATCCCCTTTACACTAATCAAGTCATTTTTTGACTAATCAAGTCATTTTTGACAAATCAGGTCATTTTTTGACTAATCAAATCATTTTCTGACTAATCAAGTCATTTTATTTCAATAATTTGCAAGGATTTTTTTTTAGTCATATGAAGAAACACACACACAGCTAGACACTTACCTGTGGACTGACATCCCAGTTAAGATTTGAAAGAATATGTCGAGCGAGTTGATTTTCACGCGAGGTTAACTCACACTGTAATAACCACTGTCTGATGACCAACATATCAGGATCCGTGGGACGACTCTGATGTAGTGGCAACTCACGAAATAAATATACCGCCATCTGAAAACAACAATAATCAAATTTAAATCCATAAAGATACTATGTCAAATTTATAGTCTTGTTACAGGTTATTCAGAGAAGGGAACTGAAAATTGTCCAGTTAAAAACTAGTTTTCTTTCATTTCTAGATTCAACTATATGACTGATTTTAAAGAAGAATAATGAAAACTTACTGATCCACTCTGTTTCATATTTTTACGAACTGATTGCAGTAGAACAGAGAAAGTATATGGATGTTTCTCTAAGATTCCTGATAATAATTCTCTACCAACTTTAGAACAAAATTCACGTGTATGATCACAAACATAGGCAATCTGAAAAAAATCAACAACTATCACTGTAACCCAGATATCATTTAATCTTGTACATCTAGCACTAATTTCTTTCCCATTCGTTTAATATCAAATCTTTGTTAAGTAGGTCGTAAAAATCGTTTAAAATCACCAAAATTCATATAATTTGTATATTTGCGTCCAGTTTAAAGTTGGCGATTCAGTTTTGATAATGAGTGTCCAATTTACAAGTGTTTAATTTATCGATCACTGTTAAAAATAAACAACCCAATTGATTATTGATGTATAAGGCCTAATGATTAATTTTTTAACAGTGATTGAGAAATTAAATACTTGTAAACTGGACACTCATCAAAATCAATCAGTCAGCTTTAAACTGGACATTCAATGAATATTACAATAGATATCACTGTTATTCACAACTTCACTGTGATACCTCGGTCAACACCTAAAGTGGGATCTTATAAACCTTATAAACACTATCCCACTCGTTGAATAATATTTCAAACCGTAATTATTCATTCCAAACATATTCCTTTCAAACCCTCTTCACAGCCATCATTTTTATGGACTATATGTTTCAAAATTTTTAAATGTGTATCATTAATTTCAAAATTTCATCCAAAACAACTGTTCGATTAAAAATAAAAAAAGAAATAATAAATAAGTAAGTCATTTATATGGCACAATTTACCCAGGATTCCTGTTCAGGTCAGCTTAAAATTATCAGGATTCAGCGATAGACATTGCAGTACCACACAAGCATATAGAGAGGTCTGAGAAGACATTTTTCCAAAGTCCATTATCTTGTGGAACTCTTGTGGTGAAAAACACCACAGACCCAAAACACTGTATCAGAATTATTTGAAGTCGAAAATCTTGCCGAATGTATTTATTTTCAGAAATCCAATATCTTGTGGAACTCTTATTTTCAGAAATCCAATATCTTGTGGAACTCTTGTGGTGAAAAGTTCCACACAAATGCCTCCAAACCTTGCCATAGGTGTTAAGCGAAGACTGAAATAAAGTACCTGAAAGACCTCGACTGTTATACTCTCTATAAAATCTATTTCTGTTGTTGGTCGACTTTCCGCCATGTTAGCAAACGTTGTGAGAAGATAAATTGTTTCAGATGATTGAAGCGTCAATAAATTATCCACCAGCTGATTTCTACTGTTGGGATCTAAAAATAAAAACAATGAAAATAATACCAGATGTTTAGTAACTTGGTATCAATAAATAAAAAACAGGATGAGGGGAAGCCAACCAGATGTCAAAATTTCTTAGATAAAAAAAAATTAGCAATAAATTTATTTGTGGTTGTGACAAGTCACCTCACATAATTAAGTACCATATAATTAAGTACCATATAATTACATATTATCATTAAACATACATTATGCAAGAGCAAAATCTGTCTATTGCAAGTCTTAATTTAGGCTTCAGATGTTATAGAAATTATAAATTAGATTTTTATTTAAACTACAAGCCCAAAATCGACTCTGTAGACCCACGGATGGCTCGGCTACAGCTCGGATTTAAATAGGATTTCACTTATCAATTAATTCAAATATGGTGCATCCTGATGAGAATACGTCAGTTAGATCGAGGCTAAATGATAGAGTGTACTTAGCGAGGCCGCTGTAGAGCGTTTCCGCATGCCATTGAAAACTTTACTTGATAATCGAGATATGTAGGTGGAGTTAACGCCTGTCAATCAAACGATCGGCAAAGGCGAAGGCACATTTCACTACCATTTCTAGTCAAATATTACAACGATGATAACTATGTTCAGAATAAAGTAATTTGACTGAAATTTTCAATATATTCTTCTTTCATCATCTACTTTTGAACTGTTATAGCAAGAATGGCCAATTCTCTATAAAAATCTCCCATAATGTATCTTTAACAAGCCTGGAAATAAGGCACCTGTCACAGACAATGTCAGGCACAGTTTCAGGCTTTGTCAGCCACAAAACCTATGGTGCCTGTTATTTTGTCCGGCACAGATTTATCTTTTCTATTGATATTATTAATAAATGTCCGACACTAAGTTGAAAATGTCAGGTACTATTTCATAACTGCCTGACATTTTGTCAGGAACATCTAAAACCATTATTTCCAGGCCTGATCATTAATGACAATACCCTTCCTCCTATGCTTCTAATGTCCAAACAGAAAAACAACATTGTTTTACAATAGAGCAGATCAAAATTACTGCCCCGTCACCCGTCTTATCTATACAATTTTTTCTGTAGCAATAGCAGGATGACTTTTGTAAAACATATTAAAGGACCTAAATCGGTAACATTTGGGACCTAGAAATTGACACAAATGGGTCGCAACACACATAATAATGTAATAAGAATGTATATAAACTGATTTACATAGAATCGTTTCTATTTTTACTGTAATTTCTAATCAGTTATGTTCAGCTAAATACGTCAGAAGTTTCAATCGAATGGCAATCTCTAGCGTCTGGTTATTCCAGTCTACACCAATAGTATTTATTTCAGATGCTCTCCAGGTAAGAATATGTCGTCACTATCTGACACAACTTGAGGAATTTGTCTAGCCTCGTTCTTCGAGACCCTTGTTACAAATGGCGCTGAAATGCATTATGATACACGATACGTGTACCAATGGTAAAATGTTTATTTTGTCTTAAATATTGGATATCAGAAGCCCATCATTTCCCAGTAAGATCACAACATCAATGTTGATTTAAATTGACAAATAATTTGTGTTTTTATGTCCTATTTGTCTGCACTGACTAGGCTAATGAAGATGGGATTGACATTGAAAACAACATTATAACACAAAGAAGGTGTACGACCATCTGTGTAACGTGGGGCTTTCAGATTAATCTTTCAAACAAATCAAGACCAACCTTTTAAATACTCTTTACATTTCTCAACGGTTGGCATCGAATCGAGATCTAGTTCCTGACCTTGACCTTGATGTAGTATCCATAGTAACTGCCACATACTGTTAGAAGATACACAAGTAAAAGGCATGTTGGCCATAAACTGCCACGAACCCAACCTGAAATTAAATAATATGAAGTTTTAGATATAGGACTCCCATTTCTACAGGAATCCAGCAGTCAAAAGAGTTAACAGTATAATCAGCGTAGGACCATATACCACAATATCGTCTGTTCAATAATTCATCTAAATGTAGGGGATCACAGTGGCTAAGTGGGTAAGACGCTGGCTCAATAGCCCGGAGGTCGGGTGTTCGATCCCTACGTTGGCCAAGAAAGTTCATACAGATTTTCCGGCGTAGTTCCGCCTTGTCAGTGATGCAATACGAGGGCCTGACAAGGACGGTTGTCTAGTCGTTCTGATGTGACGAAAAACCGAGGTCCCGTGTACAGATTGGCGTGCACGTAAAAGATTCCTTGACAGTTGGAATTCTATATAAGACTAGACCGTAGTGCCGCTGTCCAGGCAAAATTTCCCTCATAGCACGCTGTATGGCTTATGGCCGTCTTTATTAACCCAGTTCGGAGCAGAGCAGTAGGATGTTAAACCCCATTTCATTTCATTTCATTGACCAATAACATCAAAAACAATTAAAATAAAATACAAATTCTCTAAAGTTGATAAATAAATAACAGAAAAGGACAAAATTTGAACTAAAGGTAAGAGGTATAAATGAAATATACTATAATTATTGTATGGCTAACTTGAACAGAAACGTAAAATATCTCTGATTATTCGTCAATAGAATACAGCGGTGTCAATCTATGTTATTATTCACAACACAAAATAACCAGAAATGTTTAATTCATTTAAAACAAAAAAATAAACAAACATAAATAAAATCTTCTGTCTTCTAACAACTCAAAAAATACAAATTATGAGTGACACATAAACTACTCACATTAACACATCATCAGCACAACTAGGGAGAGAGAGAGAGGAGAAATATGTACTCATTAATATCATACTGTTGGTCTCTTGAACGAGGTTATACTGTTGGTCTCTAAGACAGGTCATACTAACGGTCTCTACAACAAGTCACACTACTGGTATTTAGAAATGGTTATACTGTTGGTCTCTATAACAAGTCATATTGCTGGTCTCTAGGGCAAGTGGTACTGTTTGATTAGGGAAACAGAATTAGTGTTGGTCTCTAGGACAAGTCATCCTGTTATATTAGGGGAATAGAATTAGTGCTGGTCTCTTGGGAGGTCACACTATTGTTATGATAAAAATGGAATTTTCCTTCAACTTCCAGTTCTAAACTGTAAAAAATTAAGTTTAATATGCAGGAGAATCCATCCAGCTACTTCATAAATACTAAATATAAGTTCTGTTCAATCAGAGCATTGAGTATAAGAGAAGATATTATTTGTTTGTAAGGAGCATTATGATTGGTTGAATAAATAAACTTACTTTTGAGCTGTAAGTATACAGTAAGTAGCTCTCATAAAGAACTGATCAAACTCGGCCTGAAGTCCGTCTGCTACAGATCGTGGTTGTAGTAAACTCGTTTTATAATTCTCCCAATGATTAGATACAATCGCCACCGTCTCTCTACAAAAATATAGAATACCCTGATGATATTAAAATATATAATACCCTGATTACATTAAAATATAGAATACCCTGATTACATTAAAATATATTAAAATATAGAATACCCTGATGATATTAAAATATAGAATATCCTGATTATATTAAAATATAGAATACCCTGATGATATTAAAATATAGAATATCCTGATTATATTAAAATATAGAATACCCTGATGATATTAAAATATAGAATACCCTGATGATATTAAAATATAAAATACCCTGATGATATTAAAATATAGAATACCCTGGTGATATCAAAATATAGAATACCCTGGTGATATCAAAATATAGAATACCCTGGTGATATTAAAATATAAAATACTCTGATGATATTAAAAAATAGAATACCCTGATGATATTAAAATATAGAATACCCTGATGATATTAAAATAAAATGCAATGGGGTTTAACGTCCTACTATTCAGCTCCGGCTTGGCTGTGTATTTTTATTTAATTGATTTATAAGAAGGATGCCTTAGAATTAAATGCAAGGAATTATATAATGGGGTTTAACGTCCTACTGTTCTGCTCTAACTGGGCTAATGAAGACGGGCGCATACGGCATACAGTGTGCTATGAGGGACATTTTGCCCGGACAGCGTCACTATGGCCTAATCTTATATCGAATTACAACTGCCAAGGGATCTTTAATGTGCACAAAAGAAATTAAATGAATTATAACGGGGTTTAACGTCCTACTGTTTTGCTCTAACTGGGCTAATGAAGATGAGCTTTGAGAAAAATTTTGCCTAAGGCTTACTCTAATATTGATTTCCAACCGTCGAGGGTTTTTGCACACCATTGTGTACACGGAACCTCGGTTTTTCGTCCCATTATTGATTGGTGTTGAAAACATTTTAAAGTGCAATATAATAAACTGATATTCTAAGAGAGGAAAAGATGACGTCATGAAATCTATATAGTAATGGAAAATTTAATTGATTAGTCGATTTTAATATTTTTGAAGCAATGGAATTTTATATAAAACAACTAATTATGTATGGACCGAAAATCTGTAGTTGTATTGAGTATGGACTGTATATTAGTGTGGCATATATTTTTCTTTGAGTGAAGAATGGTGCAAATAGCCTTCAGTAAAATGTGGAAAGGGGGTGCTCAATTGTCAGTCAGGATTGTAATCAAGTGACATGGAATTCAGCCATGTCACAGTTCTGCCAGTCCCGACAGCTGAGGTGGTGTGAGTAGAATCCGGACGTATTTTAAGTAACAAATATATTTCAGCTGTCATGATTGGTTTAGATATTTTTAATATGCAGTCAGCACATGCATTGTACTACGAAATTCTCCCTTTCACTCGATTGACACTATTTTGGGAATTGAGAGAATTTAATTCCAGAACGTTAAATCGAGTATCCCCAAATTGATTTCTGGATTTTTTATGTAAGTTGTAAATTATTACCTAATCATCTTGCCGATGCGTTTATTGAGTTGCCGATATCTCGCCATACTGTACGTCTGTAAACCACGACCTAATAAATCTATCCAACACGTACAGAACGCAAATATCTTCAACATCACACTTTCATTCGTATGACTTATATCGTAGAATACAGAACCTGAAATAAACAACACATCCGTTACTACAATAAATATCACAGAATACACAACCTGAAATAAATCATATCTTCACAGAAAACAGAGTCTGGATAGTGACAAATTATCACCATATAAAACAGGGCTTTGTGGATGGCGTGATCTTCGTTTGATGTAACAGACAAAGCTTATGAGACGTTCACTCAAAAATACTGAAGGGAAACAATCCAGATATATTATAATAAAATAAAACTGGTTAACTCTTCTTTAATTCTAGAGGTTTATGCTCTTTTTAAGGAAATATGTATATGTAATCCCTATAAACGTCTGAATATTTTGAACTGAAACTTTCATACGAACTAAACAATCTATTTTTTCACACTTCTACATATGATTTGCATACATTCAAAAGAAAATGAAAACTGGGACTTCATCTCTTTTAAGGAGAACAGTGTTGTCAAACTTACCAATAGTATCTGTTTTAACCATCAATATATGTGAGAAAACAGCAGAAATAGGAAATTGTTTTAATATTGCAACAATATCATTCTCATGTAAATATAACCAGGCATTAACAGGGTCTTCATCCTGAAAATATAACATTACTAAATATAACCAGGGTCTTCATCCCAAAAATATAATATTACTAAATATCACCAGCCATTAACAGGGTCTTCATCCTGAAAATATAACATTACTAAATATAACCAGGTATTAACAGGGTCTTCATCCTGAAAATACAACATTACTAAATATAACCAGGGTCTTCATCCCAAAAATATAATATTACTAAATATCACCGGCCATTAACAGGGTCTTCATCCTGAAAATATAACATTACTAAATATAACCAGGCATAAACAGGGTCTTCATCCTGAAAATACAACATTACTAAATATAACCAGGGTCTTCATCCCAAAAATATAATATTACTAAATATCACCAGCCATTAACAGGGTCTTCATCCTGAAAATATAACATTACTAAATATCACAGGCATTACCAGGGTCTTCATCCTGAAAATATAACATTACTAAATATAAGCAGGTATAAACAGGATCTTCATCCTGAAAACATAACATTACTAAATGTTTCTCTGGAGTTTGCAAAATTAAACAACAAAATATAACATAACTAAATATTTCTCTGGACCTCTCAAAATAAAACAATAACAAAATTAACATTATTCAGACAGGAAAACAAATTGTTAACTTGTTAAAATGACAAAATCTGAAAGGACAACCCTCCTTCACAAGATCATCAGATCAGTCACAGATCAATTATCATTCGATCTCAGATCAGTTACAGATCAATCATCATTGTATCAATCACATATCAGTCATCATCAGATCAAACATCATCTGATCTCAACGGATCAGTCACTGATCAATCATTATCAGATCAATCACAGATCAGTTATCATCGGGTCAGCCCAAGATCAATTATCATCAGATCAATCACAGATCAATTATCATCAGTTCAATCACAGATCAATTATCATCAGATCAATCACAGATCAATTATCATCGGATCAATCACAGATCAATTATCATGTCCACTTGCAAGTGAGGTAAAAATAATATAATAGACATACCTCTTCTCCATCCGAATCTACCAGAATCCACGTAGCATCTTGATTTAAACTTTCTGGACTTTGAGATATTCTCATGTGACACATAAATTCTTCTCTGCCTCTAAATATACATAAACAGATGATTTGAAAGATCCAACAATTAAAATGATATAGTTTTAAATTCAATAACTCAAAGATGATAAAATATCCCAACATGTGGTCTAACGGTCACCGTAGATCATAACATCTGTTATCTATGTAGGTTGTGGGTATGATCCCATGCCCACCTAACAACATTAGTATTTTTCGGGTTTTTCCACTGCTAAAAAAGCTCCTCAATCAAATTATTGACATAAAATAGACCATGTGTTAGTCCCTAACTGACCTATTCAATATTAAATCCAATATTTATCTCTCTCCTCTCTCACAAACATTTTTGAATTTAGGTCTAAGAAGATGTACTTACTTCGGTGGAAGTAAAACTGTTGCCAAACAAACGACCACATGATCTAAAACAGGGCCTCCGAACATCCCTTCATTAGCTGTAGTCGGGACTGGTATCTGTATTAACTTAGATGCCCATTGACCAGCGCCACCTGGACATCGTAAAATATGATTCAATATAAAACAATGATCTTCAAACGTTGCCACTCGCAATAAGACACCTACCTGAAAACAAAAAAATCTCTACATTGCTTATAATTTTTGCACCATTATATTTAAACAAACATTATGCAAGAGCTCATTGTGGGTCTTTCTTTAGGCCTGAAATGTTATCTAAATTATTAATTAGACATTTATTAACTTATCCAGACCATAATCAACTCTAGATGTGGAGGGCGCATAATAAAAAACAATTTTTCTGTTTGCTTTACTGCAATTAATCTGTAACCCATGCATTAAAAGGATTTATAAAAATTACCAATATGTCTGTCCATTTTCTGATATTTTTGGTGAATTCCTGATCACGACACGGTCGTCTGTGGAAAGCGAAGAGAACAGAAATACAATCTTTCAATCTGTTAATCTGGTGAACAAGTTGTAATTTATGTCGGGTGTGGGCTGAAAACAAAATAAACATGGTATAAAATTGAAATTTTTATAAATAATTTAGGTGTTTCAGTTAAAGGCTCAATACCACTCTTGTTGTAACTGAATAAAATGTCCCAATCTTTATTCTGGTCAACAAATTGTACTATTTTAGAATATTTCAATTAATTGATGATACAAATTTCATCTTAACACACCCTATTTAAAAATTTTGAAAAATTCAACATAATGGTTTGAAACGTCTAACGTAAACCTTTTCAAATGAAACTTCGATTTAAAAATATTTTCGAACCCTCTGGACAAGTAAAATAGGATGTAATGGATAATTTACACAACAGGTAGGACACTTAACCATCTAGTACTTAGATAGAGATATTATTTATTTTCTGGAGCTTTCAAGCCAGCAAGAGTGTTATTGTCCCTTTAAAGTCTCATTGTGTTATTATCAATCTGATTAGAATACAGATCTATATTTCGTTTCGGTTTTTTTATACTTTCGATGGCCTACACTACATGAAGATCTGACCGGTTGTAGTGGGGGATGGAGGGCCTGACAAGGACAGCTGTCTAGTCGTTCAGATGGGACGAAAAACCAAGGTCCCGTGTACACATTGGTGTGCACGTAAAAGATCCCTTGGCAGTTGGAATTCGATATAAGAGTAGGCTGTAGCGCCCTTGCCCGGGCAAAATTTCCCTCATAGCACACTGTATGGCGTATGCCCGTCTTCATTAGTCCAGGTTAGGAGCAGAACAGTAAGACGTTAAACCCCATTTCATTCGGTTTTAGCGGGACATCGCATCAGAGGTCTTACAAGCGGCTTTTGACACTATGACCTCAGACATTGATTAATCAACCAGCGTTGACGTTTCTAGTGCTTTACCCACAGTTCCGTGCATCGCACGCCAAGAACTAGCCGTAACAGACCGTTTCATTTTCTAATCCCTCACATTAACCAGAATGTGGCTTATATAACAACTCTTCCAGATCCTAGTGCTGTGAAGACAAGTAAAACGAAATTCTGAACTATAAAAAACAAAACGAAATAGGATCTGTGTTTTAATCAGATTGTGTTATTATAGGGCAATAGGAATCTATAATAGGAATATTTGTCCAAAAATATTTGTTAATGAGTAATGCAGAATTTTAAGTTTTTTAATTCAAGATAAATATCTACATTGTATCATAAAATATAACCCATATAAAAGTCATATACAAACCTTGTACAGGAGCATTTTTAGGAATATCTCGTAACGCTGGACACGTCAAAAATAAGTTGTATAAGTACGACTCCACTTGTAACCTGAAATAAAATTTAACGTTTTTATTTAAAGGAGCAGGACTAAAAATTTTATATTTCAATGATTGTTCTATGATCTGTTTCAGTGGATATCAGGATCATAAACCAAATACTGATCAATCTTTTGATGAAAGTGAAGATTCATTTGACTGATGACTGTAAACAAAATATCTACATAATTTTTTCAATTAGAAGACTTTGCGAACACTGCCATCAATTTAACGTTTTCAATATAAAGCAAAACTACCATGGTTTTTCTAGATGCACAAACCTTCAACCAGCCTAAGAGTAGGCTATGGTGCCGCTGTCGGGGCAAAATTTCCCTCATAGCACACTGTATGGCATATGCCCGTCTTGATTAGCCTAGTTGGAGCAGAACAGCAGGACGTTAAACCCCATTTCTTTTCATTTTTTATTTGAGTGTTTAACAATGTGACTTGTCATGTGACTTGCCATTCATTAGAGACCGTCGCAAAATGTCCACACTTGCATTCAAACAAATAACACACAGAACTGGATGGGGGTGGGTTTAACGACACCACTGATTGAAAATAATAAAATAAATGTTGGTTATTTAATATTGAAATGAAATGAAATGTGGTTTAACGTCCTACTGTTCTGCTCCGCTTACTTGCCATGGCTCCCTATTCAATATTGAATCATGAACAGAACTATGTCTTCATTTTCTTACACCGTCTGCTCAGATGAGCACGAGGGTCGAGATTTTCCATGGGTTATTCGTTTCCAGGACGCAGGCGTTGAAATATTATGACAAACCCTTACCTTGATAATTGAGCAGAATAAGCAAAGAGTGATATTTTTTCTATAATTTCATCTCGTATTGTTTGTAGTGTTGTTGACATGTTGTTTAAAGATTCTTTACATAGTTCACCTTGTTGATATGAATGTACTGTCGACACTCTCGCTTTATCACCACACATTCCCTGAACAAATACAATAAAATACGGTAGTTTTATAGAATGATTTATATGTTTTATTTATTTACACATTCTTCCCTTATGAGATGTAGAGACATTGTGATACAAGGATTCAAATTTAAGGGTCCAGCGGGGGACTCAATGATAGACCTTATGATACACTGCGCACACGTTAACCATTCGGCCATAAAACCCATCCAGTCAAGTAATAATTACAAGCCATAAATTCAGGACTGGATTAAGACCTATAGACTTATTTATGTAATTCAAAATTAAAAAACAATATCTTGCAAATCCTGGCTGAAGATACCACATATATACATGTACCTGAGCTATGACACTATGCTACCTGAGCTATGACACTATATACCTGAGCTATATACATGTATGACAGTATGCTACCTGATCTATATGACACAACATACCTGAGCTATGACAGTATGCTACCTGAGCTATATATGACACTATATACCTGAGCTATATATGACACTATGCTAATGCTACTTAAGCTATGACACAATGTACCTGAGCTATATATGACAATATATACCTGAGCTATATATGACAGTATGCTACCTGATCTATATGACAGTATGCTACCTGATCTATATGACACTACATACCTGAGCTATGACAGTATGAGATGTTAAAATCCACATATCTTCCTGTAACTGACTGTATTCATTCTGTAATAACTTCACATTCTCTTCTGCACTCAATAAATTTTTACGAGCACGAAAATAATTCAACAATATCTCATGGAATGGATGGCTCTCCTTTTTACCTTCATTCTGAAATTAACAACAAATTATTTGAAGAACTTTTATCATTAAAATACCTAGTAGTCTCAGCTGTGTCATGTACCTTCGACAAAACTTATATAAATCGACATTTTGAATCCCCTTCCTTACAAAATGAAATGAAAATGAAATGAAATGGGGTTTAACGTTCTACTGTTCTGCTCCGACTGGGCTAATGAAGATGGGCATACACCATACAGTGTGCTATGAGGGAAATTTTGCCAGGGCAGCAGCACTATGGCCTATTCTTATATCGAATTCCAGCTGCCAAGGGATCTTTTATGTGCATACTAATGTATACACAGGACCTCTTTTTTTTTTATCCCATCCGAATGACTAGACAGCTGTCCTTGTCAGGCCCTCCGTCTTGCATCACTGACAACGGGAAACCATGTTGGAAAACAATATAAATCAACATTTTGAATCCTTTTCCTTACAAGCTGCTGATTGTCGTTTTCATTTATTTAACAATATAATTTTTCATGATAAAATTTACCCAAATTGATTATTGCTAGGTTTCCGCTATCCTTGATTCGCGATACGATTGAAATCATGGTTTTAATCGTGGAGTAATCGTGGTCAGCCTATCAGGTCTTATCATATATTGAGGTCAGTCGCAGCGATCATGTTGATCGTATCAAAACGTATCTGCACGCATGTGATCGTGGACTATCAATAGGGACAATCCGATCGTAACGTCGCACCACAGTGGAAACCGAACATTAGCAAACAAAATCTCCTGACTTGGATTAAAAATAGACCCATCAAAGGATTTTACCCAATTCTTTCTGGTGGCACTGGCTTGTTGACTGAGCTAGTGCCAAACTCAGTCAGCTACCATGACACCCCCAATTAATACGAAGGGATGTTGTTGACTTGGGGGACAGAAACTGTCAATGTGATTGAATCTTTTGATGTATTCTTTTTTTGGGGGGAGCAGAAAATCAGCCTTTGTCAAAATTGAAACTCGACTTAACAAACAGAAAGATTACCAAAATCAGCACAAGACGAACATGTAAGACTAGAGATAAACTTTATTAAACACTGTATTGCGATATAAATAGAGAATTTAAATCAAAGAATGTACTTACCAGGACAACCTGGTCTACAAATATACTTACCATGACAATCTGGTCTATACTATATATAAATATACCTACCATGACAACCTGGTCTACAAATATATTTACCATGACAACCTGGTCTATAAATATACCTACCATGATAACCTAGTCTATAAATATACCTACCATGACAACCTGGTCTATAAATATACTTACCATGACAAACTGGTCTATAAAAGCTGTACTCTGTATCAACTGGGGATTGTAATACAACTGTTGTAACTGCTCAAACGTCATTGGTTTAAAACAAGAACCAACTTCGTGGATGAAATGAATACGCCTGGCCTCCATAGCTTCACGTACAGACTTTAATCTGGCCTCTTCTTCAGCTGACGTGGGAAATACATATTCTTCCTCTTCCAGATTAACGTCAAGTGGCGATTCGTCTTGTGCTATTTCTTTAGGACACGTTACTTGACCTTCTTCAGTCGAAGTGCCTTCAAAGTCTGTTTCTGTAAGGATCTCATATTGCGACGAAACATTAGAATCTACGGATACTTGATTCAAATAATTTGGTTTCGCACTAGCGACAATATTTCCAGAAATATTTTTGGATGGCTCTCTGGTTTGTTCGACAATATTTTCTGGTTCCGTAACAGTTTTCATGTTGCTTTCTGGAACAGAAACATTTTGCTCATCTGCTTGTACAGCTGGTTGTGATTGTTCTTCAGTTGTCATGGTCACGACCTCATCTTCAGCTACCAGTACATCGGTTGTCATGGCAACAGCCTCATTTTCAGATATCAGTACATCAGTTGTCATGGTTACAGCCTCATTTTCACATACTGGTACTTCAGCTGTATCTGTTGTGTTTATCGTGTTTTCGTAAAGCCTTTCAACATTTGTGTTTGCTTCAATTTCTAGATTCACACGAAAGTCGTTTGATGTGATTGTCTCTGATAATTCTTGAGTTTCACTGAGCAACGTATTCTCTTGTTCGCTTACCCGTAATACGTCCTCTACTGTATAATCTACTATACCTAATTTATTTATATCTGGATAAATGTTTAATTCAGGTTGTACAGGAATATTAGAACTAGATAAGTCTGGAAATGCTGTAACAGTTTCAGAACTGAGTCCACCGAATTCTGATGTTTCAATTTTATCACCTGCTGCAGCCATGTCTGATAACAGACCTGAGGTATTTTCAACGTTTGCTTTCTCCACAGTTTCCACTGTTTTATTTGCATTACCCCGGTCGCAAGTTTTGATATCAGTCTCAATATTTGATTGGATTTCATCATTTCTAAATGGAATGTTTTCCGTATTATGATTTTCTAAATCGTTATTAACTATATTAGTTTCTAACTTTTCTACATCTAAGATATTTTCTACAAGTTTATCGGAAGTGACAAGTTTATTTTCATTTTTTTCCGTCTTTTGTCCCGTGTCTAAACCAGCCCCTTCTTCTTTGCTGTCCCCTTGTTCTACATCCTGAGGCTGATCTTTAATATCACTCTCTGGTTTTATTGTCACTGTTTCCACTGTCCTTTCTTCTTTGTCTTTTTCGGTGATCTGTGAAGTTTTGATATTTCCACTGTCTTCCGTGACAGATGGAGCCACTGTGGAAGAAGATACGATCGGCAGCTCTGCAACAGATGGAGCCACTGTGGAAGAAGATACAATCGGCAGCTCTGCAACATGTTTGATCTTGGGTTTAGTCTTCACCTAAAATGGAAACGATGAGAATCAGAGAAAAATGGGGATTAACATCCACTTGACACAAACTGGGTCATTTCGGGACTAACATGCAGTTCAATTTTATTTCAATAATTCGCTTGTGCGTAGGGATCTTTAGCAGTACGAGGAAACTGGAGGACCCCGGAGAAAACCCACAAGGTTGGACAGACGACTCTACTCCTTGTCACGCACAACAATGATGTTGTTATTTTACGGTGAAAAGATGGGCTTCTGATATCCAATATTTAAGACACAATGAAAATTTTAAAATTGGAACACGAATCATACTTGATGAACGAGGCTAGCCATACCTCACAGAAGAATACTACCAATGTAACCAGATGCCAAAGACTGCCATTCAATTTTGACTCTTCGCATATTTAGCCAAACACAACTGATTAGAAATTACAGTAAAAACAGAAACATTGTTTACATAAGATGTTACTGGTTCGGGCAGAATGATGCCTTTTACTCATTTTAATACCCATTTACTCTATACATAAATAAGAATTAATTTTTACCTACAACTACTTCAAACGTCTAAAATTTATTTTTCTATTACATAACAAAAATGTTTTAGAATTTAATTTGTAAGAGAAAAAAGTTAATATTTGTGGCTCATTAAGCCGCATCGATGTGATCCTTATATCAGTGATTGTAGCGGCCTAGCAAATATTCACTGCTGATCAGTGTGGTCATCATGCAAGCACACAGAAGAGGTTTAATGGTTCATGGTCATCTGAGTGGGATAATTTTTTGTGAAGTGTATGTTGTTTTCGCCCTTTATAACAACAGAATCAATCGTGGAATTTTTAGGTTTTATAACCATATAGTAAGTGTGTCTTTTCACCGCAATTTCAGTTCACAAACTGAATTTCTAATAATGTGATGTTGTATGAATAATGTTAACAACTCATAGCCTAAAATATTAGAAATATGTGGCAGAAATCAAAAATATTTAAGATTTTATGTTTGTGCAAATAAAATAGTCCATTTTCTGAATCATGTTAAAATGCTTGGGGTCGGCGACCGTCAATTAAAAGGAATCGGCAGTCTTATATTATATGGAAATAAAAGGTTGAAAAATGTTATCTTTGTGTATATTTTATAGTCACTATATATTCTGAATTGTTATAACAATGTCTTGTATTTGTGAACAATTGGCTGTCATTGATAGTCCATTAAAAGGAATCTGTGGTAGTCGGCAGTCCTCAGCGATGAAAAGACAAACCATAACTAACTCTGGTGTATCACCTAGGAGGGGGGGGATGGCCGAATGGTTAGCACGTGCACGCTGCGCTGTACCATTCTGTCTGTCATTGAGTCAACTGGCGTGGTTTCAAATCCCCGGTTGTACGTGACAAGGAGTAGGGTCGCCTGTCCAACCTCATGGGTTTTCTCTGGGTCCTCCGGTATCCTCCCACTGCTAAAGACCCCTACGCGCAAGCGAATTATTGAAATAAAATTGTACCATGACCTAGTTTGTGTCGAGTGGACCTTAAACTCCATTTCTCTCTCTCTCTTTGTATCACCTTGGACATGGATCATGGATTTGGAAAAGTCAAGTCTAGGATATTTGAATTTCCACAATTTAATTGAGAGGACATATTATCATGATTGTCAGCTCAAGCATCATTATTCGATTTAGTTAAATGTCGTTTATTTCTTTGCATATTGAAGATAGACCGGGGGCAATTATCAAAATCTTTCATTTCAACTCGAGAGAAAAGTAAAACGCATTTTTTGTTCTACTTTCGATTTAGCAATAATTTTGACAGCGGGTTTCTGCTAAATATGGTTTTTGATTGCAACAATTATTCGTTAAACAAGAACACTGGCATATCCTCTAACAATCGCACAGACAGTGCTGAGAAACTTAGGCATGTATACCTTTGTTTTTCGGGGTTTTTCTCGGACAGCCTCTGCCATTCTTTCTTTTTGTTTTGATTACGATTGGTCATATGACTTGGTTCATAGATCAGCGCCATCTACTGTAAACAAAAGTACATAATATATTGATAACTCCGATGGATTTTAAAACAGACTAGATTATCAAGACATTTCATAAATGGAGTTATCTCCCTTCAATTGTAGAGTACAACTATTAATTCTTTTCTGAATATGGGCCTGTAACCATGGAGTCTAACCGTTAAATCAGCAAATATCATAACATGAACCTTCAGACAAATCTAAAATTATGCTGTTTATCAACAACCCTAAGCTAAAGAAAACCATTCCTAACAAAAACTTTTTCCGCGATTTCAAACTTGAAGTTGTACTAGTTGTAGCCTACAGTCTTGTGTCGACCAGCTGGGAGTGGGTATCAAGATATGCAAAACTCATCCTTCAAACTATAACTGTTTCGAATCTTGTAAACAAAGTTAAACGGATTTGGTTCCGTTTAAGGCAGTGGTTCTCAACCCTTTTTTTTTGCCAACGGCACACCTTGGAACACATGAAAAAATAGCGGCACACCTGGCTGAATATGAAAAATATTTGAATTTTGCAAAATAAAAACATGGCAGGCCTAGACGACATACAACTAGACAGAGATTAGTCATAGACACATAGAAAGACTCAAAACTAAATAAAGAAAAACACATCCATAAACACCAGTGAATACTCAATTGGGATCACGTGGTTTTTCGCATTTTCTTAGTGTGCCGTTCAAAATTTCGCGGCACACTTTCGAAGATCTCGCGGCACACCTGTGTGTCGTGGCACACTGGTTGAGAATCACTGGAGTAAAGTTGGTCTATACTCTGGTCATCAAGTGACGTCCCTACGCTGCGGTTGTGAAACCGATTAGTATCTTTGGGAGCGAGATATGGGGGAGTGAACTTGTAGCCTAGGCCTATATATAGCAAAACATATATGTCTAAATGGAGCAAAGTTGAGCACAATAAACTCACCACAAATGCATGTAAATCTATATTATCACAACCACCAAGAACCACTAATATACTATTCAAAAAAAGTAGGGGATATTTGATTTTGGGGGCATAATACTAAAATATGCAAATGACTACGAAAAAAAGTCACTATAGAACCTAACAGAAGAAACATTTCCAGTTACATGTGACGCCCAAACGCACCAATAGCTACCGCATGGAATGCAGGTGATGCTTGGGATCATCATGGGGGTCCAACCCAAGATTTGCACGACTCTGACTTTGAATGTTACAGTCATTGTGGCATTGAATTCCAGGGTGGAAACATCAGTTTAATTGTTTTAGTGACCAGAAAACAAATTTTGATATGCGTCGGCTTGCCCAAAATGAAAGGTTACGTGCCCTTGGCATGCTACATATCGGCACAACACAGGCGGTTGTGGCGCGGACGATGAATGTTTCTCAGTCTGTCATAAGCAGGCTATGGTCCAGATACCGTGATACACAATCTGTACAGGACAGACCACGCTCAGGTCGACCAAGGGCGACAACTCAAGCCCAGGATCGATTTATCCGTACCTTGGCCTTGAGAAATCGTGTCATCACAGCAAATCAGATCAGCGCTCGTCTTCAAACAGACACTGGTGTGAGAGTGAGTGGCCAGACGATTCGGAATCGACTGCATAGGGGTCACCTCCGCGCCCGACGTCCTCGCGTAAACCCTTGTTTGAGAGATCATCACATTCAGGCAAGACGTCGTTGGTGTAGGGATCGTCAACACTGGGATAATCGACGCTGGAGCAATGTGATGTTTTCAGATGAGTCAAGGTTCACTGTTGATTTTTTGGTCGAAACGAGCGCTTCCAAGACGTTAACGTCATCAGACATGATCGATTTGGGGGTGGTTCTGTTATGGTGTGGGGAGGCATCACTGTTGCTGGAAGAACGGCTTTACATGTTGTTGCAGGGCGTGTTACAGGCCAGTACTACCGGGACAACATCTTGGCAGTCCATGTTGTGCCGTTCGCACGACGTCATGGCCGCCGTTTCATCTTCCAGGATGACAACGCAAGATGTCACAGGGCCAGGATCTTTACAGGTTACCTCCAACAACAGAACATCACCACATTACCTTGGCCAGCACTGAGTCCCGACCTCTCCCCCATCGAGCATGTCTGGGACATGCTTGGACAGAGGTTACGTCAACGTCAACAACGTCCTGCCAATGTCCAAGAACTTGCTGCTGCGTTGCAACAGGAATGGGACAATCTGGACCAAAATGACCTTAGACGTCTCATTAGGAGTATGCCACGTCGGATCAATGCTTGTTTGGCAAACAGAGGAGGATTTACCCGTTACTGACTTGGTTGTGATGCTGTGGTAACTTTGCTGTTTGACCCCGGGTATCATTTTACCCTTATAATGGTCAGTCTGTGCCTTACTTAGTCTAACGATCATTTGGAATAAATCGATGAATGTGAACTTCATTTCATTTTGTCATTTGTTTCTTCGTCAGTTTCATTAGGTGACTTTAATAACACTTAAAAATCAAATATCCCCTACTTTTTTTGAATAGTATATATGGTGTCTAGCTGAAGTAGGCTTGTTTCCACTCCAGCTCGACATCTATAAAAGCATGCTGCTCTACTATAAACGACTTGTCACAATTCAAAGCACTATTGACACCATGCACCCACCACCTCCTCGATGCAACACTTAAGGCGGATGCCGAAATTGCTAAATCTAACTATAAAATGTCTTGACTAGCTTCAATTACCGAGATACGGTACTGAACTAATTTGACATAGACCCATGGTGACCCATGATTTTGCGTGAGGAACCAGATCTCGCCCGGACCCCCAAAAATAATATTTATATGTGTGTGCGGGGAAGTGGGTGTGATGTAGTCCCTCCCTGTGCAACCGGGTAATATTGGGCTGTGTGGAATATGCTAGAGTCTATCTGTAGTATATCTGACCCACGGTATATGTTTCACACTGGTTGAGCATTATGATTATGATTATATAATGTTGAAAATCGCATTGAAACCGCGTGATCTTTTCCATTTGCTATGGGTGCAAAAACTCAAGGGGCGCAAAAACTCAAAACCATAACACAAAGTTCGTCATTTCGCCCCCCCCCCTCCGACTTAGTCCCTGCTACAAATGTCACTTGAAACTAAATTTAAGGGGTGGTACTTTTTACCGCCGACCACCGCCGACTACCGCCGACTGTCGTGACATTACCGCCGACCAAATACTTTTTACTGCCGACCAAGCATATTAAAGACAATATAATATTTCACTTACAAAATAAAGTGGGACTTATGCTAGTGATCTATCCCAAATTGTAGATAAGTTCTTTGGAACTGAAGGACTTGCGTGTGCAAACGACACGATAGACTTTGAAAGAAGAAAGCATGACATCTCAACCGTGTACGAAAAATACCCAGACCCACAAAAGTACCTTAAAACCGTGAAAGATAGAATAACAAAGTTCGTTTATATACCAAAGAGAAAAGGTGACGAAGTCAAATTATGGACAAATAACAACGCGGAATCCGTAAACGATATTTTTAAATGTGCCATTGACTGGAAACCCCAAAAGGCTCCAGAATTAATCGAGAAGCTGTATATGTGTGTGAATTTTCAATTAATAAATTTAAGATCTACCCTGCTGTATTTTTCTGGAGATTATGAACTTTGTGGTCGCTATAAAGCATATTCTGTTTCTGAACAAAAGTGGCGCTGTTTCAGCGAAGAGCAAAAAGAAAAATGTTTTGCAAATTTTCTTAAAGACTCGAAAAGGAAGCGCGACGAAGAAGAAATTATTTGTTCAACAAACAAAAAATTTTGTGTAGTAAAGAAAGCAAAATTACCAGCCCAAAAACCCCATCAAACCAAAAGGTGTAGAAGTGTTCGACCTAATAGAAGATAGGCCTAAAATGTTATATATTTATAACCAGTAGCTGAAACAATCTTGATATATTTGCCCTTCAATATCTAAATTGTAGTTTTGTCCTTCCATATTCTTTAAAGTAAATATGAATGTTTTTCGACAGTTGTACGTGATTACACCTCAAATAAAAAATAACATTCTTGTATTCTTTTTTTATTAAAAAAAACAACAACCGTAAAATAGTCGGCGGTAACAAGGAATCATTAAGTATTTGGTCGGCGGTAATTATATTACGGTCGAAAGTCATTACAATGCGGTCGGCGGTAAAAAATATTTGGTCGACGGTATTTACACGACGGTCGGCGGTAGTCGGCGGTGGTCGGCGGTAAAATGTACCACCGAAATTTAAGTCACTGCTAACAAATACATGGACGTAACTTTCTGATCACGCCGTAAAAATAGGGCTTTATATGTGGTCATCGCTTACATGGCCTGAACACATAGGAACGTGTTTTTGGAAGATTTAACCATAGATCACCCCTCTATATAAAACTTATAACAATGTAATATCTATAATACATTCTTGCAACTCAACATGATTCAGAATTGTAACACGAAATGAAATGAAATGGGGTTTAACGTCCTAGTTTAGTTTAGTTTAAACAATATTTTATTCAATAAACTGAATTGGATTGAACAACAGGCAAAGGCCTATATAAGTTATCTCCAAACATATAAAATAGTTAAATCTTATGTTTACAATACAATGGTGACATATGTACAGTGAGTAACAAACATATATACATTTTGAAGTGTAATTTTAAGTTTTAAATGTTAAAGTTTTAAAATCTCTTGCTGTCTTTTATGTATTTTTGCACTATTTCAAATATGTTGGAATTGGTATTATCTGAAAGAGAGGGGTTGCCATATAGGATCAGGTCAATTGTAACATTTTGATTAAGGTGGTGTAGATTATTTTTTAGAATTTTTCTTGGGGCAGGGTAGGCTGGACATATGAAAAAATAATGGTAATTATCTTCGTCTGCAGAATTACACCTAGGGCACATCTTTGTGTCACTAATAAAATGGTAGAATAAGTGATTATTTAAGTTACTAGCTTTATTTCTTAATTGGCAATGGATAATATTCTCTTTCCTATTTCCAGTATTATAATATAGTAGTGGTC